AATAAACATTAAAAGTCAATATTAAATAATTACATTTCTGACTTAACTTTTTTTTTTTTTTTTTTTTTTTTGAGAAATAAATCTTTAATCTTTTTTTGTGTTTCTACTACTCTATGTAAAAAGAATAATTTGGATCAAGTGAAGAATCTCTTTCCCCCAGATGTACTTGGTGGAGGAATTCTACAGTTGAGTTGGAATGGAGATTCTACAGTTGATCCTAAAAGAATATTTAAAAATATATTTTAAAAATCATCCCAGAAGACTTTAAAGCATAATATTTGAAAATTTTACATTTAAATAATCTTACCTTTTTATATTGCAAACTTAAGATTCTTAGTTTGTAATACTAATATAAAAAATTTAATCTTGTAATATGCACTAGGTTTGATTTTTCTGAAAATGTTGAATTGAAAAGAAAAAACAGCATTCATTCAATAAGTTCCAAAAATCTACAGTTGACCAGTCTCGGAGGAGATTCTACAGTTGAAGTGGAGATTTTACTGTTGATCAGTCTGGGGAGGATTCTTCAACTGATCCAGTGTTTTATGTCAATGTTTTCCAATAAAAAAGCAAATAATTGGTTATCTTCAAGATATGCACTCTTGAATTTTTCAGCTTTTTTAAGGAATGTCACCTTCAAATTGGTAGCATGAGTCAGCCTCGTACACTCTTTTGATCTGCTTTTATTAGAAAAATAAACTTGTTTTTCATCAGAATTCTTAAATAATTTTCTTTTTCAATAAATTAATTTGGGCATTTTTCAATAAATATATATCAATGAACTTTTTTTAATAATAAAATTTGAAAACTTTTTTAACAATGAATTGAAAACAAATCAAACATTTCAGAATTTCCTGAAAAAAGTAGATCAAAAAAGCATATGATGCTGGCTCCTGCTGCTACTATGAAGAGAGCTTTCCTTAAAAAATAAGCTGAAAATTTGGGGATTGCGTATCTTGAAGATAAACAAATAAATAAACTGTTTTTTTTTTTTTTTTTTATGAATAAATATTTTAGATTTCTTTCATAATGTCATAGCAGTTATGTTGAAAAAAAATAATGTGGGGGTCGTTATTGTACAGGGCAAAATAGCCTCTTGCTAATTTTTAAATTTAAATGACGTCTGTTTTGTTCTAAAATGTTTTGATTATTAAAATAAAAAAAAAAAAAGAGTTCAACTTGCATTTTGCATTTAAACAGGTTTCTACCAAGGATAACTGATCAGTTCAATACTCTGAGTGTATATGATGGTCTGTCCCAGGGTTGGCACCACAGACTCCTAAAATATATCATGGGTAAACATCAATGGTACAATAAAACCCAAATATTAAAACCCATGTGTTCTCATTTACTACAAAATCAACTATAATCCTTATTTTGATTCAATGATTTTGCTCTTAAATCTAATCAGTATCCCATGATATGTAAAAAAAAAAAAAAAAAAAAATTAATAAGAAATAGAACAGGCAAACACAGAAATTGCTGTGTAGGAAGACATCACATTTTGGCCAAAAACTTGCTCGGTTGCTTGTTGATCTTGTAACATTGGGACCTAAAAAGCTTCAAAACAAAGATAAACTGTTTGCACCGACTGTAAGATCGGGGGGGAAAAAAATTAAAAAAATTTATTAATTAAACATAATAATAATGCAAATATTTTCAAATTTCAGATATTTCAAATATAAAGTATAATCTGACAAAAACATTTGAAAAAATGCAATATTTTATTCTAATTTTCCACCCAAAAGCCCTCTGGTTTGGTAAGGAGCACAACTTAAAAAAAGAAAAAAAGACCAATTTCATTTCTCCATAATTATAATTTTAAAATCTTAAGACTTCAAAGAAGTAGACGATTTTTTTTTATTTCTTCAAGCAACTTTAGTCTAAATTAAAAAGCATTCATAAGTTTTTTTTTTTTTAAATATATTAATTAAAATCTTGAAAAAGATTCTATCCTACACTGAGAAGTTTTAATCATACATTTTTAGATAGATTAAATAAATCTTTATTTAATTACAAATATTTCATCTTAGGCAAAAGGGTTCAAAGGTTTTCAAAATTCACTGTAAATTTTCAAGTGAATAAAATGTAGGTAAATTGCATCAGAGGAAATTTGTTTTTGGATCAACCCAAAGAAAAAGAAAATATTTGTTTTTAAAAATACTAGAAAAAAATAGTATAAAACTTCTTTTTTGAGTTTTTTAAAAACAAAATTAAAATTTTCAAATAACTTTTTCAGGATGTTCACATCTTAAATTTAATTCTTTTTTTTTATATGTGGTCTTCTTGTTTTTGATTTTTCTAAAAATGTAAAAATTAGCAATTGGAATTTTTTTTATTCAAATGAATAAACGTTGAAACCCTCCTGTTAAGTGATGAAAAATATTTTCTAAGGGTTTGTTAAATCAAAGAAGCTATTCATTATAAAATTATTCATTAATAAAATACCAAAAATTTCATTAAAATTTCAACATGTTCACAATTGATTTTGAAATCATTGAAAAAAATAAACCTCTTCAAACATTTGGTTTTTATTAAAAGTAATTTAAAAATGATTCAAAAATTATTTAATGTGATTAAAATATATATATTGGTTATACAAAATATACTATATAATAGGGATGTCTCTTGGAATGTCTCAATGTGGTCTTGTCTGAGCAAAAGGTTGCTCACAGCAGGGCCAGAATAAAGTACTGCCATTTCAGACAGTTGCCTGAGGTCGTCAACAGAGCAGTATGTCATGTGTTTGTGATCTTCCAAACAAAAAGGAATGAATGTGAAAAAAAAATTTGAATAAAAAAAAAAATAGATTTCTTTTTTGAAACACCATAACATAAAAATGAATGATAGCATCTTCATTTTTTTTTTTTTTCCACCCACAAAATGCATGTGCTGCCCATGCAACCAAACCAACACCCCTTGGTCCACCACTGGATATTCAATTCAAACAATATACATGACTTAAAGATTACAACTTTTGAAAATGAAAAAAAAATTTGATAAGGCAAAAAATATAAAAGGTATATCCACCTAATTGTAAGACAAAAAGGGATGTCTCAGTATGATAAATTTAGAGAAAGACTGATGTCACAGGAACTTGTTATATTTTTTCTTTCATTAAAAATTTCAATTGAAGGTTTCAATTCCTTTAGCAAAACAGCCCAAATGGATTTTTCTCCTGGGATCTTAATCTGCCTTCTGGATGAACTTTTAGTGTCTGTTCATTTTGATGGTTCCTTCCCTGTTGAATGATTCATGACTCCCTTCTGCTTTGAAAATTCTTCTGCCTTGAATCTGATTACTTTCTGCCCTTACCTGCTGGTCATTTGCCATATATCTAGATATAGACCCTAGTTTAAAAATTTACAAGGGTACGTCTCTGATTGGTCAGCAAATAAAATATATATTTTTTCAAATTCAAAAATTGAATCAGCAATAATTCACATAGAAAAATTAATTTTGGTGCTTCTTTAACCACTAATTTTAAAAATAAAAATTTTCACTGACAAATGTAAAAAAAATTTTATGAAACATCTGGCTTCATTTAAGATACACTTCTCTTAAAAGTACATGTAACAGAGAAACTTAGACAATTATAATATTTGCTTATTTATATTTTTGAGTTATTAATTTTAACTATTTTACACTACTAAAATATAAAATGTTTATAATATAAATATATAAAGTATCAAAACAGTGCTGCTGGTAATAAAACCGTATAAAATTTTTATTTTATTATTTGTGAAAAAATGTTAAAGGTTCTGTGTAATCTCTAGGTTGTTTTTTTTTATATACACGTTTTGAGAAAAGTTTATTCTTCAGATGGGCCAGATGCTTTTGTCAAATTTTGTGCTTTTTTTTATGGCCTGCTAGGCTCAAGCATTGAACTGCCAAAATTGTTTGAACGATTTTGGATTTATTTTTTGAATACTTGGAGAGTTTTTTTTTATATATTGGTCAATGTCAAATTTTGACTGGAGCCAATATTGCAGTCACTTTTTCAATAAAAAGGGCTGCTATCAGACAAAATCAGAAGAGGCAGATAAGAGGGCTGTGCCATTGATGAGAACAGACGGAGCATAGCACCCTGCACATCAAAGGAAAATCCAGTCGGAGGTCATAAATACAGATGACAGATACAAGGCAGATTCTTAGGACTGAAGATTTTATACCCAAGAACAAACAAGTGAGCTTATAACACAAATGATACAAATCCCTCTGAGCTGAGATGTCCTGTTTCTGAATACTGTTAAGAAAAGAGGTGGGTGCCATTTGAAAAATTTTTGCTTTGTGCCATATTGTTAAATCCTTTCTCCAAGTTTTTCCCAATTTTCTCTATTTTTTAAGGGAATAATTTTGCACATGAATTCATTTCTTGGACTAATTGTGAAATATTCTTTTTCTTGTTTCTGTGGGTAATCTCTTTTTTTTTTTTTTTTTTTTATTACCCCAGGAAAGTGTCATCCTGCCCAAACAGATGCACAAAAGGAAATTTTTGTCCAACCCTTGTTTTGTACTTTTCAAATTTGTAATTGTAAATAAGTGTTCCTTTTAAAATTTTATGTAGTGGTTGTCTTCTTTTCTTTTTTTTTTTAGTTGCATATATTTTCAAGACTTGTAGTGCTCAATGTATATTAACAGAGCTAAAATTTATACCAATAATAAATATACATTTTGTTCCTTACCAATAGCACAACTCTGACTTTCATACACTATGCAATCATCAGGTGAGCTAATACAGGAGAGATAACATTAATACGGCAAAAAGTTACAAACATAACAGGTAAATCCATTTGGATTATTGTATAGTAAGAATTAAAATATCCACCAAACTAGTATTATTTACAATTCAAAAACAATAGTGGCCTCCATACATATATTTTGTATCAGAATGTTGTTTATAATCCTTATGCTTATAAAAACTGTTTAGTTTTTCTATTTGTGGTATTTTATCTGTGAATGACTAATTGTTAAGATGATTGAATATATTATCATCCCAGGTTGTTGTCTCGGGAATGGCTGTTCTCAAAATTTGAAGAACTTGGTTTGGAAGTTCATGTGCAAAACTATTCTGTAAAATATCCACTGCAATTGCTGGGAGATCAGGTGAGTTTTTACACAGTGTTTGATTGTTTTATTTTTATATTCTTGTGATTTTTGTTCTCTGAATCATGCATTAAATTCAAAAATATTTTCCATAAGTCTTCATATATCCTACCATGGAAAAGAAAAAATACTAACATTTTACATCAGGCTTCAGGTTTTGAAAACTAAAAAAACAAAATGGTTCTATTGAAACAGAATTTGTTTTAAATGTTTTTGTAGCAGCCATTTTCTATGTAAAATTTTCAAATTCTTTTTGGAATTTTCTTTTTTTTTCTTATCTTGTGTCTGATGTTATTCAACTTTCATAAGATTGTTCTTGTCACATATTGCAGAACTCTTCATAATTCTATGAAGTGTCAAAACAGAAGGTCTCTGGAGTTGAATCATTTTATACTGTCTTTTAACATCTTAGACAGACTACAGAGGAAGTTGGCTTAGAAATGATGAAGAATTACTATGTTGAGAGTATTGGCTAATACCAAGTGGAAAATGACTACTAAAAACATTTCCGAAATAAATGAATGATCTCTCGCAACTAGAATTGAAAAAAAAAACTTGTTTATTATAATCTTCTATGTTACAAGTAACTTAAATGCCTATATATTCTGAAATAAAACAATGCTTATTCAATAATTAATTTCAGTGTGACTAAAAATTTTAACTATAATTTTAAAAATTAGTTTTCAGTAAATAGCAATGTGAAAATTGACTAAGAAAAGCCTTATGTTTAATCCAAATTATTAAACAGCATCCAATCAATTACAGGAATATAATAGATTAATTAATAAATAATTATTTAATTCCTAAATTTCTTGTTTTAAAATGAAACATAATCCAGTTTTATAACCATAATTGTAAATATCTTAAGCAACTTAATTGCATCTCATTAAAATACATTTTAAAATCACTTATTAAATATGTTTATCAATTGCAGCAAAAAGATTGGAAATATCATTCTTCCTCTCTTTTGTTAAAAAAAGAAAGACATTGGTGAAATAAAAATGACTACCTGTCTCATAATAATTGTTACAGTTGCATGCACATTTAATATACTAAATGTAACAATCATTTTGGGACAGAAGTACAAGGGGATGTAAAAAAAAGTTCTTGATCTGACCAAGAAGGGAATCAAAAAAAATTTGTTTGATCAGATTTTGGGAAGTAGATTTGGCCAAAAACTTTTCAGCACCTCCTAGAGGACACAAGAAAGTCAACTTTTCTGTTTATATTTGGTTTTATTTCAGAATGTCCCTGGCCAAAATGTGTATGCCATTTTGCGGGCTCCCAGGGCAAGTAGCACTGAGGCTGTTGTCTTATCAGCTCCTGTGCGCTCCCAAAGCATGATAACCAAATCACTAACAGACACCAGTGGTGGAATTGCCTTGATGCTTGCTTTAACAAAATTCTTTAAAAGTAAGTATTCTCTTGATTTTGTTAAATTAAGAATTGTCAACTATTATTCATTTTTGTCTTGTATTTTCTTTTATTTCAACTTTAGTCACTTTTTATTGGAGCTACTCAGCCCCTTGAGGAGTAAACAGTGTGGGTAGAAAAATAAATAAGCTCTAGGCAAGACATAAACTTGCATCTTGTTTTATTTCTGATCCACACTGTTCATTTACTGCTGTAGACTGGCAGTCTAAATAGTTGCAATAAGAAGCAACTGAAATTAAGATGAAAGAAAATTCTAGTCAAAAATTTGTAATGGTTGAGTATTCTCTCAATTCTTTCCCTTTCAAGACAAATTGGCCATTTTATTAAATCATCTTTACAATGTTTTTAATTATTATAGCCTTATTCAATCGGTGATAATGCCTTAATTCCTGTTAGCTTGACTACCATTTACCAGATGCACTGTCCTGGAGGAAGACAATGACAAAGAAACAGTTGGGTAGAGTTGTTTTTTTTTTTTTTTTTTTTTTTTTTGTTGAAATTCATAGTCTGGTATGCTTTTTTTTTTTTTTATATATATATAGCTATCAATTAAGAACTCCAGTTTAAAAATACCCCCTCCTCTTCTTTTTCTTTTTTTTTTTTTTTAGTTTTAAGAAATGTGGTATGAGCATATATTTTTTTTTACTTTCATTTATTTTTTGCTACCATTGGGGGGGGGGTCAATTTACAATAAATTTACATAACAAACTGGACCCCACTATTAACTTTTATAAAATCTAATAAAACAAAGAAAAATTTATTCATGATCTGGATTTATAATAATATGAAAAAATGGAAAAAAAATGATTTCTGGTAGAAGTGACTATTCTAAAACTTCACTAACAGTTGACTAAGTAAATGAAATTGATGTTATGCTGATAATTTTGGTGGCAAAGAATGAATTCAAAGAAAATCTAAAAATATCAACTAATAATTTAAATAAAATAACCTCACCTATTATTGCATTAGATCCATCTTCAATAAGCAATTCAACCTAATTGCAATTAATGGTAAAGTAGTAACAATAATTCATTTATAGGGGATCTGATTATTCAATGAGACCTGAGGTGTACTTGTCAAAATACTGTGAGATTGCATCACTATTTTAGTCAATTAGGCTTCATTCTTTTTTAGTTAACCATTTTATTCAAGTTGCTATCTTCCAGCACTGTATGTCTGGTAAACAGTCAAACCATTCTTCACAATTGACAATTTCTTCCTGATAGTCAATAAATTTCTATAGTAAAATCATTACCAATCTGCATATAATAGCCCTATTCATTTGGTGAAATTTACATTAACTTCTGAGTACTGATAGTTTCTTTTATTCTTAATTTTTAATGCATTACTATAATAAAAAAAGATTAGCTGCGCTTTTATACTATACAGGGTTGCTCAGTTCTTTGAGGACATTTGCATGAATTTAGTAAAAGATGCATAAATTATAAAAGCGCTTTCTTTGAGAAACAATTGACACAAATAATCTTGAGACTCTTCTTGATGCATCTACTTAATAAATCCACTGTTAGTATTGATGACTGCTTCAATATGAGGTCTGAAACATTGATATTCCTGAATCACTGATTTTTATCTATTTTGGACATTGTGCTAATTAAGAGGGCATTCATTGACTTCCCTCTTGACTAGATCCCATACGTAGTCAACAGATTTAGGTCTGAAGTGCTAGGAGGCCATATGTTTGGTGTGTTGTGATTATGGGCATTGTAACTTATCCATTCTTGAATCTTTTTAGCCTTATGAGAGGACACAGTGTTGTTGGTAGGTGTATGGTGTTTCTTTGCTCATACTCTTTATCCAAGACTTCACAACCCTCTCCATAGTCACCAGCATTAACCCTTAAACCCTGAGGAAAGAAGTTAAGAGGCATGACCTCTCCCTCATTGGGAGAACTGTCATAGTTGCTAGAAACTCTTGATTCTGTGAGATTACCAAGAAATAAGAATATAATTATAGTTGTCACCCACAAGAAAGGTAATATACTCTGCTTGAAGTCCTCCATTGTTAAGTTCAGCAAATGCTGCATCACAATATTCTATAAGTAATCTTGTCCAGGTTATGTAATACAAATCTGGAGGATATTTTCTTAGTTTTCCTAACTGACTTATTTACCAGTAATATACTCTCCACCTTTTTGTCCTTTAGGGATGATGTTGTGTCATCTACCAATATAACTTAAACCAGGCTGTGTCTTTGTTGCTAGCCAATTTAGCTTTCCTATTGAGTCTCTGCATAATTTGAGCTCATCATTTGACAAAACTGTTTGAATTATAATCAGTCTTTGCAGGTATCATAGCGATTGATTTGACAAACTCATCTTGGCTAATTATTATGCCTTTCATTAGCTGACGAATCTCAAACTTGAAACTTGAAGTTACCTCTGATTTAATCATAAAGACTTTCCTAATTTTCTGTATCCAATTTTCTTCAAATGTTTCAGTGCCTTCCCTGAAAAAGTCATCCACATGAGTTGATATGACTCCATTAATCTTATAGAAAGACAGCTTGGTTGTACTTAGATGGGCATGCACCAGTTTCATTAACTCTTCTCTGTTAAACACCATTTTCGAGAAGCATCATTCAGTTCATACACACATTTACTTAACTTCTATATATAACCTTCAAGAACTTCAGCTTCAGGAGGACGTTGTAGAAAGACTGTTCTTTCAAATTGTTGCAGAAAAACTGTCTTGATATCCATTGATTGACTTGTCTGACTTAAAGCTGCAATGATAGTCAGAATAATTTGTAGGTTCTCCTTTGAGCAAATAGTTCTGAGTTTTCATCTTGGAACCCTTTTGTGACCAGTCTTACCTTACCTTGATTATAATTCCACCCTCTGTCTCTTAGTAGAGCATAGTTAACAATAAACTTCGATGTATTTGTTGAATAAATTTTATCCAGTAGCATCAATAAAAATGGCTGGTACTTATAATTAGATGAAAAAATAATGATATAATTGAGATGTTAACATTTCTCACTACCAAAAACAAAAGGTTTGGAAGGAAACTCAAGTATTAGAAAGAGCTATAACGGTGGACTTGAGAAGTCTAATTTCCTGAAAAAACTGTTTTAACTAAAAGATTTTTTTAAATTTCAGCTGACAATAACACTGTTTATGTAATAAATGCTGAGTGTTTCCTGCATGGCAATTTCACAATTCCTATTAGCTGGTATTGGATTATATAAACTAGTTTTAAAAATAATAGCTAATTTTAGAAAGATAAAGTTTTTAATTTTCTATCAAAATATTGCCACTTGTTGGTTTAATGTTATGAATAATAATTTGTCAAATCTTGAATGACTTTTAATTCTTTTCTTATTTTTCTTATTCCAATCAAATAAATAATTATAGGCTGTAGATAATTTGTTTTTTTTCTTCTTTTCCTATTATTTTTCAGAGCAGACATACTGGTCAAAAGATATCATTTTTTTGTTTACTCAGCATGAACATATTGGAATGCAAGCCTGGTTAGATGGTTACCATCAAGTCCAGTCTTCTGAATGTAAGTAGATCTAATGGTTTTATAAAATGTTACTAAAGTTAAGATAAAAGAAAATACTAGTCAAAAATTTAATAATAGTAGACAATTCTTCATTTAATTTAATGTCTTATTTTCATTAAATAAAAATAAAGGGTGTTTACTAATACTTTCTTCCTGTATTTTAACACTTGAAATGACTTGAACAAATATACAATTACATTTTGGCTAATGAAACTTCACACGGTTTCTAATTTAACTACTGCTGTAATGTATGGCAATAGTATGTTGAGGTTGGGGAAAACACTTAGCCGATTGCTCTCCTATCAGCCTCAAGAGTAAGAGGCAAAGATGGGAGAGAGAGGTAACAAAAATAAAACTCCCTCAAGAACCACAGCAACTTTAGGAACAAAATACCCATGGGACTGACTTCACAAGATGCCATGTCTTGCTGACTGCTGTTTTTCCTCTTGCTTTTATTGACATGAGGCATTTTACAAAAACCCAGATCTTGATCAGTTGCAGAGAGGCCTGTATCTTGACATGCCAAGCTATCCCACTGTTAATGGGTGAAAACCCAGATATAACTGATGTTGGCAAACATGTTCGCATATAATCCAGGACCCCTTTTGCATCTGTACTGACACACATTTGCCACAAATGCTGAAATATTTTTACTGTAATTTGCACAGAATCAAGTAGTTTAAACTGTTGATGGCCACTATCCCAAAAATGGATTATAGGTAGACATCTATAATTAATACTGAATTTTTATTCTTATAATTAATACTAATTTTTCTCCAGTGGGCATTAATGGGATATTTAATTTACATAGGCCAAAAATAAGACTTTAAAGGAACAGATTTTACTTTGAAACTAGAAGTTGAATCTTGTTGACTTGTCTACTACTACTACTACTTTTGTAGGAAGAGAGCTCAGGAGTAATACAAACAATTTTTAAACAAAGTGCTTAAATATTTACTCTTTGCAGGAGTTCTAATTCGTATGTAAATAATCTCATCATTTTTGACAGGTACTATGCTAGTTTAATAATTGGATAAGAAATTAACATAATATATGAACAGCTATAAAATTAGTTTACCATTATTTACACTATTTATATTCAGACTATTGTACTCATCTTTTTTTGTTATCACAACATTTTGGCTGTTGTGCCCTCCAACCTTCTTCAGGTATATATCAATCTGGGTAACATACAGTGAATTTTGAACTGAACCCTTTATTTAATCTCCAGAGGTAGACTGTTCTCATTCCATTGCTTGTGTCTGGAGATATCACCTTATTTTATTTAGTACTGTTCAGTTATTGTTCACCTGTTTCCACTGAGTGGATTGAACTCACAACCACTATGTCACCAAATTCACAAACCAATGCTTTTACCTACTAGGCAATTGTCCTATAGGACAATTTGCTGTAGTAAACAGACTATAAACTTAAGTAAACTTAGAGCCTTAAACTTAACCTAGCTGCTGATTAAGTTGCAACTTCTGCTGCTGGCTGTCATGTTTGAAATTCAGACAAAAATGAGTTTACGATTAATATAAAATTGATTAGTACAGGTATTACTCAAAAGCTCAGAAAATTGGATCATAAAAAAAAAAATTATCCCAACACCTACTTTTCACTGCTTCCTTTGAAATAGTAACCCTTGCCTGTTGTTTACACACACTCACAAAGATTACTGCTCACAAAGGGTTTTAAATTCTCTGAATTTTGAAGTAATACTTCGTATCTTAAAACATCTCATTAAAGGGATTATTATTTATCTATACTTTCTTTTTCCATTTCAGATATATTTCCTGGCACTGTGTGGGGTCGTAGTGGCTCTATTCAAGCTGCTCTGAACCTGGAGATTCCCCCAGAAAAAGTGGCTTATTACAACATTAAGATAGAAGGTTTGAATGGACAACTCCCAAACCTGGATCTTGTCAACCTTGTAGTGCGGCTGTGTCGAAGGGAAGGAGCCGCTATTAGACTTCACAATCAGGTATGAGTAAATATGATCTGGTGGTGAATAGCATTTTGAAAATATTTCTTGTATAATTAATTTATATAATCTTTTGCAAAGATGTGATAATATGGATACTCAGTACCAGATTTACATATTGGCTAGTATGGGTTGCAGTCCAAAGACCCCAAGACTAGAGGGACCCCAACAATAATATAATTATATTATACAGTGGAACCTCATTTCATGAATTTAATTTGTTCCTGAAAGCCATTCATGATCCAAAACTATTTTACAAATAGGAATCAATGTAAGAGAAAAAAGTTACAGTACAATAAAATTGAAAAAAAAAAAAGAAAAAAAAGAGTACAATACAACACACAAATGTATACAACATGGCGGTTGACTCAGAAAATATTCTGTTTAGCAATATTGTTTGATAACTGATATGTCAGACATTCAAGAACTGTAATGTAACAATAAATATAATTAAATATTTTTTCAGCTGTAGTGATCTTGGATTCCAAAGCTGCAACAAGTCAAAATTTTCCTTTTCCATCATCTTTGCTTTCTTAGGATGCTTTGCAAGTGAATTTGAATGACTAGCATTTTAGTGTAATACAGGCCCTTCATTCTAGATAGATTTCTGTAAGGTTATAAAGTTTGGATAAAAAATATCATTAAGTTACTAATAAAATAAATTGAATCAGTTCCAAAGTCATTAAAAATTTTAGTCGCAGTGTTTCATGATTTTACTCCCAAAAAGCATTATCTAAATATACATCTTTTTATTTATCAACATTGAACATATCTAATGACGGCAACCAATAATTATTTTAAAAAATTCTTTTTCTCTTCAGTATGACTACCATGACTCTGAAAGTTTTAATGGTTTTAAACACTCTCTGTTGACAATGTTGCGCATGATGAAGACACAAGCATCTGGTTCCCCTTCTGGCAATCATGGACTCTTCCATCGATATCACATTGAGGCTGTCACGCTTCAAGGAATGAGTCGAGTTCATGGACATAAGAATTTTGGCCTCATGGTCACTGGCCGGTATGTATTTTGATTTCTATTTCAGAAAACAAACAAGTAGATTGTTCCAATTTTCATGCAAACATTTAAAAATAAATTTTTGGAAATTCCATGGTGCAAATATGCTATTTATGAATAAAACTTGGAATAATTTATATATTTTAATAGTAGAGAAAAAATAATCTTGTTTGCATGTTTAAATAGTAGTTTATACATTGACAAACTCTGATGATCTTCATCACAAACATAAGATGTTCACTATAGACCAAAGTTTTGGGCTGGGGAGCTGCTTCTAGATTTCATAGAATCACTTAAAAGTTGAAAGTTTGCAAAATTAATTTACAAGCCCACTTGGTATTAAATTTTAGGTATCCACCAACTCTAAAAAAAATTGGCTGCTATGTACTAATGTGTTAATTAGTTTCAGCATTCTAGCTTAGGAGGAATTAATTAAACCAAAGGACTTACTAATTATTACATCCAGAAGGTGGCTTCAAACTTTTGGCCTATAGTGTAATTACAAGTGTTATTAAAATATCTCATTTACTCTACCATTCTTTTCTGTATATAACTTAATTATTTTAAATGTTAGATTTTGCAATGTCCTTGAAAAGATAACAAAAATTTGTATGTGATTGAATACATTTCATATTTGGCATTTAGCTTTATTTTGTTACCATTAAATTAGATTTTTATTTTATTTTTTCTCCCAATAGAAACATTGTGATTTATAAGTAGTCAGTCAGTTTTGTGCCATGCGTGATACATGCTTAGGCAATCATGTATCTTTCGATACATGACTGATGAGGCAGATGTTTTTCCCACAGTAGGTTGCCATTTCTTTCTGCGGTAGACCAGTTGCCATCCAAGGCTATAGAACCAGGTCTGTCCTGCTATTTACCCATAGCTGGTGGGAGAAGAGGATTCATACCTTTACCAAGGGTATTAGCATGTAAATGAATGTAATGGATTTGATTGGAATTCAAACTTGGCTCTCCAATTCCTCAATCTGAGCTGATATCCATTACTTCACTGTGTCTTCCTTATAAGTAGTAAAGTACCTTAATCAGTGGGCTTTGGGCAAATGTAAAAAGCATTATCCACATTGTATGTAGATAGATATAAATAAGTATATTAATTTAATTTGATGAAGTCTTTATTGAAAATTTGGTTTATTTTCTATCAACGTTTAAATTAACATAGACATTGTAAGAGAATGTGTACACATCTTAAAATTATTGTAGATTTTCTATTTATAGTACATATAATTCAGATATTTGGTTGCTTGTAAAGTAATACATTTAAAATTTACAATTTGAAACCATCTACTGCAAAATGAAAGTTATATAGTCAACAATTAAACCTAGATTTAACATCTGCCCAAACTCTAACCCTTCAGAGGTGGGGTCAGGCCACAGGGATTGGGAGTAATTTTTGTTTCTACCAACATATATGCAAATGGGATCACACATTAAACTTGTATTCGATTTTGTGGGGAAGCAAATAAATTTGTCTTCAGTACTTTGGGGCTGGGATCAGCTCTGGACTAGTCTTCAGACTGGAGAAGACTAAAGTTGAACCAGATGTGCCTTGTTCCTGATTATTCCAACACGAAAGCAGCATCTCCCTATGATACTAAAAGGAATGGTTGTGGTTCACCTTTGCAATACATGCTACAGGGACTGGGCAACTGTTATATCTACCCACATATACAGGTATGGGGCACTTACATTAAACTTCACCTTGTGTCACCTTTGCCTTCAGACAAATAAGTTGCATCATCTCATTTAGTATGATTGTGCATTGTATATAATTTATGCTAACCTTTAACCCCATGAAAGACAAAAACTAATAATTGTCATGTTTGTTGTATGTTGTAGAGATTTTATAAAAGTATTAATACAAAACAATTAAAATTTGTGTTGTGTATCCAGATGCAGTGACTATGTATAAATGCCAGTGATGGTTGACTAATTTTTAAAAGGAGTGTCAATGATAAGCTTCACTGGAGCAGACCACCCACCTATTTGGATAATGGTTTATGAAGTCTTCTGTTAAAGTAGATCTTCATCAAAAATTTAGTAAAAAGACACAATGTATGTTCAACTATACATGAACATCTCAAACTGGAAAGAGAATTTCAGTGCTTTTGAATTTGTACTCGAGGATTAAAAATACATTTAATCATTTTTAGTATTCTGTTGATTAGGAATTCAAATTTTTCTTCACCAAATTCTTACAGTTGAGAAATTGATGCTGTTAAGAACAAACACAAATTATCATGATAATCCCAATTCTAAAATCCAGATGTCATCCACAGGTTTTGTTATTGATTTACTGGAACATGATAGGTCTTATTCACTATGATTTACTTGATTCTAAAGAACCTGTCAGCATAAACCTGTATTGTCATTATCTCTTTCAGTCACTAGAATTGTCATTATCTCTTTCAGTCACTTAGTGCCAAGATATTCAGAAATAAAGAAGACATTTCAAATCTCTTTTGGCTTTCTTTTCATTAAAAACGTCTAGAATTTTATCAACAGGAAATAGAGATATTGCCTTTGATCTAATGTAATTGCTAATGAATGACAATTATGTGATTGATTTAATAAAATTTGACTTTTAACATTTGCAGCCATTTTATCTCCATGAAAACAGGATAGTACTTTCTGAACAACTTTACAGGGATTAAAACCAAAGAGAAGATTAATTCTTTTTTTATTTAAAATCTATAATGACATTTGTACTTGCCGAACTTTTTTGTTTTGTATCCAAGGATGGATTGCTGTCATGTGTAAACCACTTGTACTGACCAGCATAAAATTGTTTCACTCATTTCATATTCAAATGTAAAATTTGTTTTGTAAATTGAATTTTCTTTTTTCATCATTTCATTTTATTTTAATATGTTCACAGATGCACAATTCACATGTACTTTGTGGCATGTTGTGCATTCTACTGTAAAAACAAAACAAACATGACACTATGGAGAAAAAAAACAAAAATCTGTGTCAAGAACATGCATTGGTATCATTATTTGTAATTTAATAAATTTTATTTACCAAAATAAAGCCTAAGTAGTTTTATATAACAGTTTCTAATGGTAGCTCTAGCAAAAACATAGATGGCATTATGTAAGGGCTTAAATATTCAAGGTTGCAGTGAATATATATTATTTTCAAATTCTGTTTTTAATATTATATATATATATATATATATATATATATATATATATATATATATATATATATATATTTCTTGATTCAAGAATGATAGTATGAAGTTCACCCTCATCTCTTTTTTTTCTTCAACTACAAATATATATATATATATATATATATTCTTTTACTGATTTTTTTTTTTTTTTTTTTTTTTCAGCATTGTGGAAGGTATATTCCGTAGCCTAAACAATCTTTTAGAGCGATTTCACCAGTCTTTCTTTTTCTACATCATGCCAGCCACCAATCGCTACATTTCCATTGGTCTGTACATGCCTCCTTTTAGTTTAATGGCTGCTGCTGGATTGATAAAAGTATCCTTTTGCAAAAGAGAAAAAACACAGCTCTAGATAGTTAAGCATAATATCTCTTCATTAAGTTTAATGTTAGAATTGTGTTAAATGTGTAGGTGTCATTTAAAGTTTTTTATGGGAAAAACAATATATAAACTTTTATATATCAAGAAGAATTTCAGGGAAATCTATGACAAAGTGGAGGAAGTTTTTGTGTGACACCTTTCGTCTTTGAGTACTTCATCAGACTATGAAGAAGAGGGGGATGCTAATAATTTTAAATAAAAATTTTATTTTTTTAAATATGTTTTGGGTATATATTCTAGCCAATTGCATTTAGTTTATTTTTGTATCACTTTTATTAAATATCCCACATTGTGATAACAGAAGATCTGCCAAGAAAGGGGAAATGTAAGAACCAAAACATAAATTTGCCTTGGATGATCTGGTGATTAAAGCACTTTCTATACATTTTCATCTGAGTAAATTGTTTTCTCTTTTAATTAAAGTAGCATTTTTCTAAAACAAAATTATGTTCAAACTAATTATAGTGTTTTGTAAAATATCCATTTTGTGTTCATATAATCTTTTATTTAAATTCCTTGAGGTTTCTCTTATGTATTCCTTGTGGCAATCATTACAGTTGATAGCATAAATTCCTCCTTTAAATTTTAGTGTATTATTTTGTTTTGTTAAATTTGTGTATGTAACACTTGAAATAGGATAGATAAATATTACACAAAACAAAATGGCAGTAGTTTTCATTGTCAAAATGAAGTACACAATTTTTCTCATAGAGCAATCAGATATATGGAGCTTAATTTTGACTTACAACTTTGATTTGAAAATTTCCTTTCTATCTGCGGATTTTGTGCTGGCCACTACGGTTTATCAAAATTCCTAGAATGATTTTAACTACATTCTTCTCCTTGACAACATTAGGCAATTGCCATGTGGATTGGCCCTGAAAAATCAGCACAAGAAGAAAACACAGACACAAAGAAACAAAGTAGCAAATCAGAAGAGAAGGAAAAAAGTGAATCTGAAACGCAATCTAGTGCTGAGGTGAAGAAAGAAAGTGAAGAGGAAGAAATTCCTGAAGCAGCTTCTACAAATTTACTCAATGAAGAGGAGGAGGAAGATGATGATGATAATGATGACGACGACGATGATGATGATGTCATTGCTCATGACCTGGAAAAGGCTGAGGTTTGTATTTAAGAAGAAAACCAATTGCAGTAGATGTTTAGTTTAATAGATTTATCCAAGAAGCCTACTAATATTAGTTGAATCTGAAAAGAAAAACTGTTTCTACCAGCATATAATGTATAAAGAACTCTATTAACCCTTTGCAGTTCAGGGTTTATAAATTGAATTAATTCCTGATCACTTTCTTCCTGATTTTTATTGCATTTCTACAGTTAGACAAGTCTATGAAATTTTGGATTCAGTATGCTGAAGGTAACATCAATCAGCTAAGTGACAAACCTTTTACATGTATAATATATATAATACAGTCTTGCACCTGGTGATACAATACAGCTAGAATTGTAGGTGGGTTAGCTGAATGAGTCTGTGTCATCCCATAATGTATCATATATATTCAATAAGAGACAAGTCTGGTGATTACATCAGCAAGGGAAATTATTGAATATCTTACTGAGCATGTTTAGTGAAAACAGGTATTATGTGGACGAGTATTATCTTGGTGGAAGAGTATATCACATGATATCACTCACAACAAGTACAATGGTAGACATTTCCTTATAAGAATTTATTGACAAAACAGCCAGTGCTACTGTCAGTTGAAATTTTATAAAATCTTTCTATTGAAACAATTCAGGAAAATAGGTTTCTCATATCCAGTAACTGTTATTGCTCTTTCCAGGATTGATAGGGGCTTCCTTCATAACTTTTTGTTTGAAGACTATTGAATGTCAACATTTTGATTGTCATTATTTTTTCATCGAGTTACATATGCTATCCATTTTAGTTGTTACTGCTGTTGAAAGTCCTCAAGTAACGCAATTTCTCTTATTTGGTACAGTTCTTTGTTTGTGATTCTGTAGCGCCAGTCTACAATGTTTGAGAAGAGAAGGGTCTTCTCTAAGATCAGCAGAGCTCATTGGACAATGATGATATGTAAATGGATGTTTGGCTAAAGGCATTCATGCCTCTAGTCCTACTGCAAGTAAATGATTTCAAATTGTCCATTTTGACACTCCTGAGGACAGATTTTTTTCTAATCTGCCTTTTCAGTATCAATCTTGGTGAGCATCTTTACTAAGTGGACATCCTGAACCAGGTTTACAGGTGTAGGAATGTTTATTTAACCATTGTTGCCAACATGAAAGCACTACTGACATTGCCACATCTAACATGTAACAGCAGTTGTCTGGAATGATTATCTAGCCTATCAAAAGCCCACAATCCAACCTCTCCCTCTCTCATACATACACACATGACTCTTATTTAAGAAAAAGAACATGTACATCTTTACTTGCACCAGACTCTTCTACCAATTGAAGCTTATCACAGCATGTATGTCACCATTTCAATCTCAGTCACAGGCTGTACACTGGTGCTGAGTGTTTTTTATGACAAGATGGCCAAAGTCAACAAGACATGTTTCAAGATCAACTTTGAAGATGTCTTTTTAGAAAATTTACATTCTCTCTAACAGTCTCTGTCCATTTTTTTTTTTTTATAATTACAGAGCAATTCTTCATCTATCTCAGTCATGAGGAAGACCACACAGAATTCCCTTAATGAAATACACACAGATTTAGATTTCTCTAAAACTTATTCTTTTCTTTTCAGGGTACAACAAAATCTCGAGACATATTATCCATTATTCCAGTTCTTCTTTTGAGTTACCTGATGGGTTTGATGACTTACTACTCACCTGAGATATTTAGCCGACAGACAAGGCAACTCCAAATTCAGACTGATGAAGCAGTCACATATGGATTACTTGCACTCTTTTGTGCATGTCTCTTCTTCCCCAGATTCATCTCAAAGTAGGTCTTATTATTGATACCATGTGTATTGTTACAAAATATGATACTGAATCTCTGTTAGAGAATCAGTATTGTTGAGTTTCCTTTTTATCTATGTAAAGTGGTTCCCAAATTTGTTTAAATGACAATGCTTGCTGACTTCCTTAAATTCATCTTCATATTTTGAGGGCAATCATAATTCATTCTTGGCTCATCTTTTCTTTATCTTTTTGTTGTCTATTTTATTTTTCATGGTTAAATATCTTCCAATCATTAAAATAAATAGCATGAAGTTGGAATAAAGTAATCTACATTAATAATTGAACTAGAACCTGGCATCCCATATTTAACAGTCACTAGGCCACTTGACAATGACATCTTAATTAATTTGATAGTTGGCACATAAATGTAGTCATATATCTCCCTTCATTCTTCTAGATTCCTTAATATTAGGTAATAATTGTCCAACAGACCAATGCATACACTGTGTATAGAGATTGGAGGTACTGGGGTCATGTCATGAAATCTACTGGCTGCCTGTTTTTGTTTAATGTTGTTTTAGCCAATTTATTTCAATTTAATTAATTTTGGGGGATCTGATAAGCAATTAGGTGATGGATCAGAGCTTTTACGCATTTTACATGAAAATGCAATAGTCCATTGTTAAAAGCTTTTAATTATTTACTATTGTTTCTACCATAATGCTGAAAATGATCTTCTGAAGATATGTCATCCTTTATTTATTAATCCAATTAATAGATATCTATTCACACAGTTTGCTTTTTCTGTATTTGTGATGGTGACTGATGTGTTCAGTGTTTTTATTGAATATTTTTGTTGGTGTTGTACAAAGAAAACCCATATAGAATATTTTAGTTGGTGTTATTGATGATAATTAAACTAGCCATTTTGTGGTGATGCATCTCAAATTTTTTAAATGACTTTCTTTCTCAATAATACTTCATTAGCCACGCTTCATATATGAATAAAATCTGATCTAAACATGATTAGTATAATCTTTTGACTATTAGAAATTTCTACTTTTGAGAATGATTTGACACAAAGCCATGTTAATAATCATTACAACAACCGTGATATAATAACCAGAAAAAGCTATTTTGCGGTCTTCATCCAATTTTTGCCTGGCAGATTCTCAAAAATGCATAAATTGGAGAGAGGGACACCTGAAAACATATTCAAGGGATTAATATCTTTCAAAAAAATAATAGCCACCATATTCTGAAGATGGTTCTGTAAAACTTGTTCATACCTCCAACCTCTACTGTGTAATATATTCCATCTTCACTGAGTAGCCAACATTTTGATTTTTTTGTTCATCCAATACAAGGCCCAAAAGCCACTCAAGGTAGATGGTTATTGAATGGAGAGGGAGTAAAAGGTGAAGGTTATGTAGAATATATAATAGTTGACCCTATACTTGAAGAGGTTAAGATTGTAGTGATCAGGGAAGGATCCTTTCAGGAGTTTATTCCACAATGTAACAGTTCCAGGGAAGAAACTGTCTTAGCAGTGGATTGAGAAAGGAGTGCATGTGGCATGGTGGGTCTTAGCTGTGAAGGTCTGGATTGGTGAAACTAAGGAATGTAACTTGCCTCAACATCTTCCATGAAAATAGCAATAGAATAGAGAGAAATATTTCATCACCCACAAGGCTGCATAAACACTTTTGAACTCTGTCAAGGCTGGAAAGTGAGAATTGGGCTGTTCCAACCCAAATATGGCAGCAATACTCCATTTTTAGTCTGATCTGGCTCTTGTAGAGATAGAGCATTGTAGGAGGAATCAAATACTGTTTATTTTTTATTGCCTTGTCTTAACTGATTGCAATTCTGTGATTAAGTATTTTCATTAACAATTCAAAGAAAAATCAAGTCAATAATGAAAATGCTTAATCTCAGAATTCAAATACTTTAATGATTCATAGTTTTTAATATTTAGTAAGCTCAATAAAGTAGCAAGTGGGGAATGAGGGGATAGGAAGATTGTGTTGTGCCTCAGTCAGTCAGTTATGTGCCATGCGTGATACATGCTTAGGCGATCATGTATCTTTTGATACATGACTGACAAGGCAGATTTTTTTCCCTGCAGTACTTTCTGCAATAGACCAGTTGCCATCCAAGGCTATAGAACTCAGTCTGTCCTGGGGGGAGAAGAGGATTCATACCTTTCCCAAGGGTTTTAGCATGTAATGGATTTGACTGGAATTCAATCTCAGCTCTCCAATTCTTCAATCCAAGCCACCATCCATTACTCCACCTTGCCTCTTTCGAGGTGTTGTGCCTACCTACCAGAAATTCAACACTTAAAATCCTGGCCTTTTATCTAAATTCAAACACCAGCCACTGTTACTAGTGAGAACTATACAATTCAGTCATCAACAAGGCAGGCCAGTGCCTCATTATAATTTAATTTTTCTCTTTGTCTTTCATTCTTTATACAATAGTCCAAGTTGTGTATAAAACATTTGTTGAAAGCATGCATTTCTCTCTTATGAATAATGATCAAATCTCTTTGGCCTGTCAAGCCAGCCAACAATATAACACCAGAATAAGATAAACTTTTTTCTCATATATATGACTTAATTTTGTGAGTATGCAAGATTAATTTTGATTTCTACAAATATGTAGATATAAGTCAGTAGCCTAATGATGAAAAAAAGCATTTATTTGACACAAGTATTAATTTACTAAAATAAACTTCTTCCTAAGCAATGCACTAAACCAAATGCTTTCCCATTAATCACACTGATCAAATCCTAGATACAAAATTTCAAATCAAAATTCAGAATATAACTGTCAAGCTCTGTTCACTCTTGATCACCCTTGGAAATAACTCACCCACAAATGAATCAATAAGCTGACTTGGGCCATTGCATTTGATGTTTAGATTGAGCTTAATAAATAAACTTGCCAAAAATAATGAGTTAATTGTAATTATGTTAATATAATGGTGAAATAATTATTTGAGCACAATGTTTTTGAAAGGAATTGCTTTTCAAAAATACGAGGTGCAAGAAAAATGACTTTGTTTTGGGATTTTTAAAAGAAATTACTTTTAAAAATAGATTTAAAAAGAATTTTTTTTTTTTTTTTTCATCAATTCCTCCTAAACAAGACTATAAAAGCCATTAGGATGCAAGGGGATACTTAATGTGAAAGAAACAGAGAGGACAATAAAAGAACAGGTTTCAAGGAGACAGATGATTGATCCTGCATTTAAATTTTTAAAGATTGTAGTTAGCAGGATAGCAAGAAATCAAAAGGGAGTTCAATGAGCAAGATGTGTGAGAAAAGAAACTTATGGTAGCATCTGGCAACTTCAATAATGAAATTAAGACCTAGCTGCCAAATTAGCACTCTGCTTAAATTCATGAGGTTGAGGTACTAACAAGGAATGCTCATCGGAACAATTTACATGAAAATGTTCAAAGATGAAGCAAAGAGAAGCTAATGCAAGAAGAATGACTGACTGACTGATTGGATTTTAGGATTCATGTTTTTAAAAGAAATTGCTTTTAAAAATGTTAGATAATAGTCTTAAAATCTATTCAATCAAAATAATAATTCTTCAATTGTGAAATTAAATATTTGCTTGTTTTCTGCTGTTTTGCATATTTTAATAAGATGAAGATAAATGATATAAACAATACAAGAGAAAGATTCTCCTTTTGGTTAACATGGCGAGAGCAGCTCCCCATTTGAAGACTTGAAGAGCATTGATTGAATAATGGCCAAAATGTTGGGACTAGAACAACCAAAATGAGGTGACCAAAAATATATTAATGATGATTATTCATCATCTCTGAAATTCAGACAAATTGGAAGTGAAAGAAATTATCTTTGAGAGATTCTCTATACATTACTCCATTGTAGTTATAGATCTTTGTTTTCAAAAGTTTTTTTTCAAATTGGGGCTTTTCAAAATGTTCACTTCCAAGAGTGTTTCTATAAGAAATTCTAGTTACTGTCATCTCATTTTTCATCAAGATTATTATTGATATCTTGTATCATAACTGCTGTGTAAGAATTATTGTGTCTTGCTGTAAAGTAACAGTTGGTGTGTCTTAGTTTAACCAAACATGTGGCCTTGTACCAGAATGATGATCTGAGTAAATATTGTGGATGTTTCAATATGGGTTAATAGCTAGCAAATCATTGTATTGGGAATTCCATCCTTACTTAGTGCCCCACACTTGTGACAGATGAAGCTAAGCTAAGCTTGGTAAATATCTATATAATTACTGTTGTTTTTCCTTCTCTTAGATCCTTCATCTTTGCTTTGCAACTGTGATTTTCTTAATTTCTTCGAACAGAAAAACCAGTGAACTGGACACTGGTTTCCAAGTGGACTGGCCATTACTAAAGTGTGTGGCTCTCATTTTCCAAGCTGTTATCCTTTTTTCCATTGCTTTGATGAACATCTCACTTGCTTTTTTCTTGGCTGCTGCCATGGTTCCTGTATCTACAATGGTACAACCAGTGTCAAACAAGTAAGTCTATCTACAGATCTTTTCACTTTTAACCAAAAATGAATCCATTTTACTCAGAGGGCAAACAAAACATTGAATTTCTTAGTGTTATAGACAAGCGTATGGTTGCAAGAAAGAAATACGACAACAGTAGAAATAGATTTACGCGGTTTATTTCAACAGGAACGAGTGGGTTTGGGACAGCTACCTTGTGGTAAAGTTCATAAGCCGGCTTTCGGATCTGGTCGATCTCTCATAGTAGTTCACACATGTTGACGGTGGTTGATGCTCCCCTGCTGCTGATCGCTCGGTCTGACCGTCAGGTCTGTTCGCTGGCCACCTGTTGACTGCTGGTTGAACTTCCGTGTGACCCCTTTTATAGCGTTTTTTTATGGCTTAACAGGCTCGAGAAACGAAGCGAGTATAATTAGGAGGGAAGCATTTTTATTGGACGAAAAATAGAGCTCTTTAAATATTATCTTATTTTTCGACCGGAGCACGTGTGTCGGAAACATTTGTAAAGAAAGATAATGGTCATTTTGTGACGGGGCTTTGTCCCGTTCACATCCAGTTCTCGCTCTCGAGTATTTGCCTGTAAATCAGCCGAGATATATCTTATTTTATTTTATAACATTAGTTTACATGAACTGCAAAAAATACAAGATAATTGCATTGTTTCTCATCAGTAATTTTATGTTATTTTTGTATCATTTATTGTTCAAATTGCAAGGGAGCTCTAAATTGTCATTCGGATAAAACCAGTTACTGATGGCTTTCTATTGATCATTTATCATAAATGGAAGCCACTATCATTTTTCTTCAACAATCAGACATCACTTTGTATCTCATATCATAACAAATCCACATTAATAGACAATGCCTTAACCAGTTTGGCTATGAAAGCCAATGGATATATAGGGTATGCTTTTACTATCTCGTAACTGTTAGTGCTCTACATTATTCCACAAGTATTACTTTATCTTCCACTACATATGGTGACCCTCTAGCTGCAATAGCCAAATTGTCTACTTCAATCAAGGTCATATTTGTTGTTGATATAACGGGATATGACTACAATGACAAAATTCAAACACTGTCATTAATTACCTGCAGCAGCAGATTGACTTTTTTTTTCTTGGGGAATAATGTCACCAACAGAATGTTAAGTTAAATTATTTGGAATTTTAAGATGAAACCTATTCACTATTAATTTTTGGCTAGTCTTTTCATCATTTTTTTTTTTTTGCCACATTTTTCTAGATCAAATATTCTCCTAAGTTATAAGTTGCAGGAAGTAAATATAAAGTGACTTCTGACCAATGTGATTACATGCTCTTTCAGTTATTGTATAATGTCAGAATTCTTTTCCCTCTTATTATTAACATAGGTTTCAAAATCAATTTAATAAAAAAAAGTGATTTAAAGGAAAACAAACAATAGTGAAACTTATAAGAATTTCCATGGCTTTTGACACTTTTTCTTAGATTCTTTTCCCTTTGTATTGCTTTCATCATGACCACACCACTTTTTTTTTATCCTCAGTAATTTTTTCTTTTTAAAGAATTGTGCGGTGCCTTCAATCATTGCTGCTGCTGCTTGTCTCTCCTCCTGTACTTGTCTACCTGGGCTCTGTCATCACAGTTTTGGATGACCAGTGGCCCAAATCCAGCTTTGATCTTCTAACAAGTGCCTGGAACCTGATGCGGGACACTACTCTCCTCAGCATTCTGGATTATTCTTTGCTCTCTTGCTGGACTTACCCAGTTTTTTGTTTTGCCATTTACCCCAATTGGATCATGTTGTGGGGTGTTTCACGGATGAGAATTGAAGGCCTACTAAGTTAACTCACCTCACGGTAGTATTTTTTTCCTATCAACAATTTTATAAACCCTTTAAACACACTGGTTTATTGGAAAACCTTTTATCACTTGCTCATTGTGCTGACTTTTACCTTTAGAGTAGGGCATTTTCTATTTGGCTCTTCCCATGCCTCATGAATATAGATAACATAGGTGCATTAAATTCAAATAATGGTTTTTGTTTGTTTTGTTTTTTTGACTATGTTGAGGTAGATAAAAATATTAGTAACATGTATAAATTTTGTTACCATCACTTTTCACAGATCTGAGAATGATAAAAAAAAAAAAGTTATTTTTTAATTAAATTTGAAAAAGAAATCATAAACAGAGGGGGTACCATTGTAAAGATTGAGTCAGTCACCTTTTAAAGGCAGTTAGAGATTCTGTGAATTTTTCATTTTTAAGACAGCCTCAACAATTTTTAAGATCAGATATCTTTCAATTAGATTATATGGCAGACAAAAAAGCTAATTAATTTTTAAATTCTATCCAAGATCACTTTATATTCTTATTAGCAGAAGCATTGTCTACCATTAAAATAAAGATAATACTGTTGCTATTAATACCAAGTGTAAAAATGAAAACAAATATGGCACCAATGAAGATTATGCTTTTAAGTAATGTGCTCGTAGGTTAGATTTGATCTTCTGCAAAGCTGTCAAGTTCTTGTAGCTTAGCAGTTAAAGCAGCTAGATGCATTCAACCAAGCTTCCCTGAGGCAAAATGAATGCGAGTTCAAATCTCACCAAGAGCTTATACTTTATTTTTGATCCTGCACTGTCAGCTCACTGCTGTAGATTGATGTAAAATTAAAATGAAAGTAAACAACTCATAAGTAATAGTAATAATAATAATAATGATATTCTAGGTGTTATTTAACGTGAAGCTATTTCCTTAAAGTGATTAAATTTCATCAGAAGTGATAAAACGATATCATTTAATGCTTAGTCAGATGTTCTGCAGATGGTGTGAATTTCCATAATCTGCTGAATTGCAAGTAATGAACATTTCTGCTGATGAATTTAATGTGTTAAAGTTACTGCACTTGATGAAAACAGATTTTATATTCTTTTGATTGATCACCTGATGTTGATTGGAAAACAAACCAGAGAGACATTCTACTTCTGTTAATGTTCCAAAGATCCAAATGTAACGGTTATCTGGTCAATAGTCTGTAGACCTAGTTAAAAACTTAAAGTGGAACCTCAACTACAAGAGATGGGGACAGTTGAAACACTTTTCAATATTTCTATTTTGACCATTAAAAATAAAACCTTGAAAGTGTTTCTCCTGTTGATTTCAGTTTCATACTTATTATTGTTCATGATCTCTCTTCTCCTTTTTTTTTTTTTAGTTTCTATTTTTTAAATTAAAAATTGCAAAATTTGTTTTTGGTTAATTGTAATACAAACTAAAATGAAGTTAACAGTTTCTCTAGTGCATTTAAAATTTTTATTAATTTAATTCTAAAAATTATTTATAAACAAATAGGAAGAGTAACAATAAATATTTATTACAATCTTTATTTATATACATCATTTTCTCTATCCAGTATTAGACTTGCTCCTTCCTCAAGGTATGTTATACCTGGGGAGTAATTGAACATACCCTTCCATGCTGATGAATGATGTGCTGGCAGAGGATTGCCAATACTAGATTATAGAATGATAAGGATTTATCTTTCTTTAGACAACTGCTGATGCCATTTATTTCTACAAGATTTACCTGTGAGGATGACAAACTTGTAACATTTTCACCAAAGAACAACATCTAATTGTAAACGGTTTTCATTGTTGATTTTTCTCATTTTCTTTTTGAAGAGATTTGTTACTTTCTGGCACATTCCATCAAATTTTGGAACACAAGACTTAAAAATTATTTATGCTCTTTTCCACCTTTTTCACACCGGGTTATACAATTATCTTATGACGTTTAAATAAAAACTGTATTCCACCGGGTGGGGTGATCCTTGAATTTGGCTAAGATGCGAATTTCTGTGACTTTTATTTTCAGATCTAACAACAATTTTGCCATGTTTAAAAATCACTTGAACAAAGTTATAAAAATCTTTTTAATGCAGTGATGTCAATAGTGAGAATAAGTTCCCATGTGTTTTTAAAAAAAGAAAAAATGTCATAAAATAATTGAATTTCCAATTTTTGATTAAATACCTTTTTTATAAACAATGATTTCCTTGCTTCTTTTCTATTTGAAAAATGTGTTTTATCTCTGCAGATGATTCTGTGAGGTATTGGACTTAATTTCTTTGCTTTTGAACAACTATTTCAAGTTACAGGCTGAAATGTTGCTTATGACACAAACGTGTGATAAAGAAAGCAGTTCAGTTGAAATATGGACTAAAAGCAGCATATTTTAAACCTAAGTGAACTTGTGGTAATGAGTCTCACTTTCCAAGCCCAAAATCACTTGGAGCTATATATATATATATATATAATTATTATTTTTTTTTTTTTTTTAGACTAAGCAAAAGGGTCTTTCTGCTTCAAGGTTTGTTAGCAATTTGAAATTCTACAGATCCATGTTTTCACATGTATCTCAAATTGTTTATAGTGAACAAAATTAACTGTAAGCTATTTTTTTTCCAATGTTTTATATATAACATCAGTGAAATTGAAACTCATTCTCCATTAAATTAATTTTGCAGATGGGAAGTGATTTTATTGTTGTTGAAGGAGTTAAACTGACAATTTATATGAAATTTAAAAAAAAAAAATATTCATTGCAATATCAATGATTCTCTGCATATTGTGTCTTTGCCTACAAGATTTTTTGCTGAGAATAGTCTTTCAATCTCAAGTGCTATTTGACCGTTTTCACAATTAAAAGAAAAAAAAGAAACATTAACTTTAAAAGCTAAGACTCGGCTTTAAAACTTGCTGTTTATCCAAATAACCAGGAAAGATCAAATGTAGTCAGTGCCATTTGATTTTGCATTAATCCTCTATTTCATTTATTAGGTAAGACTTACTCAACTATTCATTGAGTTTCAACAACTGAATTTGTTACTAAGGATTTTATTTTGCCTGATGAAAGTTTCTTCATTTGATACTGGAATGCTCTGAAAGAAAACAAATAAGTTTATATGACACTGTTTTTTTTTGGGGGGGGGGGTTCTCACAATATATATATATATATATATATATATATATTTTTTTTTTTTTTTTTTTTATGAAATAAATTAAGTCCAACAATTATCTAATATATTTTATGCTTATATGTTATTTAATAGATACGATACAATTTATTTAAGTAACAGTATTAATTACATTTACCAGCCTGAATGTTCAAGAAATCAGGCTGGTAAATATAATACTGTTTATTTAAAAAAACAGAATTTACTTAAATAAATTGTATCTATTAAATAACATATAAATAAAATCCCATTCTATATACATCATATATACTCAAGTGCAAGTTTTTATGATCAGTTTTTTTATGCAAATTTTTTTTTTTTTGAAGAGGTTGAAAATTATGTATTTTTTTGTGTCTGTTTGTACTATACACAGATAAATTTTTTCTGAATTCATGCAAAAAATTTAGGGCTCATACTATATATGGGTATATACAGTAATCATGTGGTTGTGGGTAACATAGTAAAACTTTTTTTTTTTCTTTTTAACCTGCATTTGGAAATAGACTTTTAAAAAGATCAGAGCTCATTTTCTTACCTTTAACTAAGGCCATTTTTTTTAAGCTATGTTAAGATTGCATTGTTTTTTTTAATTTTCCATTACATGTTTTTGATGTTCTGGTTTGCGTTGCTATATCTACTTTGAGAGGTTTGTGCTGTTTGCATTTGTCTCATTGTTAATTCTGTTTGTAGGGACCTTCTGTTATTCCTACATATTTATAACTGCCTAGACAATAATGTAATATATTATGCTATGATAAGATCCAAAGGAAACCCAGAAAAAATATATATTGGAATAACAGTAAGACCCTGGAAACAAAGCATATCCCTCTCAAAGTAGTTTATGGTTTTGAGTTGCCATATCTATCAAAAATAACAAAAACAGCACAAGCTTAAAGTACCTTTAAACAATGGTTTTTAAAATCCAGAACAAAATAAACAAAAGATCAAAGCTCATTTCCAAATGCAAACAAGAAAACAACTTAAATCTAAACTTTTTCACATACAAAACAAATAAATGAAATATATATCCCACTGAAGGAGTAGTGGTAGGTACTTAGTTTGAAGATTGAAACTGTTGGTCACACCATATGTCCACACTGATTTTTATATATAAAACATGTATTAGATTATACAAGTCAATGTTTTTGCAATAAAATAGTTAACTAATCAATGTTGATGAAATTTTCAGGAGATATTTATGTATAATATATCAGGTGAGTTTCAACTTCTATCTGTCCTTATTAAAAAGGAAGTCAGGTTTTATTATGCAAAGTGCAATATATTATTTATAAACCCAAAAGATACAAACCAAAGTAAGTTTCTATAGATTTCTTGGACAAGAATTTACAATTATTTATATTATTATTTATCAACTTTGGTCTTCTCATAAAGGTTCCAACCTATAATTCCCCATTTGTACAGTATTTTATGAACATAAAAGAGCAGCAAATGATAAATGCATTTTATTTTCACTTATAATGAAAAATCATATAGAAAGAAGTGTAGAATTAAATCACATGTTCAAATGCCACCTACTGAAAAATGTTTTGGAACAGGAATTTCTATCAATCATCACTAAAAATTGGTGTTGAGAAATCAATTTTCATATACTTTGCTCAACTTAAACATTTCTGTTTGTGGTGTTCTTGATATTACAAATATTTTTTTACGGGTCAATCCTCCTTATTCTTCATAATTATCCTTTCTATTTTTCTTAAGATATTGTAAACCTTAAAATTTTTGTTTCTCTGTTCAGCTTATCTTTTTACACCTCATGGAAATCCCTATATACCTAAAATTAAAAAAAATAATAATAATATTAATAACTATACTATTTATATATAATGAAAAACCTTGAACATGCATAATAAAATCTCATACTGTCAAATAAGTTATTGTAAGTATTTTTAATAAAAAGTGATAACCTGATACCAACATCAGTTAATACAAAACCATTGACTTGCCTAATAAAATCCATGTGTGTACACATGTATGTGGGTTAATTGAATGACAAAATGGAAAAAAAATGTGTTATGCATTTCATCCTTTGAAAGGACTTTAGACTTCACGTTTTTTTTATCAATGGAATCATACATGTGTAATGAGAGGAAATGAAATAAAACAAACATTAGTCATAAAATTGGACACAAAAAATTTAGTTATCTTGACACATAATTTAGCTGACTTCATTTAACTTTCTACCACTTTTTTTTTTTTTTTAAATATCCCAAAATGTAGTAGCAGTAGTTTTGATAGGAAAAGTGATCTTGGATGTAAATTTACTGCAGAAAACTCAGAAATTAATGCACTTCTTTAGCATGTTGCTTTGTAAAAGATTCCTTCTGTGTTTATATAATCATTTATTTAAAACCCTTGATGTTTTCACTATATAAGAAACCATTTTTTTTTTACAATCTATACTGTAAATTCTTGCTTTTGGTTGTAATTCTGTTATAGTTTTGAAGTAGCTGTAAAAAAGTTTAAATTCTTCTCAATTTTAGCTATTGAGATGGTAGGTTATACTGTGCCTAGTTTTATCAAAATTATTTTCTAATTCTGTGAATCCGTCAAAGTTCACTAAATATACAGGATTCTATCAATAAAAACATTTAGTCTGAAAGAGTCCAGGATGAAATGTGTTCCATAGGATTTTTTTTTCCATTTTGTCACTAAATTACACACTGTCAATTTGATATATGGAGTTTGTATATCATTCTCTCACTTTTGTATGGACAAGGTGTGCTGAAAAGTTCTTTAGTTGACTTTTCTGAAATATGGCTAAAAAAAAAACAAAACAAAAAAAAGCTGTAGGAAAAATTAGTATTAAGTGCTGAGGCCTTCCAGAATTTTAGCTAAGACTCCACAAACCAATTCTCGACACATGCTTACAGTTACTGCACAATTACCATCAGTGATCCACTGCATTTTTCTCCTCCCTGACCATGGAATGTACTTTTTATGTTTAGTCAGGATTTTCATCTAAGCAAAATTATCACTCTTCCACATGCAATAAGTAACTGACTAAACTTCAAAAACACTTCTAAAGTTTCCCTAATACTGTACAAGATTGAATTCACAACTCCAAGGAACAATACAAACTTAATAGCTTGAGCCACTATATCTATTCACTAAGCTAGAGTCATGAGTTCAATTCCTGGGCTAGGCAGTATGATGTTTGATAGAGAAGTAGTGTTATAAAGAAGGCAGAATTGTGAGTTCAAATCCCCAAGAAAGATGCTGGACATGAAGCAACAACAAAACTGTCTGAAGTTTATGGGAGACAGCATATGCTGGTAAGTAGTCTGGCTGAATAAAGTATTGTGTTTGAAACAATGATGTGGATGGGAGTTGGAGAAAAATGATTCTATGTACTCACTCTGAAGTAAGCTTTGTCTGGCTTTTGCGAATGCTTCAATGTCAGCATCCACTTGTGCATCTCCAGTCAGAGGTAAGCCACCATAAAGTGAACTGAAAACATAAGTAAAAACAATAAAGAAAGGCTTACTTACATAAAATGGTTCAAATGGTTTACTCTATCACAATAAGTCAAAAACCCTCCAGCCATTAATACAAGTGACAATACGTAGATTTTACAAGAAAGTGAAAATGACATTGAATGTTTTTTAACTTTTGGTCAGAAAGCATATTAATATCTTTTTTTTTTTTTTTTAAATCAGATTCTCTTTTTCTTTTTTTTCCTGATAAAAGAAAAAGTTTTTATTTTAGACTTGAAAAGGAACAGGAGTCGTTTTACAAACAACTAATTCTAACAAGGTAGTGAGAAGGGAAAATAATTTTGACAAGTAATTATAGATACCTATCTATTTTACCTTAGAAAAACACATGGCTCCAAGATTGCTGCAAAAATTCAAGTACTTTTGAGTCTTTCAGATGATAGGTAACTTTTTTCACTGAAGTTTCGAAATATTAAGAGGCTTCTTTGGAGATGGATGTCTTTGTTTCAAAACTTGTATTAATAAACTTTGATAATTTAAAACTTTGCCCTACACAGGAATGAGGAATTTTGGAAAACATGAAATGACAAATCTTTTGGCCAGAATTTCCCAATTATCCAAAAGTAGATGTTCAGATGCAGTGATAGTAAAAGAGGCAGAGACCAATGAAAAATGCAGGCATGTTAAAAGGGTAGGGTAGTGCAGTGTAGGAAAGACAAAAAGTGCTGACCAAAAAGGAACCTTGTGGAGAATTAATGTTAGTGCAAACCATAACTCAGAGATTTCCAATAAATGGAACTGGGATCTTTGTCCCAGAGAGATCCTTTTGGGTTAATATAAATTGTGAAAGGTTATTTCACTATCCATGCTGCCCTCCCAAATTGTCACTATTCTTGTGTAGATATATATTTTAGCTGATCTAAAACTTCCCTATAAAGGGAAGTAACTCATGGTCCCTTATACATACGTATTCCCTATTTTTATTTTAAGCAAGATTATGTGAATAGAAATATCACCAAAATCTACATACGGTTTCACTGTATTTGTAGAGTAAATTACAAAATTACTGTTTTTATGAAAATAATTCCATAATAATAAAGTCAATGGTATTATAAATATGAACCATAAATATGAACCAACTGGCACAATCTGCAACAAGTTTAAACAATCAGAAATCTCATAGGCAGTATCAATCCAGCTGACATTCAACATTTCTTTTCAACATTTCTTTAATAATTGCAATCTCAATTCTAAAACATTTTTCACTGGTAACTTTAGCAGAATGTATTGACTGATTGATTCGTTTTCTACAGCTTAACCCTTTGCAGGTTATTTAAAGCCAGAATATATTTTTAGATTGTAAGAATTTTTTTTTTTTTTTTTTTTGAGATAATGGTTTACTGATACAAGTCTTACTAATTAACTCATAGAAGTGAAGAGAAGAGGTGAATTCATATTTTCTCAAGGGAATTGGAACTCAGCTCTCCAATTAACCATTACACTACCCACACATCCAAGCTTAAAGCACCTGGTATTCCCTAGCAGTTACCAGTAGAATGTATTCATACAATGATTTGTTGCCTATAAGAGATATTAATTTCCTTTGGTTTAATCGAGAATAATTTAATCCAAGGTTGTATGCTTTATCAATGCTTTTATCCATGGTTAATGATTCAGAAGCCAATCTACTGTTTATTTTCTTGAATTTCTATATTAAAGGACAACATTTTTTAATGAATGTTGAATGTTTCTACATAAAGAAACATATTAGCCTATTGCCACTTCTCCTTTATTTCATATTTTATTAGCCAGAGAAGGTTGACTGAGGAAGTTGCAATAAAAGACAATGAAAGATGCTTCCTCTCAGAATTCAATATAATTAAAGTGTAAAATAAACTAAGCATAAAAGCAAACAGAAGCCTTAAAACTAGTTTAATTCTATAATTATAAATTATTTAAAATTAAATTTTATCCTCCTTCAATTTACAAAACAATTGTCATTAGTGCACTAAATATGTGCAACTCTTATCAAAATATCTTCCTCTTTTACTCTAGAGTTTTTTTAATTGCAGCACTAGACTGGCATAAAGATCACATCAATTTACAGTTGAGTTAGATAGATGTAGCCATAAATTCTATGCTAACAGTTTTTTTCTCTTGCACATCTTGCTTATGCAACTCCATGCTTTCTAGCCAACTTCAATCTGTAAAAATTTAAATGCAATGTCAATTGCTATCTACTGTCCTCCTGATTACTCTCTTCTCTTTCTGCTCATCATTAATGTTTCTGTTCCTAATTCTTCCACACCCTGTAACCCCTTGTGTTTTAGTAGCATTAGTGCCTTGCTTGGGGTGATTCCAATTTTTTAAGTAGTTAATATTTTTTTATGACTTCAAACAACCAGAGAAAAAGTACTTTCAATCAATTTTGGCAATGAAACTGATAACAGGCATCTAACCTTAGAACAATCAACTACCAATACAGTATTATAATAGCAAATACAAATGCATATAAAATGTACTTACGAAGTGTGACTTTGTGATGAGGACGTTTTCTTCGAAAGCATATGTGAATGGTTGGAGTTGACAGAAGAGGATGATGACATGGGAAGCGATGTGATGGAAGACTGTTTATACACTGACTGCTGATTATAAGATGGAGTGGGAAGTTGATCCCAGGCTGCCATTTTATGGTCTGCACTTTTTTCTTTATTTTGTTGCTGCAAAAAATGGTTTGTTTGAAGTTCTCATTATTTAATAATAATTTAATTATGATTATCATTATTTAATAATTTATTATTTCACCTTAGTAAGTGGAAAGTTTTAAAGTTTTATACACTACTCCAATCAATCATTATTATGTTATTATAAATTACACCCTCCCATTACCTCAGATAAATAATGGACTATTCCATTTTGATTACAATGAAAGATGGAAGAAAAGGTTATATCAGAGAAGCTTTGTGGTTTTAGTGAGAAAAACAAAGGGACAATAGAGGAGGTGATAACACTCATGTTTAACATCTGCTTCAGTGAAATGGAAAATCTTATCAATTTCAAAGCATTTCATTTGTATCCTTTTTAAATAAAAACCTGCATTCATATGAATGATTGTTGTTGCAATATTTTGTTGAAGTTGTTAAGCTCAAATATTTAATAACATAATAGGGGAATTTCCATGGGTGTTTTTATAGTTGCAGAACTCGAGTTCATTCAATCATTAAATTAGGAATTATGATTCTTCAGAATATTCAAACAAGAAACTGAAATTTTCATGGGTACTGCTGCTTAATATTATTAAAATTATTTATTAAAAAAGGAAAAAGTAGTTTTCTACTGTGTATTCAGTCATTTTTTAAAGAGTTTTTGCACACATCTAATATGTTTTTATTAATATTTCTTCCATTTTAATTTTTATTGGAATTACTCAGATAATCATTCTAGGAGTGAATGGCATGGATATGAAAGAAAAAAAATAATCTTTCAGTTGATAACACTTTACATTTAATAAAAATTTAAGATATTACAGTTGCAACTAATACTACTAATGTACACAAAAAGAATAAATTCTAACATGGTGTGAAGCAGCTGGAAGAGCGGGGAAGAACAGTAAGTTTATATGGTTAGATTTGGTTTGCCAACTATAAAATCATGTAGCTTAAAAACAATGGAGGAACTATTACAAAAAAAAACAAGGCATCTCGAGAGAGATTCAAATCTTACTAGGAGCTTACTATTTATTTCCAACTCACTTTTTACTAATAGCCTTAGACCAGTGGTTCCCAACCATGTTTTGACCATGCCCCACCTAAGCATCCCTAAAATCCTGATGCCATCCCCCCACTACTTGTTTCCCATGAGTGTATTTGTATTTTGACACTGTAACAAAAGACTGTTTACTTGTACTATAACACTTCCCTTTCACTATATGTCACTCATAACAACTTTGACTTAACTCACCAAATCAACCACTTTTCATGTCATTCAACTTCTGACCAGTTATATATACTAGCCCTCAGCCAAACAGAAAGGTCAGGAGGTGACATCACATCATTCAACTATCCAACAAAAATTTTAAATAATAGTCATACAGACAAGAGTCAGCTTTGCATAGTCTCATCTTCAAATAACAAGACACAAATTAACAAGTGGCCATATCCCTGGGATTGATTCAGATATGATTAGTGTGTCAGCATTGATGCCTATGTCAAAAACTCATGAGTGGGCTATTTTTGACACTACCCACATGCAAGTGTGAAGCCCCAGATTAAATTGACCCTGTGTCATATTTGTTTGTACTGAGAGGCAAATTGATATCAGTTTTCTAGAAGAGGTAAAATATGGTGTTTTATGAAGTACTTGAAGGTTAATAATTGTGTTTCCACTTAAATTGATAAAAGTATAAGCCAGTTTTCTGAATTCCATACATATTAAAATTTTGACCAATCTTTTCTAATTTACACTAACAGAAAATTAAATTGTAACACTCCAAAAGATGAAAATGAAGCTGCTGCTTGTGACTTGTACATCCTAGTGTGTAGTAGACAATCTGATAAAATTTTTCAGTTATCAGTCATCTTGTGACAATAATAATACATACAAGTGCATCATCTGTGTCTTGCAAGCTACAAGGTTCAATGGAATGAAAGAGTTAAGTGCAAGTAGATGTCCTTCCACAGAGATGCAAATGGACTTATGTACAATTAAAGCCATTTGAGAAGGGACGGATTGTGAGCATTCCAGAGGCTAACTGATCATTTCAGAGAATAACAATGTTAGATTCTATGTGTTTTGTCAAATGAACATTCCTCTACTTGTAGACAAAGTTATGGATGGCCACATTATACAGACACTCACCAAAAACACAGGAGCAGCAGTGGTAGATTAAACAGCATTCACACCACAGCTCAGAGAAAATATGACCCCAGAAATGTTAACATGGAGGTGCCCTTAAATAAAATCTGTATACAGGTATATGCTCCAAATTAAAATATCTATAAAAAGAGGTATCTTGAAATATAATTTGTATACCAGGATGTACTTCAAAATAAAATCTGTATACAAGGATGTACCTCAAAACAAAATCTGTATACAAAGATGTTCTCTAAAATAAAATTTGAATATGAGTAGATGCTCGAAAATAAAAGCCATATACAAGTCAGTGCCCAAAATTAAAAATCTATATAGAAAGAGGTGCACTAAAACAAAATTTTATTCAAGAGGGTACACCAAATAACCAGAATTAGGGGTCTTTTGCATAATTACAACTTTGAAAAGAAACCTTTGTTCATTTTGAACTTGTTCCCTCAAATTATGACAATATTCAAATAATTATTTTTATCCTTTTTGAACAAATGAGGTATAAATTTTACAGAAACGCATTTCCTTTTTAGATCACCTGTCAACATGAACTCCAAGAAAAACCAATCACCCAAGATATATCAATGACAATCTCCAATTATTGCATAACGTTTTTAAATATTTACATCATTTCAGTTTATTGATGGTTAGCCACGTAATAGTCTTGAAGTGACATTTACCACATATGAAACATGGCATACCACAACTCCTGTTTTAGCTAAGGCTTCTTTCTTAAAAGCTTCTCAAAACATAAGTTCAGTAACAGTTCTTGCCTAAAAGAAAAGGAAAGCTTCACACACACACACAGTCCTTTTTGTCTGTTATTGTGGAAATCATTAAAAAAAAATGATTGCAAACACAAGATAAATAGCCAGTAGAAAAAAAATTCTATCCAGAACCACATGGCATGCTGGCTAAGAATAGTGTTAACTCATGACAGCGAGAAGTGCAATGTGCACTTATGTCCAGTTCACATGCCACATTTGAAATTTGTTTGTTTTTTTTTAATACCAGCATAAACATTAACCACTTCAGAATGGCTGACAGAATATCTGAAGAGAAATATCAGTCCTGAATCTTCTTATTCTAGTAGTAAATTGGATAGTGATTTAACTTTTAAATAATGATGAAGGCAGTGAACAGCAATGATTCTTCTGGAGCAGCTGACAAGATATTTCAGATATGATGCTACACATTGACAAATAGCATACAACAACCCCAGAGAGAAAAAAATATTACATTTTTAACTAAAATTTTCTAAATATAAATTCTGTCAGGAAGCAAAATGAAGTAAAAATAAATTCATCAGTTGGTGCAGTTAATAAATAAAATAAAATGTGTTAAGTTTTGATTAGTTTTCTTTTATCTTGTATTTTACATTCTACAAGTGCTAAGCAAGCAACATGGCTCATACATAAAGAACCCATATTGCTTGTTTAACTATGGTAGAAAGATTTAAAAAAAAAAAAAAAAAAAAAAAGACTTAAAAAAAAAAAAAAAGACTTAAAAAAAAAAAGACTTAAAAAAAAAAAGACTTAAAAAAAAAAAAAGACTTAAAAAAAAAAAAGACTTAAAAAAAAAAACACTTAAAAAAAAAAAAGACTTAAAAAAAAAAAGACTTAAAAAAAAAAAGACTTAAAAAAAAAATGAACACAATGAAAGTGAATTTTTTTTTTCTTTTACTCTTTTTGTCACCAAATAAGATTTTTGTTTGGAAAATGAATAATAATAATGACAATGCTTCATCTAAGAAATTTGGACAATTTAAAACTGTCATGTCTTATGACTACAGAGTGTAAATAAGCAACAAAAATGGGATGAAAGAAAAATGAGTTAAACTACTTAATAGTAACAAAAGTATTTAATCTAATTTGAACAACATAAACAGTTTGTATCAGAACCAATTGGCATATTTGGCAGAAAAATAATTATTCTGCTTGTTTAATGATTTTTTCCTAATTTTCACCATATTTAATGCTACAAATTAACTCACAAATGAATTCAGTAACACAATATGTCCTCATCTCTGCTGATTCATCTAACAAGGCTCATTCCAAAAGTAATGCTTCCTGTTATGTTGGATGTTGGTGGAATGCCACTAAACAGGCAGCAGCTGAGTATCAGTCTGACAAAATGATGTCTGACATGACAATTCATATGAAGCAGAAGTGTGTCACTGAATGCAGAACAAGATTGAACATATTGGCATTCAGCAATGCTTGCTGAATGTTCACAGAGACCAAACCTGTGAATGGTTGTGACTATATACAAAAATAGTATTTTTTAGCTGAAAACTTGCCCAGAGTTATTTTTTTCCATGTATCTGTTGTAGTTTCTATAAAAATAAATAAGAGGCATTACTTTTGATGTATTCATCATCTTTCTTTGATCTTATTTTTTTTAAATGTCATGTCTCTCCACAACCTTTTTTCATACTTGTGAATTGCCATGACTATTTTTTCCAAAAAGATAGTAGAGTGGTTTCTCATTTCCTTTTTCATGTTTTTGAATTCAGATTTGTCCTTCTAGATCGATTACCTGATCAAGGCCAATCTGCCATATTATTTATTGAGGAGGGTAGATGAATTTATGCCTTTCCTAACAGCATCAAGGGGAAGGGAACATGACAGCTTTAACCAGAATTTGAACTCTGGCAGCTAATTTCATTTTTCTGTGTTAACAGTTAACCCCCCGCCACATATCCACTTATTACTTACCTGTGCCAAATTCATTTGTTCTGCCCACCAAACTTCAAAATCTTTCATTAACTGAACTTTGTCCTTCTCCAGCAAATGTTGGCAGTGTTCAATTGTTGTCTTCAAGTTCCGAAGGGAATTAAAGTTGTCTTTGTATCTGGAGAAGCAAAATTGTTTTAAATAAATCTGGAGAAAAAAGTGAATAAATTCCAAGAAGTCCCTTCAGACTCTGGTTTATTCATCCTTGTTAGCAATTTACAAAAATCATACAAACCATAAAGTTTCTTATAAACTTATTCATTCAGCTTAGTATCCTTATGTTGGTTTTTATCATCACAACATTTTAGCTATTGTACCCTCCAACTTCCTTCAGATGGTTGTCATATTTGGAAATCCTCTGGTTAAAACATTACCAAAATATCAACCAAGACTGAACAAATCAGTGTGTACAGTAATAGTAATTCTTCATTTCAAAAATTCAGTCAAAATTTCTGTATATGACTATCTCAATCCCACCACAATACAATTTTTTTAAAATGTCCTTTCTTGTATGAAAGTCTAATAATAATAAAAATTAAAAAAAAGAATAGAAAAAATGGTTAGAAGAAAGAGTGAGGAGTTATTTTTGGTACCCAATGCATAATTCTGCTCAGATAAATATTTCTGCCATTTGTGGTGCTTGGAACGTAACACAAACTTGCCATCACTTTCACTGCATATTTTTCTTGTGGTGTGCGTGTGCGTGTGTGTGGGGGGGGTTCAGACACAAGGAGACAAGTGCTTTACCATTTGCACATTTCTGCTACTGACAGAATATTCACACTGAATTAGGCTATTCCAACAAAAGAGGGACCCTTGGATTTGTGTAGAAAACGATTCATTTAACTTTCTATACAGAAAATGATACCCACAAATATAAATTTGGGTGATTGGCATTTGAAACATAGTTATATCTTAAAGATAGGAATTTTTCAGAAGTTTCTTTTTATTCCTATTTAAACAGAGATCTAAACTGTTAGGCATTGAATGTGATTTAAAGATGAGGCATCATTAAGGTTCAATAAGATTCTTCAATATGGTCCAGTTATTTATCCTGTGCTTTTATGTGAAAGATTCATAATAAGCAGCTTAATATTATATAAATAAATTATTAATGAAATTGTCTGCATCAAACATTAAATTACACTAACAAATGATAAAAATACAGTGGCTATTTTTTTTATCATTTCATAAATTATAAAATAATCAATAACAATTGAAGCTAATAAAGTTTGAAGAGTGGTTCTCATTATATAAAAACAAAACAAAAAATACAAGCCAGATGGTAAAACAATATTAAACCTTTCCTGTTCATAGGTTACTTCTTTTCCATTCTCTCAATGATAGATTATCAATGCAAACTATAAGAAAAAAGTCTTAAATTGATTTTAATTACTTCTGTCTAAATTACAGTAAGTTCAATTAGCCAATACAGAAAACATTTAATTTTAGAATTCAAATAACTTTTACTAATTAGTAAAAACACCCAATAAGACATGAAGGTTTGGTGGAGAGATATGGCTGTAGATTTGTGTCCTATCTTGTTATAATCTGCTGTAACGAAAATGGTTATACAGTCCGACCTCTTTAATCCAGTGCTCCATGGTCCAGCAACGCCCATGATCTGGCACTTTTTTGAATCAGCACCCATAGTTCATTAAGCGGTTACACGGGAAGTGCCATGTTGTTTACAACTTTCTGACAACAGCAGAGTTTTTCTGATATGGTTTTTCTCATTATATATATATTTGCATTCTTTATATATATATATATATTCTGCATTCAGAAGAGTGAGTATATATTATTTTTTTGGTTTTAGGCATTTTTTTTAACCTTTGTATTGCACAAAACAATAAAAACATTGCAAACAATAATGATTGTTTTATTTTCTGTTTTAATCTTTGTTCTACCTTTGATAAATGAGCTGGCAAATATAAGGTTTCTTAGGGGTGATTTCTGTCAGCTGGCATTAACTTTGGTCTGGCAGTGGCCTGGTCCCAATAGTGCCAAATTAAAGAGGTCAGATTGTAATACCATTTATGTAAGTCAAGTTCCTGACATACAAATCCAAGTCTTGTCAAAAGCTAAATGTTTATTCCTGTGTTAACAGGTTGATGGGTACACAACTTAGAACATTGCAATAACAAGCAACAATAAAATGAAATAAGTTAAAAAATTGCTGATAGAAATATTTTATCTAAGAATTCAAATTACTTAAAAAGTTGATATTCACATAAATTAAGTTTCATCTCAACAGCTCTGTAAACAAATTAATGTTCATTTTTATTTGGCTTTGTAATAAGCATCTTCATATGTTGATTGGAAATTGAAGGGCAAATATAGTGGTTACTTATGTAGGTTTAAAACAATAACATCACATCATTGGTATCAAATTTCTATTATTCAGTTTTTGTTTTTGTTAATTATCAAAGAGGCCACTGAAACTGCCTTAAAAACTATCTCTGAGCTCAATTTTTCTCTTTAAATAACACAACAGTTTATTTAAACTTTCTCATTTTTCACATATTCTTTCACTCAGTAACCCCTTGCATCTAAGTGGTTTTATTGCCTTGCTTGGGATGAAATGATTAAAAACATTACATAACAGTCTAAAATTCTTTTCTTTGATTCTAAGGACATTTTTCACTATTCCTAAGTGCCTTTGGATTCCTATGGTACTATGTCTTTAATAAGAACTTAACATACAAAATATTTTTAAGAGAAAAGAAAATATTAAAATACTACCGTTTCTTTTCTATTTCAATTTTTTCCCGAAGGTTTTGTTCTTCCAAGTCTGATTCCAAATTCTTGGGATCTGTTATTCCTGCAAACAGACAAATATATATATACCTTATTAATATAAACATTATTTTTACTGGGTACATGTGTTTGAGTTGCTACCCATATTTTTTAATTTTCTTAAACATTGAAATTAATAACAACTGGCTTAGATCGAGAAGCAAAATTGCTTGGCTGTCAATGGGAGAGTCCTGACTATATTATAGAAATATGAAAGTGGACATTGAAGTCAACACCCAGAGCCTACAGTATGTTTCATGCTTGAATGCAATCATCAGACCATCTCAATTGTGTTCAAGCATTAAACAGACTGTTGTTTCTGGGTGCTGACTTCAATGTCCACATATATTTACATATTTTCTCTCTCTCTTTCTCTCTGTGTATGAATGAAGACAAAAAGAAAAATTTTTCATATTGTCAAAACAAAAGGAAAACTTAATTATTCATAGTCCTTTACAAGTATATTTTTAGTAACATCTGAAATTTTACATACATACATATACAGGGTGCGATAGATAAATTGTCAACTAAATTATGCAAAAATGAAAACAATACTGACATCTCATTTTAACAGATATATTGACCAAAATTAGATAAAATATCTTGAAATATTAAAGAGTAAATTCATTCAATAAAATTGCAATTGGCTTCAACCACGATCTTCAGATGACTTTGGAATCTCCTGCAAGTCTTCTGGACAATCTCCTTTCAGTTCATCTTTGGTGTTACAAGGAGCTTTTTGGTCTCTCATTCAACTGTGACTCACACATCATAAACAAGGGGGTTGCAGCCTGAGGAGTTAGGTAGCCAGATGTAAGGGGTGATGTGGTTGCAGAAATTGTCTGAAAGCCATGACTGGGTTCTCCTGCTTGTGTGGCATGGTGCAGAGTCCTGTTGCCAGATACACGGTCTTCGAGCAGACATCCTTTTGACCCTGAGCAGCACTACCTTCTCAAGGCACTTGATGTAGGCCTCTGTGTTGAGTCAGAGGCCCTCACTAACAAATTTAGGAGTTCTTTTCTTCTCAGAACAATCAGTGAGTTTTCCAAGTTGTCATACCTTTATAATCACCATTAGACTCATCCAACTCTTTCCAAATCATCCATACTGTCCTCAGATCGACACCCAAATACTCTGAAATGTTCATATTGGCGTGAATACCAAGCCATACAGTAAGCTGTTTCCAAATTTCTGGCAGAGTGAACTGCGTCATGGTGCTCTTTTTCTCACAGATGGTGTCCAACTGACCCTGCTATACTGTGCAGTCAGCAAAATCAAAAACAAACAACGTGCATGCATGAAATTAAAAATATAATATGGCGATAATTTACTCATTGCAGTCTGTATATATGAAAGAGAAAAAAAATGGTTAAGTGTTGCTCAGAATATTAAATATATTTAGAGATAGAACAATCATAAAAATGTTGAAAATCTCTAATTGGTTTAAAGAATTAAAAAACTCATTTAACAACTGACTCACCTTGTAAGCCAAGCTGAACTCTGTGTTGTTCAATTTTAATCTTTATTTGATCTGAAATCATAAACAATTTGTAATTACATTAGATGATTCTTTAGTGCAAAATTTGATACACTGATTGCTAATGTCCTGTATATATTTTGATAGGTGATCAAGGATTCATTTAGTTTGAATAAAAACTATTTTGAAAAATTAGATGCCAACAAAGATAAGGAACAATGAAAAATATTACTTTGTGAAGCCTACTGCATCTTCCAAACAGGAAATAATTTGTAATTTTTGTGTAACATTTTGTTTACTTATTAATCAGTTTTCTGAATAGGAGGTCTTCCTAGAAAGTTCTCAGTTATTTTTAATATTTTGAAAACTGATGAAACCAATTACAAGAGACTTTACTGAGCATCAGGCACTCTCCTGTGAGGTTGTGATGATCTACATCACACACATACATACATAAATACAGATCGTACAATGACAAGCATTCATTGAATAATAAATCAACACTACTTTGTAATAGACAATTTACAAATTGCAGCAATGCGACAATTTTATAAATCGCTCTCTTTTCATGTAGTCAATTTTGTGCACTTTTGGAAGAAATGGATCCCAGAAGCTTTCTTGAGTCTCTCCAAAACTCGCTCACTGATTGGTCAATGCCAACCAATCAGATTGTCTGCATGTGAAGAACAATTCTTCCCATGTAGCAATTCGGAGCCAATGATCACCTATATAAGCAAGAAATATTCTTAGATAATTAGTGAGATTTTAAGCTGCCAAATGAATCCATGACAGTTGAAACCATGTGCCAATCTTCTCACTCACACCACCACTAACATGCTGAATATTCCTTACACAGCAAAACTGTTAAAAACATTTATTACCAGAAACTATCACAAACTTTCTTTCTTTCAGTGAACTTTGGAATACAAATAATAGTTAAAGAGAGATAACTCTTGTTTTACTCAATGCATGCCTTCTTTCATATTCTTGTTTGTACATCTTGTTAAATACATATTTTATGTGTAATGATGTCTTTGGCTTATCCTTTTTTTCACCTCAGTTTGGTTTCCTAATCTAAGTTAATGTGGTGAAGTCCACCACAAGGTTATGCAGTTGGCAGTGAAAAGTCATTGAGTGTGACTATTGCATTTGCAGTTGCCAAGGAAGTAGATATGCCATATTTGGGCAAAACAGCAGATCATCAAGCTTCAAAGTGTATCAGCTGCTCTACAGTTCAAACTTGGTTCTCAGCAACTTCTGGCTTTTTCCACAGCTAAAATCACAATTGAAAAGGAGGGAATTTCAAACCATGGATGAGATTAAAGAGACTGCAATAAGTCAGCTGATGGAAATCCCAAAAGAGGATTTTGCAGACAGTTTTGAAAAGTAAAAGGTGTAAATGTGTGAGGTCTCAAGAGAGAACTTTATAGGAGACTAAGGCACCATTTTTTTCTTTTGTTTACTTTCTTTTTTTTAAAATTAATAGTTGAATACTTTCAGGACAGACATCATATTTAAATTTTTTATTATTCAAACCTAACCAGCTACTTTTAGATAAAAGCCAGCCTTTGACATGATTAGTAGTATTATAAACCTATTGATGAAACAACTTAATCATGAACAATACAAACAAGGACCAATATTTTTTCTACAGTTTCTTAATAACTTCAGTAAATTTATTAACAAAAGGCATTCTGTATACATTTATTTATATAAATTTGAATAAATATCTCTGCTCAAAAACTCCCAAATTATGTACAAGTAATTTTTTTATATGTGTTGTAAAGGTGGAAATGGGTAACCTTGAAGATAGAACCTTCTTGTTAATAATGTGAAGATTAATTCCTTCTCTGTCTCAGCAAACATAAATCGAAGCGTCAAACAAAAGAGGACATTGAATAGGAATAAATAAATGTATAATTTATTTACATATATACAAAAACTAGTAGGTTTCTATCTGTTGCTGTTGCTAAGACAACAGGGAGAGAGAGAGAGTGATGAAATTAGAAGTGAAATGGACATTGGTGGTGGCCATTGTCAGTGATGTCTTTCTCTCAGAGTGTCGGTGTTGACATCAAATGCTGAGCTGTGTCAGGCTTGTTTGAATTTGGGTATATATATGATTTTTAGTCAGCTCAAAATTATGGTTTTCATTTTTAAGTGGGAGTGGCTATGACTGGTCATAATATATTTATTATTAATTTTGTTTTGGTTAAATCAGATGTATGCATGGAGCTGATATGCAGAAAACATATTTATGCAGTGTGCTTTGGGTTACCAAATGATCAACATCTGGTTTGTGTAGAAAAATGTAAGAGGCATGACAGATGCAAATTTTTAATGATACATTAGAACAATTTATTAAAATTTTATTTATGCATGAAATTACGATTGTAAATTCAGATACACCTACCTTTACACTTATTTTTATGAAAAAAAAAACTTCCATCTTGATCTTTGCTAGTCACAAAATGCTAAGAGAGTTTTTTTCATGTGCCTTTAAAATAATATATGCAGAAAAATCATCTTTTTTCTCTCAATTACAAGGGAAAGTCAATAATTATCTGCACTCTTGTATAAAAGATATGAAAATTCAGATAATCTTTTGATTAACCTCATAGATTTATCTGTTTTTTTTTCTATACCATGACATGTTAAAAGTACACTAATTATCCAATTCATGGTGACTGAAAAGCATGTTTAAAAAAAAAAAAATAGCAAGCTTTGCCCTTTGGAGAGATTTCAATAAAAAAAATTAAAAAGAAAATATGTTAAAATCATACAAATTTCAACAGCAAGATGTACTGATAAGATTGTTTCATAGCCAGGAATGATATTAACACATTCACCAAAAAGGTTGATAACAAATACAATGAATGAAATGAACTACATAACTATATTGGATAAACAAAAAATGATCAGTTGCTTTATTAAAAAGACATTTTATTTTTGACATTAACTTTATTGAACAATATATTTAATGTTACATTCCTCTATCTTCTGCTATCTTTCAAGCAACTTTATAATTTCATCATCAAAAAATATTTTATTTTTCTCCGCAAAGAACTACTCTAGGTTCCTTTTGCAATCTTCCTGAGAATTGAAGTTTTCTTTATTTACATTAAAAGATTTCTATGAAGACCAGAGACAAATGGTAATTTAAAAATGAAATAACTGGTAAGTACAGCAGGTAAAGGCAAACTCAGCCAAACAAGAATAATTTTATCTGATCACAAAAGAAATATGCAATCTAGTGTTATAATATGTTAAGTTAATTCTGAATTCTTTTCATTGATGGCTATCTTTAATTATTGTATTTGGGAACAGTACTTATTGAAATCAATCATTTACTTTTTTAGAAGAAGTTGATAATAGTGGACTCATTTCTAACTTTATCACAAATTCACTTTCTTTAGATAAAAGCCACCATTTGACATGATTAGTGGGGATTCATTTCACTTTTCTCATAATCTCTTGTATTCTACATAATTTAAAAATACTCACTTTTCATAACTTGTCATGCAGAAATATGATCATCAATATGATGGAAGCCACACATCAAAGCAGCTAACATAACTAAGCTAGTTATGAAAGAAAAAAGTCTTTAAAATAAATTACTACCTAAATCTTCTATGGAGCATAATCTAGTGGATAAAAATACTGATAAAAGATTATCTGGTTCCTTGAAATACACAAGTTCAACCCCTGAGTCAAGCAGAGAATCAGATTGACAATATAAGAAAGATTTGTCAAGTTTTGAAGAATTCTCTACAAGATGGGTATATAAGAACTCTATACATTCCTAGATTGAATAAAGTGTTTTCTTCAACATACCCAGAAGGCTACCAAATGCAATAATAACATGAGGAAGGCTGGAGAACTCTTCGCTTGATAGAAACCTCAAAGAGGTGCAAACTAATCTGAAAAGATCAATGTATAATAGTAACAATAGCATGTTTAAAAAGTTCAGGCAGAAAGAAAGCTAGAGTGTATATCACCTGAAATGCTGCAAGATAACAAAATGAGGAATTGGTCCAAAAGAATTACTGTACAATAATAATACCATATCTAAAAAAATACAGACAGAAAGAAGGACAAAGGGTACATCAATTTAAACATTTTGTATTATAGTAACAATGCCTTATCTTAGAAATTGTATCAAAAAGAAAATAATTACTTACTAATTTTCATTCTTGACTCATTCACTTGTTCCCCAAGATGTTTCGCTTCAGCATAACTTTTTTTGAGATTTTGTTTCTTGCTTTCAATGGACTTATTATTCCAATAATCTTGGCAAAAAATTTCAAAAGCTTCCTGTCGTCCCATGGACATGGGCCCCACTGCTTACAAAAAAGCAAACATTGCATCAGATTGTTTAGTATTATAAAATACATTAATATTATTATTATTCAATTACAACATCATTGCTTGAATAAGTTACATTCATCCTTGTATATTATGGAGACAAAGTGACTTTTAAGTGTGTCAGTAAAATGAGCATCTTTATCCGCATCATGTCTGTGGTAAGATGAATGGAGTCATAATGTCACCATCACTCGTGATCACTCCAAACACCTACGTAATCGCCATTAGATTCATCCTCTGCACTGTGCTCAGATTGACACCCAAATACAATGAAATGTTCGTATTGGAGCTTCCGTCACAAATGCCAAGTAGTACAGCATGCCATTTCCAAATTTTTGGTGGCCTGAATTGTGTCATGGTGCTCTTTTTCTCATAGACAGTACTTAACTGACTCTACTATACTGTGAAGTCAACAAAATTAAAAACAAATGTGCATGCACAAAATTAAAAATATAAAATGGCAACAATTTACCCATTGCATCCAGTATATAAGCAGTGAATCATATGAGTTTCAGCTTAGAATATCTTTTCTTAATATTGATAAAATATTGATAACTTTTCTTGGTTTTATGAGGCAAACAAACCAAATGCAATATAACTTTTTATTCATAAATAACTCCAAAAAGTCATTGGAACCTATTTAATTAACACAATATCCCATATATAGAAATAAATTTATATGTTAATACGGGGCTTCTTGACATTCTATAACCTTCTGCAGTCTTTCATCATTGATTTTGTTAACTTTTTTATCATTTCAATTATAACATTTATTGGATCAGCTTTTATTTCTTCCCAAAGATCTTTTTTTACTTGAATATTGTTTTCCATTCTCATAAGGATCTCGTTGAATGATTGACCTCGAGTTTTCAATTGAATTAATATCTATAGAGCTGAGAACGGGAGGTAATCCATTAAAATATCCCTTTTAATTTAATTCTAATCTTTTTTTTTTGTGATAATCTTAAAACCAGTTTTTTTCTTGCCAATGTTAACAATTTCTTTTGAGTTTTCTTTGCAGATTGAGAAAAAATTGAACAGGTCAAAGATATTTTCCTAAAATACCTCTATAACTCTAAAATACCTTGTTTCTCTTATGACCCATGGTAATCTTTATTTATCTGAAATTTAAAAAAACAAAAAAAAATCAATATCAATAACTATATTATTATATATATATATATATATATATATATATATATATAGTTTATGAAAAATTAGGTAATCCATCGTATGGGTAAACCTAAGGAGGATAAAATCCAAAGAGCTCAATGTAAATCCAGAGCAAATATATATATATATTTACAATATGATGAACAACCACTGAATCATAAAATCTCACAACCAAATAAGTTTTTGGGAAATATTTTCACAAAGTAGAGATTCTTGTGAAGGAGCTGTCTGAGTGAACCTTCCTCCTTATCAATGGAATGAGGATGAGTCGATTCAGAGTACCTGGCTTGTCAAGTCCTAGCTGTGAATGTCTGGCCTGGTGGAACCAAGGAATGTAGTTCACCTGAACATCTGCCATGAAAATAGCAATAGAGGCTAGCAACATTTTGTGGGACAGAGGCTGCAAAGTAGAATTAATCACCCACAAGGCCACAGAAATGCTTTTGAACTCTGTCAAGGCTGGAAAGTGGTGACTGGTCAACTCCAACCAAGATGTGGCAGTAATAATCCATTTTGGGTCTGATTATATGTACAATGTGAGGCATATGAATATGTACATACATGTTGGTACACACACATATATATATATATATATATATATATATGTGTGTGTGTGTGTGTGTGTGTGATAAAGTTAATTGGTAATCCGTATGGACAATTCCAAGGAGGATATAAATCTCAAGAGCTCAATTTAGTAAACAGAGCAAGTAATGATTAATTAACAAATCGGAGACGTCAGAAAGCCATGGTAATATTTTCTTTTGCGAGACCAATGAAATTCAATTTCACTTCGTCAGACTTTGCAGTTTCAAAACAATGAGTGAATTCAAAAATTCTTCCAGAAATCAACTGAAAAGTGAAATGAAAAACAAAATTAGAGGAAGTTGTGTGTGTGTGTGTATATATATATATATATATATATATATATATATATATATATATATATAGGATTAAGACAAATATAAAATTTATCACTTAACTGATTGATGTTATATTCAGCACCACATCTCCAGAGTTTTAGACGAACCTTTTTGTAGTCATTTGGTCCACTTACTTGTCAGTAAGTATTAGCAATTATCTGCAGATTTTCTTATTTTCTTTATTTTTATATTAAATTAAAAAATAATTTATGTACTTTTTATTGGTGTTAGGTTGATTTTTTTCTTCTCTGTGTGTACGACTGTATTATGAATTCTGTATGCATAGGGAGGAAAGGGGAAGATACAAATGTGAACATTGGTTATAATTATGCACCAAAGGGAAAAGCTGAAGATGTGGAAATGCTATATTTTAGTATTTTAAAATTTTTTGGCATCCAACATGTCTGGATGCACAACTCCCACCTTTAATACATAATTCCATCAATAAGAACATTAGTCTAATGAAGTCCTTTTAGAGGACGCAACAGGTTACATAGAATTTTTCCACTTCATCATTCAACGGTAATGCATTGTTCTGATAAATAGAAATTTATATATCAAATTGTCCCATATATAAAATTAAATGTTCACTTGTAAGCATACAAACAATGATAGTCACAAGAGTCACATGATGGCTAGTGAATGACATCAGGAGATAAAATGACAAAGGGCAGTCGCAGTGTAGTGCCCAGTGAGGAAGGATGTCCCTAGCCCACAGCAGTAGGCCTGACAGAAAAAACCACATGGCCTCATCAGGTTCATAGAGAAATTGCCATAACTCCAGTTTTTCCTTTAAGAAATATTACAAGTGAGACTCCCTTTTTTTACAATCTTTGTTGCATATGTGTTATAATTTCTCTGCATGGGACACATGCATGTGTGAGTGTGTGTGTATATATATATATATAATTTTGTGTACGACATTGCATTATAAAAGTCTCTCCGAGAACAAGGCATGTTTGTCATTCTTTTTCCTTTCAGCCATTCCGTTCTGTCCATGAAATACGGTATTATTATATCATGGATATAATAATGCCCATAATGGGGGGTAAATACAAATAGGAGAATATGTCTGTCTGAGAACAGAGCATGTTTGCTATTCCTTTTCCTTTAAGCCATTACATTCAGTCCAAGAAGTACAGTGTTATTATATCATGGATATAATAATGCCCATAACAGGGGAAATGCAAATGGGAGAATAAATCTTTCTACCATGGCTTTCTAATGTTATACACTTATACCTACTTGGAGTTTTGTGAAGATTACATTGTAAAATTTTTAAAAATGTAAAAATTGGGATTTTACAACCAAATCACCTGACTAATGTACGTAATCACCACAAAACTCAGAGTAGGGATAAGTGAACATATAGGGTGCTATAGTTACAAAAACTGCTTGTCTTAAAAAAATCTTTCAGAAATACCCTGTCAACCCTTTTCAAGTGGGGTGGCAAAACACATTATTTGTTATTATTATAATGCCACTATTATATGGCTATTGTCATAACATACTCTTACTTTGTATAACAAATTTCATATAAGGCTTCTCTATAAATAATGTTTTGGCTACTTGCCATGACACCTGTATAGTTAGTCTGAAGACTAACTTCAAATGGCTACCAGTTTTACCTCTGACCTGGAGCTCTTATAGTAATGGTCTAGTTCATAGTCACTAGGGTTGTACTATTTACTCCACAAGAGTTATAGTCATATACACATTTATATATACACACTGTTGAACATATGTATACACACACCTAAAGTTGGACATATTAATAATATGCATACTGTCAGATATATACATACTCACATATCAGTTTTTGAGTTTTCTTTTCTGCCACATGGTGACTGACACTGTTCTGCTGAACCCAGGCATCAACGCCTTGAACACATTTTCTCTCCTCCTCTGCAGATCCACTATCACGACTTTTGCCAGTTGATCCCTGGCTCAAATTATTGCTAATCAAGGAATCAAGGGATTCTCCTTGACTCACTGTGTGATGATGTCGTCCTTGTTGGATGTCAGAATTTTTGCTTTTCTCTTTTTTCAGCATATTTACCAAAATATCTACAAGAAAGTCAAGGAACATAAACAAGTCTTAAATTAAAATTATTTTCAATTTCTAGATCTTTTTTTTCTTCTTTTCTTTTTTGTTTAAATCAATTCACCCCAATCAAGGTGATAATGCCACTAAGATGCAAATGGCTAGTGGGAGTGAAAGAGAATGAAAAAAACTTTAGAAGAAACCCAATTCCAAACAGGAAACAAAGGATAAACCTCTACTCCTGTTCAAAAGAACAGGTAGGTGTATGAACCTTCCCAGTTATTTTCTTAATGTTTCTAATTTCCTCTTATTTGTAGCCACTTAGGAGTAGCAAACAATATATCTTACGAGAAATTTCTTTGTTTTGAGTCTTCTTATTTTGGCAGTGAATCAAATATTGGTTCAAGACAATTCATAGATAGTGATGTAGGCAGTGAAAGAAAGCATTGTCATGGAACAGATAACCAGATATCTCACAAGAAATTTCTTGGGACTTCTTACTCTGGCAGTGAATAAGGTAGTGAATAAGGTAGTAATTCAAGACAATTAGTAGATTGTAATGTAGGCAGTGAAAACAATGATTGTTATAGAGTAGCTGACAAGCTATTTCATCAATATGAAATCATACAAAAAATATCCAAATCCCAAGTAGTTAAATCAAATTTGAAGAATGAAAGTCTGTCGTTATGTTAATGTTTGAATTAACAAATAATCCATAATGCTGATATGCAAAGAATAACAGTATAAAGTGAGTACACAAGTCAAGTATGAAGGGGGTGATGAAATGTTCCTGGCTCAACACATTTTACTAAAAAAAGAGATTTTGTAAATCTCTTGTTAGTTGGGTGTATAATTCAAACAGAAAAATTAAAGAAAAAAAAAGAAAAGGAAATTATTCAAATATTATCTTAATTAGAATTAACCAGCTGAACACACACACACACACACACACACAAAACAATTATAAGAATAAATTTGAAGCTAAAATGATCAGGTTGTTCAACAGAAAAAAAGTCCAAATTTATTTAATCTAGATAAATTGAAAATAAAAAAAAATAATCACATAAAAATTATTTTCAAAATATTCTATTTTTTCCTATTTCTCTATTCTTGGAATTTCTATCAGATAGCTAAAAATCAAGAAAGTAATTCTTATCAAATTCAGAAATGTTTTCCTAATGTAATACAATGTGTATAAATACTAGCAGCACATAATAGTTTTAAGTGACCAAAAAAGCCTAAATGCTTTTTGAGGTTCATTTATTATCAGCTTTAAAAAATGGCAGCAGCCTATAGTTTTTAGCAATATCATTGACTATTAGATAATATTCAGAAGTGTATATCTATAATAGTAATGAGTAAAATCAACATGACAGCCCAAAAGTTGATTATGTAAGTTTGTTGAATGTATGAAGCCAAAACAAATTCATTAGAAGGAATTTATAAAATATGTACAATGTTTGGTGATGGTGAAATTAGAGATTAGACTGCTCAAAAGTCATTCAGGAGAATTTTTTTTATTTATTTTTTTTTTTTTTTTTACTGGAAATGAGCCACTTTAAAATGCATCTGATGAAAGGACTTGTGCTGAGTCTAACCTGCTTCAAAATGTCTTGGGTGAGAATTAATAGTCCATGTGTCATATTTCCTCAATATATTCTTGTCTGATTATCATCTCTTTTTGTCTGCATAATAAAAAAAAATCAATTAAAATAAAGAAATGCAATGGTTTTGCATTAACGGCAAAAGTAATCTATTCAAAAGGTATTTATACACATGTAGGATGTGTGGATGGTGAAATGGTTGGCAGGTTGGAAAGAGAAATCGACATGTCAAGTTCAAATTCCGGTCAAATTCATTATGTTCACTTTCGCACAAATACCATTGGAAAATATATGAAACCATCTCTTCTCCTCCCAGCTATGTGTTAAATAGCAGAGCAGACTGGTCTCTCTTTATAATCAGAAGGATATCTCTGAATTCAAAACCAGATGATGAGCTAATGGACAGATAGAAGCTCTTCAGCTATTTGGTAACCAGGATAATTCTGAATTCAAAACCATTTAATGTGCTAATAGTCAAATAGCTCTTCAGCCTTGCTTGGCAACCAGTCTAGGAAAAAAGACAGCTGTGAATTCAAATGGCAATCTATCTAGAGTTGGTAATTTCATAAAAACACATTCCCTAACAGTCTGAAACCCTCATGAGGAGGTATCAGCTTATAAGTATATAAATTCTTAAATCATGTGCAATCTACCATGTGCAGAGATAATGTCTTCTTTTTTATAATTGTGTATTGCATTAGAAATAATAGCAGTTATATTTATATAATCGCATAAATTTGTTTTGAAAGGATACTGATTTCCGTATCTCTTTGTATAAGGAGATTCTTGAGTTTCTCTTGTTCTGCTGAGAAATATGGAGAGACATCTTGATCTTGAGGATGTAATAATGAACAGTTATCAGCTTGGAAATTAGAAGACTGTACAGAAATCTGGGAGGTTTTCTCTTCTAATAATTTCTGTAAAGATTAGGAATAAAATCAATAATTAAATTAAAAAAAAGACAAATCAGTAATCTTAGAATCTTAAAAAAAATCAGAAATATTAGAATCTTAAAAATATAAAAAAAATCAGAAATATTAAAAAGAAATAAACCAATCATTCTACTTCTAATGTAAAAAATATGAATCTTTTCAGAAAAAAAAGTTTTTTTTTAGTAGAGAACTTAAACAATTAAAGAAAAATGTCTTTTATATGCCAAGAATTATGGTATGATGAAAACACTTGTATAAAGATATCTTTTAAATTTGAAAAGGAAAAAGGTTTATATTTAAAAGACAAATAATTACAGAAGGAAAAAAGAATAAAACTTAGATGATGTAAAATTAAGTTTTACAGATAAAATGTTTGAAAATAAAAAATTGCTTGACAAAAAATATTTCATTTGTTACCTTGAATATATTGAAGCATTTTTGTATTTTGCGAATGTCTGCTCCTACACAAAGGACTGCTTCTGGATCTTTGTCATCAAGGAATGCATTCACTAACTTTGAACACCTGAAAATATAGAAATAGTATTCTCTCTATGATATAATCTTTGTCAGGTATGTAAAAGGTAAGTTTTCAATTAAATAAATAAATAAAAAAGATAATACAAGGAGAAAGATATGAATAAACCAGAAAGTATTCTATTCTGTTTTTGTCATAAGATAGCATCAGGAACATTTAGTTTTGAGTAACTTCTTTAACAAATTCACTGATGCACTGTTATAGTATTGTTGCCTGGTTGTGATGATCCTTTTTGTAGAAAATTGGAAATTGCCATTTACTGGAAATAAATACCCATAATGAGGCTGATGGCAATTTATCATAGGCACTACCATATTGGTTTTAATTACATACTCTGTAGTACAGACAAAGCTAAACATCCCACCTCAAAAAAAAAAAAAAAAAAAAACACACACATAGAAATATGTTGTAATATAGTCTGTTTTGTATGTTGTTATATTTCAATCCTGGTTTCAAGCAGTGAGAACTCTGATTCTCTTCAGCCTATCTCAAAATTACAATGGATGGCTGGCAACTCCAACAGGTGGCGTCAGAACTACATCGACAGACACCCTTTCGGACCCACCAGTGAGTGGCCTGGCACTATCTCAATCCCATAATGTTGAGATGGTAGGAGAGATGGGGTTCTCATTGGTTGAAGGGAAGAGTTGATCTGTTAGACTGACATAGCAGAAGTTATCCAAAGTGTCATCTACCTACCCACCCAAACCATGCAAGTGAATCCTTGAATAAACAAGCATATATATTGGAGACAGGGTTCAAAGTCTCACTGTGGCTTCTATTTTCACTTTTCATTTTCTTGTGAGTATGCAATGGGCCTTTCCCAATTTTTGGTGCACATTGACATAGAAAAAAATAGAGATACAACATGGGGATTCATTGTTCGGTTAGAGAAAAGCTGAGAAAAAAATCCCACTGTGTGTTTACAAAGAAACTGGAAGAATTAAAGATACCAGAATGAGCTGGAACTATTCAAATTATAATAGGACTGTCACTGGCAATTTTGATGAGAATTTGCCACTTGATCCCTAGGTGAGGCACCTTGGAGGTCAAGTGACAGATGATTTCCAACCTTGTATGAAAATTCAGATATTAACAACAAAAATGACAGAAATAGAAAAAATGCAAAATTAAATATTGCCTGTGTGTATATAAAACAGTCAATAATGTAAACAAATGCTATAAATTAGCTTGGGAGTTACAAAATAGATATGATTGGGTAGGAATATTTATCCTTTGAGAATTATGCAAGTGGTTGGCATTTGAACAGATAAACCAATGATAAATAACAAAGCAGAAACTGCCATTGAAAATATAAAAGTCTATGGAACTCAAGTTACCCAATCCTGAGAAAAAAAATCCCACTGTGCATTACTACGATGCATTATTAAAATCATCAAGACTACTGAAGATGATGCTGAAGTGTTGCAAAGATTTTCTGTCAATGGATTTTCAATGAAACCCACCAGAAATTATTTATATAAAAACTGAACAATAATAATAATAATTCGAAAATACGCTTTTAAGTAGGCGCCCGAGGGGGTCGTCAGTGATGTTTTGACTTGGTTCATCAGGGAGTTTCGGGTCTTTCAACATCATACTCCCCATCACCAAATCGACCCAATCAGGGGGAGATCAACCCCTGATTCCCCCTCACAATTAAACGCTAACAGCTATTCTGGCCTTTTTAAAGAATTAGACGAAGAAAGATCACATATTCCACACATCCGATTGGATGTTTATAACAACCAATCCGCTGCATGAACTATCTTTTAAATGGCTCGCGGTGGGGACTGGATTCTTTTTCTTATTTTGGTGGATTGCAATTTCGATGGATAACCGAGGAGGTAATCTTAATGTTCCTGAGTTTAACCCTTTTCCTTAAGTATTGTATAGTTTAATTATTTGCCATTTTTATTTTATTTGTCCTTTTTTTCTTTTCTTTTGGCGGGGAAACTTAAACTCAACCCTATTATCACATTTTATCGTTTAGCCTGTTTCTTAACATTATTACAGGTTAACTTTAAATGGATGTATTCGCAAAATTAAAATAATAATTGTCCATAAACATGGAGTATATATATATATTTCCTGTACATAAAAAATGAAATTAAAAATAAAATATAAATAAAAGTACAATAAGCACTATAATATTCCTTAACATTGATTTAAACTATATACAAATTTGAAGTTGTTAAATATAATAGACAAATAATATTTATATAAAAACTGAACAATAATAATAATACAAATTCAGTCAGGAATGTATACAGGCATTTTGAATATCTCAAAATCCAGTTGCACAAACTTGGTTTAAGTTGGCAACCAATAAGAAGTGACTTTATTACAGATGAAGAGGTACACATAGCATAGTGGCTACCAGTACAGAAAGTGGGATAGGTATACCAAGTTCAAATTGTTTGTGAACATTTCATTCACTTTCATGATTAATGGATTAAAACATTGATTTGTGAATTTGGTACCGTAGTAATTGTGAGTTCAATCAATGAGCCAAGCAGTGAGCAGTTTAACTCAGTAGAATCAGGGCATGCAATAACTAAAAATAAAGAACTAGATGAGATATCCCTAGACATGTGTAGTGGAATGAGAACAATCTACTCCCATCAATTAAATAAAGGATTCAAATTGGGATTCCCTGCAGGTAAGCAGGATCGATATATACCTGATAAAGGCCAGTGGGCACAACAGCTGAAATATTATGATGACAACAAAGATGATGACAGTAGTCTGAATGTAAATAGTGTAAATAAAAATATTCATATGACTATTTTCTTTCAGTAACACATGAGACTTTTCAGAATGTAGTCAGGCTGAACCCCCAGCCTGAATTTTAGTTATGATATGAACATTTCAGACTAATAGCATCCTGGGTATGACAATATACTACATCTGGCAGCAAGGTCTCTGAGCAGGAGGTTTTGAGAGTGTGGAACGACCTCTTAATTGCTGTTGTTTCCAGGTCCATCCCAAGCTGGGGTGGTAACACCTGTTGGGGTCCCAGCTATGGGCAAATAGCTAACCCCCAAACTGGGGTCAAAACACTATGAAAGTATAAAAATAAATTTTTATAGTAAAAATACCAGCAATACATTTTTGGAAAAAAAAAAAAAAAAAAAAAATTACCAACAATACATTTTCTTGAAGAAAAAAAAAAAATTACCAACAATACATTTGACTCTTTACAAAAATGTCAATGAAACCTGATCTACAAACTGATTTCTTACAAAGAATACATATTTTATTCATATGAACCTATCCTAAAAATCTTGTCAGCATTAAATAACTAATTTAATGCTGTAAACAAAAAAAAACCATCAGAGTAATAGTATTTTGTATAAACATAAACTTGGAATTTGGGAAATTTCAGTAGACCATAAATCTATCATATTGATCCAGAAGTAATTGGATAGATTGGAGAAAATCTAGTCTTAGTAAATCTTAATGAATTCTGTTTATTTTATTTCTGGTTTGAATCTTCTGGGTACCTTTTCTGAACTTATTTTATGGCTTTTAATTATTATTTTTAATCCATTCTATCTTTCCTTATGCTCCTTGATTTTTAATTAGTTTCCCCAAGTTTTTTCACCTTAAGTATTTCCTGTTTCAAATCATCATTAGACATTCTCAGCAGTAAAATGGTGAATCAGGGTAACCATCTGATTATTTCTATTGGAAAAAGTTGCTGAATTACTTAATATGTAATCATTAGAATGAATGAAAGTTTTAATGTCTTTATTTAATAAAACCTATCTGTAATATTGGTGTGCTGGTAGGTTACATAAATAATTAGCATTGATAAAAATCTGAGCAGAGTGAAACAAAACTTTACTCATCAATCTCTTCATCAGTGAGTTTGTCTGTCCGTTCCTGTCCTGTTGTGAGCATAAGTTCGTCCTTTAACTGAGTGATCTCATTCTTGAGCTGAAGAATCACAATATTTGGATCAAGTTCCTCATTTACTAAAGCATCATTCTTGATAAGTGCAACTCTTTGAGCAAAACGACATGTTGAAATGGATTCCTGTAAGAAAAAAGGTAGGAAAAGATGCGACTTTTTTTTTGCTACCACTGAAATTCAAAACAGTAGACAGAAGGAAGCTTTCAAATTTCTCTGAATAATTCTGAACTTTTAAAGTAGAAGTGAGTGAATTGGTTTCAAAATGAAGGTTTGATTTCCAGTGTATTGATAATGCACAAAATTTTGGTTTTACTATCAGGTCATCCCATAAGTTCTGTCCGAATTTTGAATAAAGAAAACAAGTGACCAAATGTTACATTTAATTACAGATTCAATCAACAATGTATTTTCCCTGATTATCTATGACTTCCTTCCATCTATTAACAAGCTTACTAATTCCATTACTGTAAAAATTTTTGGGCTTTGATTTGAAAAACTCACAAATGTCAGTTTTAACCTCTTCCTGTGTTACAAAAGCTGTTTCTTCCAAATGATTATGTAAGCTACAAAACAAATGGTAGTCTGAAGGAGCAAGATCGGGAGAATAAGGTGGATGAGGAATTTTCTCCCAACCAAGTTCTTCGATCTTTTGTGATGTGATTCTTGCTGTGTGGGGTCGCGCATTATCCTGATGAAACATCACCTCTTTTCGATTCACTAGAGCAGGTGTTTTTTTCTTCAAAGCTTGGTTCAAACACTCTAATTGTTGACAGTATATTTGAGCATTAATTGTTGCATTAGGTGGTAAGAATTCAAAGTGGATTATTCCTTGGCGATCCCAACAGATTGAAAGAAGAACCTTTTGCCCATGAAGTTACCTTCTTGGCTGTGGCTGGGGTCCTTCCCCTTTACCAAGCCACTGTCTATGATGCTTAACATTTTGATAAAAGATCCATTTTTCGTCGCCAGTCACAAGTCTATCCAAAAAAGGTGAAACAAGTTGGCGAGAATGGAGAGAAGAGCAGATGTCAACTCGGGATTTGAGGTTGTTTTCAGACAATTCATGAGGCACCCATTTTCCAAGTTTAGGAACTTTTCCAAGTTGTTGAAGATGACGATGAACAGTTGTATGGTTTGAACTGAGAACCACTGCCAATTCCTCAACTGATAAAGCAGGATTTTCATCAAGGGCTGCTTCAAAAAGCTTTTCATCAAACTCAACTGGACGTCCGGTTCGATCTTCGTCTTCCAGGGTGAAATCTCCACCTCTGAATTTTGCAAACCATCTTCTGCAAGTTCTTTCATTCACACATTCCTCTCCATAAACTGAGTGAATGTTTCTAGCTGCTTCGGCTACTGAGTTTCCTTTCTTGAACTCATAGAGCATTATGTGCCTCAAATGATTCTTGGGTACTTCCATGTTAGCAGGGTTTTAATCAAACAAAATTTAATTTTATTGTTCTCTGAAATAAAATTTGATCAGTTTAAATGCATCTAAACATAAAAATAATGTTCAGCTCCATTAGACATTATAAAATACTCTTTAAATTTCGTTCATTTTAACAAAAAGTTAAAATTCGGACAGAACTTACGGGATGACCTGATATAAACTATTATGTACAAGTGGTCATGTTATATGCACCTTCAAAGTTTCATTTAAAGCAGTTTTGTGCTTTAAGTATGAATGACGTTTTAACAGACATCAAAATATGCATGAAAATATAATCCTGGATTAATAATTCTAAATCTGGAAAATGGAAGTAAATAACATTTTTGAAATTTTTGAGTTAAAGTCATTTTTTTTTTTTTTTTTACATGAAGAAAGTGCTATTATTAAAAAATATTCCTGTCAGCATTCTGATGAAACAAATGCATATTATGAGGTACAAATCATTCACATTTGCATAAGGGAAATTAATTTCTAATGTGAAATCTTTTATCTCAATTTGCAAAAGACACACCTACTTTCTTTATCTAGAAAAGGGCAGTATTCACACATATCATTCACTTCACTCACTCCCTTTAGATGAAAGAGAAAATCCTATATGGAAACAATAATTTGAAACATCTATTTTCAACATCTCCATTTGTTGGTGGTACAAAACTAAAGTATAGCATGAAGAAGTTGAGATATGTTTAAAATTACTATTAAAAAAGAAAAATGTGATGCAAGTCCTCACCAGCTTTTAATCACCACCCATCAACATTTTTTTTAAATGATAGATAAGTATTACTTTTAGAACATTTTATTTTGTGGAAGATTGGTGGAGCAAAAATTTGACCCTGTAAAAATGCTTAACACATCTCCACACACACAAAAGAAAAAAAAGAGGAAAAGATAACAGATAAAGTGCAAGGTGAAAAAATTTGTATTCCAGAATTAATTGTGATAATTTACAAAAATTGTAAAATTGTTTCTCTTTGCTCACCCCACCACCATCTTTTTGGTACAGTTTCTTCTTATGAAGACACAAAATAAGAAATCAGTGAGCCAAGTTCGAGTTGGGTTTGTTACATTCACTTATGTGTAAATACCCTTGAGAAAGGTATGAATCTATCTCCCCCCCAACTATAGGATAAATAGTAAGACTCACATCTAGAAAAATCATTGTTATTCTTTCAAGATTGTTAATGCAAAATATGCCCCTCCCCCCCAAAAGACAAAGAATTATTCTGACAATGCAAAATATATTTTGGCTTTAAATAACCCACAAAGTGTTGATAAGCCATAAAAAAAAAACAATCAATGAGGACAGTTTTTGTATGACAGCAAAATACAATAGACACAAGAAGTTTTCTTCATGACTTCAGCTTGGACTATTACATCCATTTGCTACTTGTATTATCAAGTGAACTGCCCGGACACTGACTGACAACTTCATATGTTAATCTTTTATTTATATTTCACATATGGACATCATAGTAGACAAAAATCATGCACAAATATTTAACAGAAAAATGCTCAGTGAAATTTTTAAGTATGTTACTTGAAGAGTATAAAATTTCTAATAACTTAATAACTATACCTGTCTAAAATCTGAAACTTGTAGATTAATGATTTGAAATTTAAATATGACCCACAAGTGTCAAATTCTCCAAGCCCTCTTTTCTCTTTATGTGCCCAAGAAATTTCAACTGTCACTTTCTGATTCTAAGTAAGAGTATCCTTTTAGTTTACATTTTCCTTAAGATTTCCTCATTACTTCCATATTTAGTGCATGGTATTCTCAGCATCCTTCTACAAAACTATGTCACCATTGTCTCAAATCTTTCTCTGTGAGAATCTCCAGCATTCACTGTCATATAAGAGGACTGATATTACATAACAGTTCAGCACTCTTTTCTTTGTTTCTAATTTCATGTTTGTTAATACTTTGCTTAGCTTTTGGAAGGCATCTTTTGTTATTCTAATGTACCTTCAGATTTTGGTGCCATATTTTCCATCTTCTGTTAAAATACTCCTCAGATATTTAAAGTGCCTTTAATGCATAGTTTGCAACTTGGGCTGATACTCTTGCTGGCAACCAATTGATGCTTAGCCTTTTTTTTCTTGCTTTTCTTTATTACCTTCTGTTGGAGTTCCTGTAATTTCCTTTCTGTGTTTGCTATCAACATGGTTTCATCTGCATATCTTATGTCGTTGTGTCCACCAATAATGAATCCTTGTAATTCTCTCAAGATTGCTTCACTGTAAAGGTTGAATAAGTTAGGGGAGAAGACACATTCTTGTCTTATGTCCCTTTCTATTTTGTGTATTTACTGAATTCATTATCTGTAGGCAGGCAATTTGCTCCCAGTATAAGTTCTGGATTATTCTAATATTTTTCAAAATAAGTCAAGTTTACCTAGCAGTTCAAACAATTCTTTGTGTTGTACTTTAACAAATGCTTTTGCATAATCTATAAAACATAGGTACGCATACTTCTGCATTTGTATTGCTCTTTCCGATATTTTAAGCATGAGTATCACATTCTTTGTTCCAGTATCTTTTAAAAAAAAAAAAAAAAAAAACTGCACTGTTTTTGTCCTACTTCTGGTCTAATTCTGCTACATGCTCTATTCATTAGAATTCGGATGATAAGTTTTGTTATGTGGCTCACTGGGCTGGTTGTCTAGTGGAGCTTGTATTCATTTGCACCTGGCTTCTTAAGCAATGCTATGAAAATGGATTTACTAAGGTCTTTCCATTAGATCACCACTGTCATGTATTACATTTATTATTTTTGTAATTTTGTCGAAATCATCTAGCATCTCTATTACAATCCCATCTGGCCATGCTGCTTTGATACTATTCAGCACAGGCAGTGCTGATTTTACTTCAGATTTTAGTATTTCTGGTCCTTCTATATTTGTGTATTGCAGGTTTTCCTCTTTTGTCATAGAAGAGTTCTCCAATGTATTTGTTCCATCTTTGAGGTATTTTTCTTTCTCTATTATCAGCATTCCCTCTTTCATGCATCGTACCAATAAAAACATCTTTTTTTCCTGTTATTTCTTCTATTCTTTTATGCATATTTGCATCATCTCTTATGCTCATTCTTTACATTAGTGCACACGTTTTTGTTAAGCCATTCCTCTTTTACTTGCCTGCAATTGTTTCTAATTTCTTCATGTAATGTACTATATTCTGTACCATACCTTGACATTATTTGCTGTCTTCTTTTCATTATGTTGAGAATTTCATGTCATCCACTCCTTTTTTATTTGCTGATGTCACTGAAGCTTTTTACATTATTTGGACTATTGTCCTCATCTTTGTCGCCATATTTATTACAACGTTTTGGCCGTTGTACGCTCCGGCCTTCTTCAGGTGGTTGGAATGTAAAACTGAACCCTTTATTTCGCTCACTGGGGTAGACTGTTCTAGTTCCATGTGCCATGTTTAATGGATGTCAGTTATCAGTTATCTCCTGTTAATTCCCCTCTCCAAGTTCTCCACTGCCTTAACTGGGTATTGTACTCACACTCTTTGGGTCCTGTCACTGGATCTAACTAATGCCTTTATCCACTGTGCCATGTGTCCTTGGCGACAAAGATGAGGACAATTAGTGTACATAATATCTCATCTAAGAAATATAGACAGTGACTAAAGCTTCTCTTAATCTGTCACACTTTGAATTTCTCTTCTTATTTAGTTCTTTGTATTTGCTTTTAACATTGTCAGTATATATCTTTTTGCAATTCAGGTCATTCAGGAGCCTGTTGTATTTAATTGGAGTACTGCTTTGGCTTTCTGTAATTTCTGTATTTTTATTCTAAGATTAAGTGATCCTATGCTCATTTGACATTTACTGAATCTCTTATTGATCTTTCTGGAGTTGATCTATTTTTTTTATTGTCCTAGACTTCTTTATGTCCATAAGCATATTGGGCGTTTTTGAAACCAGATGTTGGCTAACACATGGTCATTTTCCATGCACAATTAGACACATTTTCGCCACATTCATTACAGGTTCTTAGTTCAAATTTGCCAACTATTTTACCATTTTGCTCCTTCCTGCTGTTTTGATGCTTCAGTCAGATCTATGATGATTTTAAGTTCCTACAATCTCCACTGAACCTTGGCATTGTCCAGTATATAGTAAAACCTTTCACTTTCTTCTTCCAAGCTTTGCTGTCAGTGTATGTGCATAATGAATATATTAAAAGGCTTACATCAGGATAGGTAAATAAAAACAAAGCACAAATAAGTGATTGTAGAAGGACAGGTAATTCAAAGGACTAATACATGTGAATTTGGAAGGACTGGTAAATAAAATAAAGACAAATATGTTTGATTTGAGAAGTAATTAAAAACAATAATACTCACATCAATATTTTTCTTTTCTACTGAGCAAGTGGCAATCATTGATGTCATGCAGTTACCTCCAAGGCTGTCTCTCAGCACGGAAGTCATCATTGAATTTCGGTAAGGAATATGTGAACGATTCTTTTCTGATAATGCAACAATTACCTAGAAATAAAAAGAGGATACTTTAAACCAGTAATTCGCAAAGTGTGCACTGTGGATCCATGGGGCACTGCAGGATATTCAAATATTTTAATAATTCCAGACAAAGCATTTCTCTGGATGATAGGAGTTACTTAGCAGAACCTATCTCTTCAAGCAAGATGCACTGGGTTACATTGTACCAACATCAATGACTGAATCTCTTGGGAGAGAAGGATTAAAGCCTTTCTCAAGAGCATTTGTGTGATGTGTACACAAACTGCCTCAGCCAGGATTTGAAATCATTTTAGCAATTTCATTTTCTATTTTGTTAACCATTAGGTCGACTTCACATATAGTCAAAATTCAATATTATAGAAATTATGGCGAATATAAATAGATTCAACAGTTTCTTAGGAATTTAGTTATATATATATATATATATATATATATATATATATTATTGAAAAATTCATATTGAATAGCTTTATTACGGAAAGTGTAGAGTGAGTGGCCATCATTAAATATTAATAAATAAATGAATGGCAGAAATGCCCAACAAAAAGATTAGACAAAGCTTGCAATAAACAATTACAAGAAAAAAAGAACAGGTCAAAAAAATAATACAAAGCAAGCAATCAATATATGCAAGGCAAATTAAAATTAATAAGGCATAAAGTTCACAAACTAAGAATTGAGATTGACACACAAGAACAAATACAGATAAGTGAACGTAGCATTCTAATTTCAAGACAAGACAGACTGGGACTGAGTCAGATGAAACCAAGAACTGGCCTATTTTATTGGCTAGGAAGAAATCACAGAATGCATTTGTGTGTTTCTACCTATAAATTAGGGAAAGTAGTTTGCAATCATTCCCTATTGCAATTGAAGCCAACAGAAAGTAATAAAAATCATATTCAATTTACTAACAGTATCTTGTGAACTTTACAAGCTTGATATCAGTATATTTTAAAATAAAAGACAAGAGAAACAATAACCAGTTTAAAATATTCAAATGAACATTAATTAACTCCCAATAGAGTAATCAAGAATATTTTAGCCTGATTCTTCATGATCAGAGAGAAAAAAAAAATGAATCATATAGAACCATAAAAACATGCCACATTTTTTAAACTGATATTTACTATTGTATAACTCACCTGTTCCAGGTAGTGTAGAGATAAGTTGATATATTTGGCTTCAGTCAATAACAATCCATTAACACCACTTTTGGCTACTCTCTCAGATCTAAAACATAATTAAGTAGATGTGCAGTTGAAAATGGTGTTTTTTAAATTTAGTATGATTTAATTAATTGTATGCTGCAAATACTGCTCAGTTAATCTGCAAAATATCTTGATTTACATAATTTTTTATTTAATATTAAGATTTATTTTCAAAAGTTCAATCTAATTTCTGTTAAGATGAGTTGTGACCCTTGACCAAAAGACATATTTGGTTATCTGCTCTTGGCATCAAGTGACATGCAAAAGCAAAATATTCCATAATCACCAGTAGTTATTATATGTACAAACTGGGTGTGTGAACAGTGCACCCAGTCAAATAGCTATGAAAAGCTAACTTTACTGATTTCTGGCCACTGGACTTGTAGCTCTTCTCCAGCTCAAATCTGAATTTGCTGTATAAGGTATTTGGGAGCAGTCTACTCCAACATGACCTCCCACCCAAACATTCTAAAGGCTGCAATTAAGGATGAGTGGGCCAAAAGTTGCACAGCTATTTGAGGTTGTGTTGAAGCTATTAATTGTAAATAATGAATAAATTGTTTTGATATTATCTGGAATTTTTATTAATAACCTTTTGTATTAATCTTTGAAACCTGTTTATTGACATAAATAAGTTATGTCAATAAACAGGTTTCAAAGATTGCAATAATTTTGCTAGTCTTGTTTTCCCACATAGACAAAAAAAAAAACACTCATTTTGTATTGGAATCTTTGTCCTTTTGTCATGTTTGACAAAATTTGTTGACTTTTGAAAGAACAATTGCAATAAATTATGATATAAACAAGAGTTTTAACCAATGTTAAATAATAGTAAATTGAAAAATAATTCAGTTTGAAGTTTTTTTATTTGTATTAATTCTTTGACTATAAATAACCTGGATTAGAAGTAATTTGTCTCAAACAAAATTTAAATTCATCCTCCATCCTTAAGAGCCGATCTGACATGAAGGACACACGGTTTGGCCATGTAAACCAACCAGCAGATCTTTGTTTGCATTTCTGAAGGTGAAAAGTTATCACTGTTTATAGTAGGAATAATGTCTTCATCTTTGTTGTTATTATCACAAGATTTCAGCTGTTGTGTCCTCTGGCCTTCTTCAGGTGTTGATCAATCCCTGGGCTAGTTAGTACAAACTCAATTTCAGTGGAAAGGGATAGCAATAACTGAGCTGTACTTTAAAATAAAGCAAACAAGAAGAAACATAGACAGCAGAATGAGAACAATCAACCCCATGGATTAAATAAAGGGTTCATATTAAAATTCAAAGGTTACCTGGATTGACAGACTCCTGAAGAAAGCCAGAGAGTGCAATGGCTAAAACATTGTGATAATAAAGATGAGGATATTAGTACAACTAAATAATGTAAATAACCAGCAGACATCTTTTAGATTTAGTCAATAACTTACTCTTCTTGATACAATTTTCACCATATTGCTTGTTTGCACCTTGTAGTAACAGATTTAATCATCAAGTTGTTCAAATTTCTTTGATGAAGCCTTTTCATTACAATTCTTTTCAGACTAGTTCATCTTTCATTTTATTTTTATTATTTTGATCCCAGTGTTCACAAAATAAAATTATATTCTATTATATCGTCAGATGTCAGCTTTTGAAACAAAAAGGACAATATCTTATAAGAGAAAATAAATCCAGAAACTATTAAAATGTTTGAAATACTTCTTCCAACATAACCCTACCAAAATGACAATTTTTTTTAAAGATCTTAAAAATGTATTGTGTGTTTATCTATACAAAGGAACACTTGAAATTATAGAAGTTTGATTTTTTTCTAATTCTTGATTATTTGTCTCACATTCAGCTTGAAGTTTCCCATTTAATTGGAACATCTCAGATCCAAGTTAATGACCCACTGTACATGTAATTATTAAGTTATTAAATATTAGTAATGAAGCCATTCTCAAAATAAAATTTTATTTGTATTTTCTTACCCTGCCAGGTCTACTAGATGAAGCTTTGACCTACGAATGGTGGCTGATCCAACTTGCCTACAAATCAAGTGAATTGTAAATATACAGTGTGAACGAGTGGATGCTTGGTTCATGGGGGTCTGCAATGAAAAGAAAAAAAAAACTGTTTTAGGTTTTTATACAAGTAGATAAACATAACCTATTGGGTAGGTTTAATATAATTTTTCAAATATATACATTTTTCAGTAAATATGTAATTGTTGGTGCTGTGGAGATTACCCAACCTTGTCTGCCAGGATGCCCACTGGGTGTCATTCTATTCAAGAAGTGACATAAACCCCTTTCTCTTTTACTCCAGAATATTGTAGCAAAAACAACAGGATTTCTCTCTGCCAGGTGGTCAGCTTAATTTCAGCCAGCCACATGGTGCATAACACATTTTCTAACAGCAAAGACTATAAATGTTTTTTTCTTTTTTTTCAGTTATCTGTGTACATACAAGTACATTTTCTCTCTTCTGGAATTATGTTATTCTATATATATGTGTGTGTGTGTGTGTGTGTGTGTGTGTGTGTGTGTAAAACTCCTTCATGTACTGAATTCTTTTGAAAATGTTGAACTTTATTCATTTTCAGTTGCAACTTCTCCCTCATCAACAGTAACCACATCTAATACAAATTTTAGCACAATTTGCTAGTGTCTCTAAGCAGGTTTTGTACTTAAATGCTGTGTATACTGTGCATGCTATACAATGCACTCTCTGACAGGTTAAGTGGTACCAGCATTGAATTGAGATGTGGTTTGATATAATCTTTGTTGTCTGTTGTCAGTAGTCTGATTCTTGTATCACCTGTGAGCATCCACAAATTTCATGTGCCACTGAGGTATGTCTGAAACAAATATATTACTAGTATGCACTTGCTACTGTTGTCTGAGAAAGTTATTGTTGGCTGAAAGCAGTTGCCACTTAAGAGATTGAGTACCCTCATCTTTCTGGTCCTGACAATCATTTTGTGACTAAAAAGTGTTAAATCCTGCCACAGCTTCACTACTTCTTTACCTATTGTTACACACATATCATCTGTTTGAATCCATTTCTACTAATTTTGGGACACTCCATTTTAAAATTATTAGAACAGTGTATATCTGAAACGCTTTGTCTCAAGACCTAGAACTATGCAACACTTCTGAAAATACACCACAGATACTTAATTCAAAGAAAAGGCTTACAGTAATTTATTTAAAGCAATGATTATTTTGTTAAAAAATACTGACAAAACTACACAAATTAAATCTACAAGCATGTTAAACATGGAATTGCTGGACATATTTTAAGAAAATTATTTTATTCTTACCTCTGCTATCATTCGATTTGTATCCCCTATAAAAAGGAGATTTAGGGCTTCTTCTTCATTGGTAGCAGTCATCAGGCATAAGTTTTTTAAATGGATGTTCTGATCAGTGTCTTCCATCAGGTGTACTTTACTAAACATAAAAAGTAATCTTTCAAATTTTAATAATTTTATCAAAAAATAAAAAACCTCAATTTTATGTTGGCATATTGTGCAAAAGATCTGTTAAAATTGGTCAGATCCTTACATTTTTTTTATAAATCATTCTTTACATTTGGTTTTCTTTCTATTCATTAGCCTTAAACAAGCTTCTTAAAATTAGATCTTAAATTATTTGGTTGGCACTATTTTTCATTCTTAACAATTTTTAATTTACATAACTGTTGTAGTTAAATTACACCTGGTAGTAATAATCGTTGACAGTGGTAAAAGTTCTCACTAGAAGTAATAGTTCTTGTCACAAATAACTAGTCCACTGGTAGAAATAACTTATACAGGGTGTGATCGGTAAATTGTCATAACCATTCCAAATAGAGCCTTAGACACTTTATTTTTGCATAGCAACATGGCTTATCCTGTTTTACGAAAAGAATTCAGGTTAATTAAATTGGATTCCAATTGTGGAAACTTATTGGATTGACAAAGCTTAGAACAAATAGAAGAAATAATAGTTCTTTGACATTTTTAATAGATTTCCATAAATGCAATTTAAGTCTGTATATTTTAGAACATTTCATATTTTCAAGATACAATACTTAAACTTTAAAAAGGTGAAAAAAATCTGTCAAAGACACAAGATATTTAATGAACTTACGGCAAATCCTCAAGTTTTGCAGCTTCGTGTCTGGGGTCCAGCAAATCATAACCATCTTCGTTATAAATTTCCAAATAAGAAATTTTGACTGTATACGTGTTATCTCGATCCTGAGAGAGAAGTTAAAAAACTTTCAACAGGGAGAAAATTGTAAGAATATTTTAAATTTATATTAAAAATAAGTTTAATAACCCTGAACAAGCGAAGCAGTTTTAGGCACAAATTAAACAGACAAATTTATCACTTTTCTAAGACAACACAGGAGTACTGAAATAGTCTGGTGATAACAATAAGTTACCTCCTTTATACTTTGTTGGTTGTAAAGTTTACTAACATAGATTCATGAAGTACATTCACATCTTTCTTCTCTAAAGGAATATCAGGAGCTTCTTTTTTTTTTTTTTTTTTTTTTTTTAAACTTGGAAGTTTTCATTTTAATTAGTAGGTTATTATAAGAGTATTACACATACTTTTGTTAACTTGAGATCTGGAATTCAATCCTGGTAACATTCATTATTCAAAAGGCTTGAAAATTGAATAGTTGTTAGTTTAAGGATTCATTTGATTAATAGTTACTTTAATTTCACTTTGTAAGAGATAAGATCAAACTGAATGCTCATTTTAATATGAAATGCACATTATTTTGATCATGAAGTTTCTGATCTCTGTTAGATAATTTTGATGGGTAATCTCTAAACTCAAATATCTTTTTTGCCAAAGAGAGTAAATTTTGAATGAGATGCAGGATTTATTTAAATTATTTTTGTAACTGGATAGGATTAATTGATCTAATCTATCTTACATTATAGGGTTGTGGAAAAATATTTTTCTTATTTACACACACACAAACACACACACGGTGAGTCAAAAGCACTGCCCAGATTCTTAATTATGTTAATATTGCAGATTATTAATTTTTGTATTTTTTCTTTTAATCATTTCATCCCCAAGCAAGGCAATAAAGCCACTAAGATGCAAGGGGTTACTGAGTATGGAAGCATAAGAGAAAAAGAACATAATTAAGGAAAGAGAAAAATAAAAAAAACAGGAATTAAGAAGACAGAAGATAATGATTGATATTGCATGTAAATTTTTGAAGATCTAAGTTGATTGGAAAGCAAAAATCCGGAAGAGAGTTCGATAGGTGAGAAGAGAAGAAACTATTAGCATAGAATTTACAGTTACATCAACTGTAAAATAATCAGACCTATTTGCCAATCTAGTACTGCACTTAAATGTGTATAGTCAAATTTTTTCATCAATAGCTTGATGGAAACTTTCCTGGAAAGTGGATTGGATGCTGCTGTCCAATTGGTTGGCATGTGACCCAGACCTCATATCTTCAAATTTTTTTTTCTTAGAGAGTTCATAAAAGATTTTTTTTTTATTGTGAAAAATTTCATACTGATCAGAAATTAAAAGCTCAAATCAATGCAAAGTTTGAGGAAATTGATATCAAACACTGTGCCTTCTCAGCTGCAACTGTGTGTTAATCATTGTGTGGGTTGGGGGGCACTTTGAACATTGAAACTAAAATATCTTCAGTTTCTTAAAAATTTTACAGAAAAAATAAAACAGAAATAATGCACTACCTTTGACTCACCCTCAGTAAGTGAGGGTGTATATATATATATATATATATATATATATGTATGCACACACAGACATTTGTCACTCAAAAAGAGCATAAATATAAGATTTGCTAATATGTTCAAGAGATTTAGCAAAAATTTGGCCCTGATCAGTGTTTTGATGCAAAACACTTGAATCAGCTAACCAGATAAATCACTTGAACTTTTAATTTATTGAATATTATAGCTCTAGGCTTGAGCAGTTGTATTATTATTTCAAATAATCACAGCACCCTACATGCACATACACACTCACTAAAAAAAAAACTTGCACCAATGATAAGTGCATATAAAAGGAAAAAGTACAGTCAATTGCTAATACCCTGTCAAGTAAATGGACGGGCCCGTCTACGAAACTCTGAAGTTGGGATGCTGAAGTTAACATCAATTGGCTACCTGACAAACATTTTACTTATATTAATAATATATATATAAATTCCCCCCCCACATCTCCTAAAATTCTCTCTGTTAAGGTTTCATCTCCCTCCTCCTCATACTTACACTTTCTATAAATTCTGTTTTGATTTCCAGAGTTGTTTTTTTCTGTTTTCATTTTGAATTTGTAGGTTTGATGATTTGGATCGTATTTACGATTCCAATGGAATAAATTATGACCATGGAATATTAGTGTTTAAGCCTTTTTATTATATCCTTACTCTGTCCTAGACATTGAGTTCTACCTGGATTCTTCCTCTTGGAAAATTTTTTTCTGAAAATATACATGTATGGGTAATTTTTTTTTTTTTTTTTATATATATATTTTGCATATGTATGTATATTTTCCACTAATATTATCTATATCTATATATATATATATATATATATATGTTAAGAAATGGACGAGGTCCGACAATTTATTTATTAAAGACATTTTTATTTATGTTTAACGTTGTTATTTTATAGATACAAGTATTTAAGCAAATGCTCTGTTTATGATAAACAGTATTAAATAACATTTACCGCCTGAATGTCCGAGAAATTTTCATAGAAAATATTCGTTCATAGGCAGGATTCGAACCTGCATCCTATACGGAACCGTCATATACGCTGACGTGCCTTGACCACTCGGCCACCATGAACCTTATGGTAGACAAGGTCGAATTTACTGTTATAAACTACAATCTTCCATGAATCTCGTACATTCATAACTGCTCTGGCGTATCGAATGTAAACAAATGACGCCATATGTTAAGAAATGGACGAGGTCCGACAATTTATTTATTAAAGACATTTTATTTATGTTTAACGTTGTTATTTTATAGATACAAGTATTTAAGCAAATGCTCTGTTTATGATAAACAGTATTAAATAACATTTACCGCCTGAATGTCCGAAATTTTCATAGAAAATATTCGTTCATAGACAGGATTCGAACCTGCATCCTATACGGAACCGTCATATACGCTGACGTGCCTTGACCACTCGGCCACCATGAACCTTATGGTAGACAAGGTCGAATTTACTGTTATAAACTACAATCTTCCATGAATCTCGTACATTCATAACTGCTCTGGCGTATCGAATGTAAACAAATGACGCCATATGTTAAGAAATGGACGAGGTCCGACAATTTATTTATTAAAGACATTTTTATTTATGTTTAACGTTGTTATTTTATAGATACAAGTATTTAAGCAAATGCTCTGTTTATGATAAACAGTATTAAATAACATTTACCAGCCTGAATGTCCGAGAAATTTTCATAGAAAATATTCGCTCATAGACAGGATTCAACCTGCATCCTATACGGAACCGTCATATACGCTGACGTGCCTTGACCACTCGGCCACCATGAACCTTATGGTAGACAAGGTCGAATTTACTGTTATAAACTACAATCTTCCATGAATCTCGTACATTCATAACTGCTCTGGCGTATCGAATGTAAACAAATGACGTCATATGTTAAGAAATGGACGAGGTCCGACAATTTATTTATTAAAGACATTTTTATTTATGTTTAACGTTGTTATTTTATAGATACAAGTATTTAAGCAAATGCTCTGTTTATGATAAACAGTATTAAATAACATTTACCGCCTGAATGTCCGAGAAATTTTCATAGAAAATATTCGCTCATAGACAGGATTCGAACCTGCATCCTATACGGAACCGTCATATACGCTGACGTGCCTTGACCACTCGGCCACCATGAACCTTATGGTAGACAAGGTCGAATTTACTGTTATAAACTACAATCTTCCATGAATCTCGTACATTCATAACTGCTCTGGCGTATCGAATGTAAACAAATGACGCTCATATGTTAAGAAATGGACGAGGTCCGACAATTTATTTATTAAAGACATTTTTTATTTATGTTTTTAACGTTGTTATTTTATAGATACAAGTATTTAAGCAAATGCTCTGTTTATGATAAACAGTATTAAATAACATTTACCGCCTGAATGTCCGAGAAATTTTCATAGAAAATATTCGTTCATAGACAGGATTCAACCTGCATCCTATAATGGAACCGCTATATACGCTGACGTGCCTTGACCACTCGGCCACCATGAACCTTATGGTAGACAAGGTCGAATTTACTGTTATAAACTACAATCTTCCATGAATCTCGTTTATCATAAACAGAGCATTTGCTTAAATACTTGTATCTATAAAATAACAACGTTAAACATAAATAAAAATGTCTTTAATAAATATATATATATATATAAAAAAGTTACTCCAAAATTCGCTTGAAGATGAAATGGAACTAATGCCTTTAATTTAATTGCAAAATTAAATTCGGGGTTTTTAGCTTCTATTTTTGAAACATGGTTGGAACTGTGTAGCGAAAAAAACCATATTTTAAATCAATTAATTTATAATATATATATAATTTCATCATTTCTGTCTTGATCTCTGCTTTAATAAAGTGATTGAAGCTTTAATGTTTGATTGAGATTTGTATCCTACTTCTTCTTTATCCTATCATATGTATGTACATTTAGGCAGTATATCTCCATTCAAACACGTTTCATTGTATAATATAGACACATTGTGTCTACTTATTTTTATACTGATCCTTTCCAGTTAAATCAGTTTCTTGATGTTAAGATAAAATTACAAATACAAATTTATTGTAACTGTGATAAAATCTGCATTCTGTTGTGATGGTGATTTTTAAAAATACATGTGAAGAGTTATTTATGGAATTTTTTGCAAAACAAGCATTTTAATACAAGGGAGCTGACAAGAAATTGGTAGAAATATGTCGTTGCTATATTTGTAATAAATTTTGTCGAGTGTTGGTTGATTTTAATATAGAGGGCCTCAAAATTTTGAAGCTTTTGTTTATTATTTTCATGGTGTAGTATGTTGGTGTTGTCAAACAAGTATTTTCCTGTATTGTGAAGGTGGACAGGAATGTGTTTTAAGATGTTTTGCAATAGAACTTATATCTGACAATTGGAGTGTAAGATGTCTTGATAATGTTACAGCCATCAGTTACAATAAGTTTGTCTTTATAATTGTTGTAGAGCAGCTAGCACCCCTTCAGCACTCTACTAGAAGGCCTGGCTCATAGCTTTAAATAGTCTATGATTAAGGACTTCAACAGTTGATTAATAAGTTGATACTAAGCTGATTAATATTCAGACTGATCTTACTTCATTTGATTATACAGAATTTGACCCTCCTCTATTCCTTGTAAGTTGTCTTGTTAATTGTTTTGTAACTATGTTCTGTGATTTTTTTATGTATCTGTTAGCATCGGATACTGGTGCTGAATAAATATACTAAGCACTCATTCTTCTCTGTGTATCATTCACCTCAATGATACAACAGTAATTTACCTGAAGATGATCTTGGAAAAGATTGAAAGTACTTAGGTTTAAAAAAAACAAACAAAAACTATGGTACCTTCCTTGATGAATTTCATCTTAACATCAAGAAACTGATTAAACAACTGGAAAGGATCAGTATAAAAATAAGTAGACACAATATGTTTATATTATTCAATGAAATATATCTCATAATTTTCTGTGGGGTACAAAACTTTATTAAGGAAATAAAAAAGATAAGACCAATTTTACCTTTCATGATTAAAAAAAAAAAAAAATTAACCAGTTTTACACTAGGTCTGCATGATTGTCTACTCAAAAGGATGTTCTGCCCCCACCTACCATATTAATAATGCGATTTACCAGTTTAGATGTAGTTGCAGAGCTGACTACATAGAACTACCCTACAGCTAGACACTAGAATGCAACAGAACACACCTAATTAGGAATGGTACATTCCAATAGAGTGATGTGGTCAACAACACATATGGGTCTGCCATTATGGAGCACTTTATAAAAAGTCCAAATTGTGCCATCAATTTCAGCACTGACCCTTTCACCATCTTGAGTCGTGCTTGCTCATTTTTACACTTGAAGGCATTAAAAAAACTTTATGTCAGGTCCAGACAGTCCTCTCTCAATAAACAGAGGGAGTGTCTGTTAAGACTTGATGTTATTTACATCTAGATTGTTTCACCTTTTGCACAATTTATGTCTTATATTTTTTATATTGTGACATTTATTCCCTTGATTCCAGCTCTGTTGAGTGAGGGTGAAACTGGTTGGCTGTTATTTATTTTTTTTTTTAAATCATGAAAGGTAAAATTGGTCTTACCTTTTTTATTGCTCATGAAATCTGGGTTCAAATCCCACTATGTTTGATTTGTCAAAAAGGTAACTTCTTGATAATATCAGCCTGATATTTTCAAGTTACCTCTTTGACAAATCAAATGATGCTTGCATGTGGTACCATTAAGAAGTGCCTGAAAACTATCACAGGTTGACCCAAAACATGCGAGGGAAATTGAGTAAATTTTTTGGAAGCTGTTAGTGGTTGTACTTGCATAAGTCATCATGACCAAGGGGTTGAGTGAAACTAAGGTCTGCACAGCCTAGTTGCAACATAAACCAAAGATTGGCTCTGTGGATATTGAAGTAATGCAAAAAATGTGCCTGAGCAGGTGTCTGCAGAAAGGAGCAAAATAAATTTTTTAAATCCCATTAAAAGCTTTGTTTTAAGTTGGAGCAAAAGTTAATTCATTTTATTTACCGTTTTGTTCCACTATTGTCTATTGGAGAAGATGGGCTTATTTGGAAAGAATTAGTTATATATATTTATATATATATATATATATATACACACAGAGTCCACCAAAAAATCTAAACTGAGATAATTTAATACATTTAAAAAAAAGTCAGTGCTAAACTTTATTTAGTTTTACATTCTTTCCTTAATGACAGGGTTTCAATTTACTTAATTTATTTTGGAGGTATTCAATTAACTGTGATTTTGAATGTATCTAACATCTGATGCATTCTAGACTGAGAACAAAAATGTCATAATGCTGAAATTTTAAAATTTAATTAAAAGAATAATATAATCATAGATTTTTATTGCCAACCTTTAACATCTGGAATCTTGAATATGGTTAAACAAATAGCTTTTTGCTAGTCATTTTTTACACTGATTAATCATTGGCTAAAGTTTACCTATGTGGAAAGAAGAACAGTTAAGTAAAACAAAAAAATTAAAAGAACATTCATATTTTTCATTTATTGATTTTTGTCATACTTGTATTAATGAAGGAATTTATACACATCTATATATCTAATTATTATTAGAAATAAGATACTTCTCTTATATAAAGCCATACTCAGAGATTCATGGATTTTTTTTTACATCCAATCATCAAAAAATGTATACACTTAAGGAAAAAAAAACTTGTATAAATATTGTAATACTAAATTTATTCAGACATTTCAAAATTAATACAAGTTACCTTTGAAATCTACAATCATAAGAGATGCTCGAAATCGTGGCTTTTAGCTTCTAGACATTTATTAGTAAAGTGAACTAAGGCTTGGGTAAAGTTGGCCAAAGACTCCAATGGGATTGTTGCACATGCATTTTCAAATTCTTGTCTAATGCTGCCAATGTAATGCCATCTGTTAAGAAAATATTGTACTACAGTAAACAGTGTTATCGCAATTTGATAAAACTATGAAAGACAAGTTTTTCCTTTCCTGAAGTGTGTATACATTTTTGGCGGACTGCATATATATATTACTCCAAATGTTATATTTCAGTGGATACATGTGTTTTGAGTAGATGCCCTGTTTTTAACAAAATGATATCTACCAACCTTTGCATATTTGAGAATCTTAATAAAAGAAAATGTGCCCCCACCAAAAAAAGGGTTAGAACATGCATCCTCCTTTGTAGGGAAAACCACCATCTGATCTGGTGTGCTTTAGACCACAGAGAGCTTCACATTTCAGCAGGATCCAATTGCCCTTTGAAGGAATGCACATCTTGTAAGCCCATGTCTGCTAGAGTCCACCAAAATATAACATTTGAAATAATAAGAAATAATGTTAGAATAAGAATAAAAATATTCATTAATTCCTTAAAAATTATGTGTGTGTGTGTCTCATTCATATATATATATATATATATATATATATATATATATATAAGTGTGGATAGAAACTAAATAACAAAATATTAGCAACTGTATATGCATGCAATAGCATGCAATGCTACTCCCTTGAAACAAAAAGATTACTTATAAACATATATACATTTTCTGCACCCACCACCACTTTATAATCATATTGCTTACTCCTTATGCTTTACAGTTCTTAAACTTTTTTCTTTCTCAAATGGAAAAACATGTACCACATAAGCTTAAAGTATGTACCATTTCCCCCACCCTCAATATTGCCCCACCAACACACTATATTTTGAATTTATACCCCAAGAGTATATTAAGTTTATAATAACTTTGAATCTGTATACAAGTTATCATACCTCCCATGAGACCTAGTATCTTTAAAAAACAACTGTATTAAGTGGTTTATTTACCATTTGTGCTTGACAAGTTGGGAAACCATGAAACTCTGAGTTGTACAATAAGCATAGGTATATATATATATATATATATATATATATATATATATATATACACATTTGTGTGTGTGCACACATGTATGTGGTTATAGATTATATAGATTTGAAACAAACTCATTTAAAAATACTTATGGTTTTATTCTGTAAAGGTGTCACTAAATGTAGAGAGAGAAACAAGTTTGAACAGATATTTGGTAGTATATAAAGTCCTGTTCCAATGCGTTTAATGTCAGCTTACAGTGTGACAGCCTTGAATAAAAGCATTTCTTAATCATTAATATGTGATACTTAAATATAAATCAGTGATCAGTAATAGAATTTTTGGCATAAAAGATTTCACAACAATTCACAGATGTAGAAAACAATAAAACTTGGTACTCAGTGCAGTCAATGTTACACACCTTCTGTACAATTCCAATTTGTCAATATCAGATTCCTGGTTGTTCCAGTAATTTAAAGAGACATTAAAAGTTGACATTATTTTTACCTGGAGCTGAAACTAAAGCTGCTATGTGCAGCTGGATTACAAGAAAACCAGAAACTTTCTCCATGGTAATTATATTGAAAAATAAAATTTTAATTTTGAAGAGAAATAAATTTATTTCATTTTGATACCAAATACGTATCTGGTCTATAAATTGTTTCATGTGATTGGAGACCTTATTTATCAATCAACCTCATAATTCTTAATATTTCTGGAATTACAGACTTAAGTTACAAATTCAGCTTAAAGGACAAGGAACTAAAAGATCATAAACCTGAAAACTTAGCGCACAGCATTCGACAACAGCATTTATTGCCACAAAAAACTGTATGAAAATCTCTTCGTAAATACCATAAAGTGAAGAAAACTATGGTTCAATTTTTATCACATTTTTTGATACTAACTTAATATGTGAAATCTCTCTCAAATAAAAAAAAGAAATCCTAGATTCGCCTAAAATCTAGTTGTTCATTGGTCCATAGTCGGTTCATTCACAAAAAGATACTGAAATTAATTGAGAAATTTTTAAGATATTCTCCAGATAATTATGCAGAAAGACAAACATACATAATTTGTGTTGAACTTGGCAGAGATAAATATTAAAAGTAGAAGACCTTTTCAATCTGCTGAAATATGTAGGACAAACTTCTTGGGATGATTCCACGATCTGTATATCGCTCGGCTCCTCCAGTGATTGTAAATGTCTTGCCACTGCCAGTCTGGAAAAAAAAACAATATAAACGAAACAAAAAAGTAATTCCAGTTAATCATCTCATTACATTTTATATTTTCCTGCCAATTTCCATTAAGCGTTTCATTTTGAGTTGAACAAAAAATTCTTTCAGTTTATTTATCATTTTGTTCCACTTTTTTTGCTGCCTTTCAAGCAACTTAAAATTTTTGAGAGGAAGGAATTATGAATCAAAAAACAAAAATCTGCCTATTGCAGTCTTTTGAGGAATTTGAATTTTCTCCATTAAAAAAATTCTATTGGGTTGAAACAAAGGTTTGTAGCATTTTTCAATAGGTAGTATTTGAACACGATTGTTTTGCATTTGACTGAAACTTATGACATGTATACATATTCTGAAAGGTGATATTCAAATACATCTTTCTATACAATTTATGTGTGAATTATGAATTTTAAAAGTTTTTACTCAGTCTGTACTACCTGACCCAGGGAATGAACTCACAATTACCATGGTACAAAATTTACAGACCAATGCTTTAATACACTATGCAATAGCAATCTCAGTGGAAACAGGGCAAGTAATAACTGAGCAGTACTAAAAATGAACCTGATATCCCAAGATATGAACAGTGTAATGAGAACAATCTGTAAATTAAATAAAGTGTTCAGTTTGAAATTTCTTGAAGGTTACCCAGATCAACAAACACCTGAAAAGGGCCAGAGGAAACCATGGCTTAAATTCTGTATTGATAACAACAAAGATGAGGATATTTCTTTTTAGTCCAAATGTAAATAACTTAAGTAATTATTTAAGTTATAATAAAATAAAATTTTATTTTAATCATCTCACCCCAAGCAAGAGAATAATGCCACTAAGACACAAGGGTTAAAAGATTGCGAAGACATTAGGGAGGAGAAAAAACAATAAAAGAACAGTGTTTAGGAAGAGAGAAGATGGCAACTGGCATTGCATTTACATTTTTGAAGATTGTATGAGGCAGAGAAGCAAGAAATTAGAAGAGAGTTTCACAGGTGAGTAGTGCGAGAAAAGAGACTATTAGAATAGAACATATGATTGCATCTCACTCGTTCAACAGTAAAATGGTGAAACTTAGTTGCCAATCAAGTAGTATGTTTAAATTCATGCAGTCAAGGCATCAAGGAGGAAAGCTCATCAGAAGAATTGCCATGAAAATATTTGTAGAAAAGACAGAGGGAAGCCATGCCATATTGGTGAGAAAGTGATTGAAATTATAATTAAAATAAATACTAGTCAAAACTGTTAACCACTGAAAATGCTTCATCTAATAAGAAACAAAATAAAAACAAACAAGGTTTCAAGAATGTAGGGTTTATATATAGCAGTTAAACAAAAGTTATAAGGTTTCACGTAAATAAATGCTTAAATAATCAAAAAGCAAAAGAAAATTTTGAATTTTTGTAAAAAAACCACCAATGTCTTTACCAGATGAGCTAGCTACTAACACTACATTGTGAATGATAAAGCCTTCCAGGACTCCATTTATGAAGAAAACAGGAAAACATTTGAAAGATTAGGAAATCAATTTTAAACTCAGTCTTTAGCTGAAAAGATGATAAAAATTAACTGATAAATAAAACAGTTTTACATTAGGTATCTTGATACTGTTTAGGAAAAGTATATTATCAAATAAGATTGCAAATAATTACCTGTCCATATGCAAATATAGTGCCATTGTACCCAGCCAAAACGCTAAAAAAAAAAAAAAAAAATTGTAAGCTTTAACGAAGAATAGATTTTATAATTAAAAAAATATTGTATATTCAAGCAGAAAATGCCTTTACAGTCAAATTAAATGTTACTGAAAAATATTACAAAACTAATTTATTTTATTCATCAGTAGTTTAACAATTTGGAAATCTTAAAAGAATTAAATCAGAGAAAACAATCTTGGAAGTTGAGTATTTCTATAATCTAAAATGTAGATTTTGCCAGCTTCAAAATATTTAATTTTACTTAGTCCACAACATATTCAAAGAACAAATTATGATGTAAAGCATTTTATTCAATGCTTAATATTTAAAGAATATCAACAAAATTTTTCAAGCCTTAAATTCAATTTTTAAATTAGTGAATATTAAATAAGATCAGAAAATCGTATTAATTTTAAAATATTTAAACTGAGATAATTTAATACATTTCAAAAAGTCAGTGCTAAACTTTATTTAGTTTTACATTCTTTCTTTAATGACAGGGTTTCAATTTACTTTAATTTATTTGGGAATTATTCAAATTACTGTGATTTTGAATCTATTTAACATCTGATGCATTCTATACAGAGAACAAAAATGTCAATGCTGAAATTTTAAAATTTAATTAAAAGAATAATATAATCATAGATTTTTATTGCCAACCTTTAACATCTGGAATCTTGAAAATGGTTAAACAAATAGCTTTTTGCTAGTCATTTTTTACACTGATTAATCATTGGCTAAAGTTTACCTATGTGGAAAGAAGAACAGTTAAGTAAAACAAAAAAATTAAAAGAACATTCATATTTCTCATTTATTGCCTTTTGTCATACTTGTATTAATGAAGGAATTTATACACATCTATATATCTAATTATTATTAGAAATAAGATACTTCTCTTATATAAAGCCATACTCAGAGTTTAATGGATTTTTTTTACATCCAATCATATATATATATATATTAAAAATATAGTTTTAAGTTATGCTATATTTATGGGTAAAAATGCTCAATATCAGAGATAGAGCATATGTAAATATAAAAGTGGACAGATGTCCTGAAGTTTGCATTCATGCATGAGACAGACTGTCACTGCTTGGTATTGACATTGGTGTACACACACACACACATATATATATTATATATATATATATATATATATATAATGTATGTGTGTGTGTGTGTGTAAAAATTTCAGATAGAATATATCTGTAAAAGCACAACATGAATAAAGGTAAAAGGAAAACTTAGCCAACACATTTCATCCTCTGAGGGACTTTATCAAAGCAAATGCAAGGAATTTATTTTGTAACAAGTATTTATATACAAGAGTAAAAATATTGTTTTTTCAAATTTTTTTAAGTTTAAGAATGCTCATAAATATTGATCAGGTTAACTGAAAAGTGACACAATTCATTGTCTAATAAATGAAAGTGAGTAAGTGATGTTGATGAATGTTTTTATGCAAATTAGTATTTAAATTATTTTAGTTTGGGATTAATTTATGTGTTGTATATTTTGAGGTTATGAATTTAGCCATTTTCTTTTAATTTTTAACATTTTTGTAGTCCATTTTCTTGGCTTGGAAAAGTAGTAATTCTTTCAGGAATGGAGACATTGGAAAAAAATATGTGGTGCAGATTTATATTTGGATGAGATTTAATAGCAGCACATTTAAGAAATTTCCTTCTAAGTAAGTTACTTTCTCTTTTAATAAGTGCGGCATTCATTAGATCAAAGTTGTGGTTGAATTTATTTCTATGTATAACTAATGCATTTGATAAATTGTTGTGCATATGTTCTCTTTTGTGTTCATAGATACATTTTTAAATTTCTGCAAGTTTCCCCAATGTATTGTGAAGAACAGTTCTGGCAATTTATTTTATATATATACCTGCTTCAGAATTATTATAGGTATTTTGGTTCTGATCATATCCATAATAGTTTTGGATCTGGTTGTAATTATGTTGATGTTGTTTAGATTGGATAAATTGTTTCGGATAGTGGATGTTACAGAGTTTGTAGGTAGTATTATGTGTCTGTTTTTATCTAGTTTACTGTTTATTGTTAATAATTTTGTTATCTTTTTTATGGTCATATATTCTGTATGCCTGTCTCTTAGTATTGTGGATGAAATAATGATATTGGAGGTTTTTGAAAGTGTTTTCTGTATATATTTCATTTTTGGGTAAGTATTGGGGGCTGCAGATTCTTAGTGCTCTTAAATATAATCCTATAATTATTCCTAATTTGATCTTGTTATAGTGATGGAAATAAAAAATTACCAGGTCATACTTGTTGGTAGCTATTCTGTAAACTTGAAACTGAAGATATATATAATACAAATATAAAATTTGTCAATTAGCTGATTGATGTTATAGGCAGAATGTGCAAGTTATTTGAGAACACACCTTTAGCTAGCCATAAAGAGCAATGTAATTCGGCATATGCCAAATTTTAAATTTTCTCATTTCTCTTTCAGATATATTGAGAGTATTAACATGACAACTTCTAATCTGATAAAGAAAGTGAAAAGGCACAACATTCTCACAGCACAGTGATATGAAGATTGTCAGTTTCTTGAATGATGCCAGGTGAACGGGATGGCGGGGGTGTACAACAGGTAGTTCTTCATGGCTCCCAAAGACCTACCCACATTGATAAACATCAAATGCATAACTATGTTGTTCTTGAAGGTTGTGAGCTTTAATGCCATCACCTACACTGAAGTGGTCAGGCCTTGGATTGAGAGAGGGAGGCAGTGATATGTATTCCAGCAGGAATTAGCTCCCTCCCACAGGAGTGGCTGGCCAAAGATTGTCACAGTTATGCCACCCCTAACATGTAACCTCTTACATCTCCTGATTTGAATTCTGTATGTCTGGAGTATTGTCAAAAGGAAAACCAATCAGTAGCCCCTACAATACCAAGGATACATTCAAGGCTGCCATCATATATCACACAAAAACCACCTGATCTGGGCATGCAGCCATTTTTAAGTCTACATCAAGGACATCCTCAAGGCTGGATGCAGTTTCATTAAATAAACTTTTTCTGTTTCCCAAAGTGTGGACTGATTTTTTCTGTTGAATATTTTTGTTTGTTTTTATGTCATAATTTGTTCTCAAATACCCAATGAACCCAGTATATGTATATTGATTTATGTATATTGATTTATCGTACCTCTTAAGAATGGATTTGTATCTGAAACTTGAACTCAGGAGATTTTATAATAAATAAATACTTAAAACAGTTTTAATGAGGGACTTTTGTGAAGAGGGTTGTTAAACATGATTAGCTTTATGTCTTTGGAAAATACTTACTTGTTAATAACAGGCTGGGAAACTTCATTAAACACAGTTTCTTGTTTGGCACTCTGGTCAAATACATTTTGGAATCTGAAGAAAATAAATAAAAAAGAACATTACAGAAAAAGAAATCAAAATTTAAGATTTAATTTTTGAATAGTATCAGTTTTTAAAAGGATTCATATACTTTTCTCCCTAATTTCCTCCAAAATTTTTTTGACATTTTTATTGTTATTAACATGATTCTATCAAGGACACCATTTTGAGAATATGCTTTGCAGATAAATTTTAAAATGATAAAAAAATAATATTATGCTTTTTTTTTCTTTTTTTTTTTTTATTTGGCTTTTAAATGTACTAAATGATGTGTGTATATATATATATATATATATATATATATATATATATTTCTCCCTCAGGTGTTATATGTAACAGAGCTATTAAGTATATATTAGTGAATATACATAATATCCAATGTCGATAACATGACTTGGAGTTTAATGCGATCTTGCTTCGTGAATCTCATAATGGTCGGAACATATTCAGCACCTGAAGATTGCAAGTTCACATGAAACTCAGTCATTCTATTGACATTAGATATTATGTATATTCACTTTTATATATTTTGTGTGTGTGTATATATATATATATGTGAAAAGTGTATATAAATATGAATAAATATATATATGTATAATTATTTATATATTATATGCGCGGTACTTATTAGAAAGCGCTCAATATCAGAGATAGAGCTAACATATTTGGTTGGATAGATGTGAGTTTGTGACCCTGGGTTTCACGCTTTAACTGATTTTTAAAAAATTTTGGTTTTATGTAGATTGCGTGTATTGGTGTTATTGTGGAAGTGGTGGGGGAAATCGTCGTTTTGTCATTCATCGTACAATTGTCATTCATATATGTACGAGTCCCGACGGACGATCAAGTATGTATATGTGTCTGCATACATCGATGTTTGCGTTAGTACAATGAATGACAAAACGACGAAATTTCCCCCCACTTCCACTTTAAATTAATACACGCAATCTACATAAAACCAAAAATTTTAAAATTATTTTTCTTTTGTTTGACGATTGCTAAAGCGTGAAAACCCAGGGTCAAAACTCACATCTATCCAACTTTTTTATATATATATATATATATATATAGCGTGTATTTAGGCATATCTTTCATTCATATATCATTAAATAATTTAGACAAGTGTTATCTATTTATTTTATGTAAATTCTTTTTCATAAATCTAATAAGTTTAATAACATTATCATTGAACGAAGAAAAAATTGAACATATTAATCCATATTTTTTTAATACAATCTAAGCTTTCATTTAGGCAGCATCTTAGATTGTATTAAAAAATATGGATCAATATTGAATTTCTTTATTCTTCAATGATAATCTTATTAAACTTATTAGACGTTATGAAATGAATTTACATAAAATAAATAGACAACACTTGTCTATATTATTTAATGAAACATGAATATATATATATATATATATATATATATATATATATATATATATATATATATATGATGTTACTTATCTTAATGTTTTGAGGATAAAATTAGATAAAAGTAAATAGATTAGGCAGAGATTTTGAAGATTTAAATCTTTCTGATAAATGAGCAGACAGTTTATTGCTTGCAAGATTTTTTTAAATTATACATTGAATTTATACAGTGAAATATGATTTACAACATTCAGTGAAATATCAGGAGAAAGATAAAAGCAATTAGAGTTCTGCAATATACATGGAGCAAACTTTTAGGTAGGCCAACCAGCAATCAGAATCTGAGTTCTTCTTGCTTTCCTTCACTAACTTCTGTAGGAGTTTTTGTAGCTTTCTTTCACTGTCTGCTATCAACACTGTATCATCTGCATCTCTTATGTTGTTAAGATTATGGCCACCAATAATGAATCCTGGTAGGAATTCTAGTTCTCTCAGAATTGCCTCACTTGCCCTCCATCTTAATGAGCTCGAGTAAATGGTTGAATAAATCTGGTGACTATTTTCACCAAGTAAAATATTACTCCTGCCAATGTTAAATTTGAGTTTCTTTTTTGTGTAGTCATATCCTTCTATGGCAACACCTAAAACAATCTTGACTGAAATTGAGAGCCATGCTACTGCAATTTCAAGTATATATAACATAAAATATATATTTTGATAGGATTCCATATACAGGAAGTAATATTTATAAATTATTGAGAGTTAAGCATGCAATGATGACTTTATTTTCCAATTTTTTTATGATAAAAGCACAACAAAGGAGTTACAATGTTTAACAACAAAAACAAAAAACAAACTTGGTAGCAGACAAATTTTCAAACCACTGAAAATTTTTTTTTTTTCTTAATCCTTTAACCCCAAATAAGGCAATAAAGCTACTAAGATGCAAATGTTACTGAGAGTGAAAGAAATATTGTGTAGAAAAGTCAATAAAGGAACATAAGATAATGACTAGCGTTGCATTTAAATTTTTGAAGATCATAGTGTTTGGGAAAAGTAAGAAGTCAGAAGAGCATTCCATAATGAGAAGTGTGATAGTTTTTTCTATCAAAATAAAACTTATGATTATATTTAGCAACTTCAACTGTAAAATGATGAAACCAAGCTGCCAATCTAGTACTATGCTTAAATTTAGGAAGTCAAAGTACCAAAGATAAAAACTCATTAGAACAATTACAACAAAAATATTTATAGAAAATGCTCAGGTAAACCACATTATGATGGTGGGAAGCCATGATGCCAGATCAGGACACATAACATTGCAGATTCTTCTTTGGACTTTGTCAAGAATCTCTAGATACATAACAGAAGCACCAGACCATATGCAGCAACAATATCCAATGCACAGACAAATGGTAGACTTAGAAAGAAAGAAAGAAAGAGCAAGAGAGAGACAAAGTTAGTAACACTTGTAATTGATTCCCTTTTTACTACTGATACAAAACTGAATGGTTGTCTGATTAAAGTTTGCTAGGATAAACTCCTTTGTTAGTGAAGATATGTATTGCTTATTTTATGTGAAAGTAAATGTGCCAAAAAGAATTGTATGTGAAAATAACTCATACTGGGACTTATCTCTCAGGGTAGCTAATCAAACTTCTTGTTGAAAAATGAATAGTGATTGACTGCACTGATGCTGAGTAGCTGTAGGATATCTTGTCACCTAATAAGCATATGACCCATTTAACTATTTGCATGCCTTTTGGCATAGGTTTAAATAGCCTCCAGAGAGAAGTTAAAGAGAATTGGAAAAATTATTTTACTGCTAAATTTTGTTTCCTGATTGAAAATGCTTCCCAAATCACTACTGGAATCATTCTATGTAATTTTTTTAGTTTTTCAAGGTTAGTTGGTTGATTATGTTTAATGGCATATCAACCACAATGGGTTATTCAATGCCAAAATCTAAATAATTTCAACACAATTTTATAGTTTCAACTAAATATATTTTGCCTTCAACTACAGATAAAATGTATTGCTGGTCATTTTGCTTTAAAAATGTATTGGTCATTTTTTATATAAAATTGCTGCTAGTATTTTTACTATAAAAATGTATTTTTTATACTTTCATAGTATTTTGTTTTTGTTTGGTAGTTCACTATTTTCCCATATCTGGGACCCTAACAGGTGCTACCACCCCAGGTCAGAGTGGACCTGGGAACAACAGCAATTTAGAGATGGTTCCATGCTCCTCAAAACCTCCAATCTCTTGATCAGTGTCCTTGCTGCCAGATGTAATTTATCAACATACCCAAGACTAATTTTTCAAGGTAAGGATGGCCAGTGTAATTTATTTGATTAAATACTATGGGGGACTGCTTTTACACTATATTTACTACAAACACACAGGCGTCCTCCAGAGGTCACTTCTCAGACCAACCCTCTTTTTACTTAACATAAATGATCTGCCTAAGTGTATACTCAGATCATTTGTGAATATCTATGCCGATGATATGATGATATATGGTTGCACCGCCAAAACTCATGATGATCAGATATTGGCAGCTGATCTCTCATCTGATCTAGCTCTAACTTCCCAGTGGAGGAAAAGCTGGCTGTTTACATTCAATGTCTCGAAAACCAAACTAGTTACATTCCATCATCAGCGATCGAACCCTGAACTACCATCACTCACCATGAATAATGTCCCTTTTAGGAAGCCATGCGAGACTATTGGGCCTTAAACTCACCCTTGACCTCATGTTAAACTTGTACATACAATCCATTGCTAAAGATACAGGAAAAATGGTCAGGTCCCTGTACCACTCCAGTAAGTACCTGACTCCTTGTGCTTTTCTCTACCTTTACAAGAGCCAAATCAGGCCTAAAATGAAGTACTATTGTCATATTTGGGCAGGAGCTGTCAAGTTGTCACTTTCCAGTTTTGATAGAGTCCAAAAGCATTTCTGAGTTCTTATGAGTGACAAATTATTTTCTACTCTCCAACCACTTTCTAGAATTGATATGCTGCTAAACAAAACCAACCAACCTTTTTTTTTTTTATAGACAGGACATGGCAAGCCTCTAACTGTGTTATTGCTATTTCCATGAAAGGTGCTTGTATGAATTGCATTCCTTGGTTCTGCCAGTTCAAACTTCTAGCCAGGACCCACCATATCACTCACATTGCAGAAAACCACCATAATTCTCATTAGTGAGAAGCAAGTTCCACTTGAATAGCTTCTTCCCATGAACCACTGCTCTGTGGAACCGACTCTCTAGAGAATGTTTCCTCGATCACTACATTCTTAACCTGTTCAAGTTTAGGATTAACCTTTATCTTCCTCTGCCTCATACTCTGTAACCCTCTATCTCAAGTGGTCCCCCCCAGGCCTTGTACAGGATGAACCTCAATGTAAAAAATAGTGGCTCAGAGTCCAGGAAAATTTACATTTTAATAGTCATCTTTTATAACCAATAATAAAATAGAATGTCAATAGCCAATCAGTGAACAATCGATTCAGACACCCTCTTTATCCACCCATTGCTTATAATAGCAAATATCACTCTGAAAATAGTTAATTTGTCAGTAGTGTCCTCAGGCTGTGTCATTAGCCAGATATTAGACAGATTAGATCAATAGTTCTCCAATTTAAAAAAAAAAAAAAAAATCAAGATCTCACATATTCTTCCTTCCCAGAGTGTCATAGAATTGAAAATTATGATGATGTGTGAAAAAGAAAAGCAAAATTTAGAATTTAAATCATATTCAAGCCTTTGTTCTTTGAATTTCACATGTAAACATATGGAAAATGAGTATTTCATGTGGCATCTTACCTACGCCCAAATAAACTGCCTTCAAAAAAGAAAAAGTGAATACTGCAGGAATGGAAGTTATTCATTTTATACCTCCTGGTACATTTATCCCACAAACAATATTTATGTGAGTCCAGGTAAAAAAAGTGACAAAATATGGCATTTAAACAAACAAAAATTAATGCATTAACAAAACATGTTACAGAAGGGTAATATAAGAAACAAAGTTAAAGTTGTGAAGAGTTCAAACCAATCTTCAGTGTATCTGTGAAATACTTACATGCCTCAAGTCTATTAGAGTGAAAAAGAATATGTCTTGTCACTTTGCAAGTTTGAGGAGAAAGAGGCTGTCAAATCTTGCACCACCTGTAATTATCATCAGGGGGTAGTAATCCAACAAGAATTTAAAAAAATAAAATAACACAACTAGAAGACCAATCATAAAGTGACTACAGGGTTCATAATAAAGAAAGGCCGATGTGATATTTTTTTTTCTTGAAAGTTTTGAAAATATTAACCCACAGTGAGGAAAACTTAAACTTTAATACTTACTTAAACTTATAAGATTCTTTCTTATTGTTGACAAAACCGCCAGCCAAATCTTTGGGAACTATGAACTGAAGAATGGAACTGGAGCTGGCATCATCATTGATTTCAAACAGCTGAAAATAATTACATTTCAAAAGTCTTATACATTTTTATGATTTCTGCTATTTTTGTTCAAATTAAATGTTGCTACCTTATGGTCATATCACTTGAAACACCAGTTCCCATATGATCACCAAAATTAAGCAATGCCAAGCCTGATCAGTACCTAGATTGGTGACCGTTTGGGAATATCAGGTGTTATAAGCTTGGAGGTACAGGTAATGTTATGGATAATGGCTTGGAATTGTTAATCAGAGAGCTGAGTTACAATTTCAGTTGGGTTCATTATATTTACTTTTGTGCAAATACCTTTGGGAAATGTATGAATCTACTCCCCCCAGTTATGGAGTAAGTAGTAAGACATTTATCACTAAATTATTATATCAAAAAGAAAAAACCAAAAACAAAAGGTTTTTGCTCTAAAAATATTTTCTGGCTTAACTGCAAATAGTTGATAAACCGTAAAAAATAAAGCAATCAATCAATAAATATTGATATCAAAATTACACCCACATTTAATAATTGAGGTACTCTTAAGTGCCTAATACAAGTGGCAGGGGGCTCTTAATAATTTAGGGAGGTGGAATTTTTTCAATATGCAATATATGGGGGGGGAGTTTTAATATGTGAGGTCAGAAAATCATTTAAAAGGATTAAAAATTTGCAAGTAAAAAAAATTTTAAAAAATATTATTTTAGCACCACTTCTGTAAGACCAAAACTCATCCCCAGGGTTTCTCCTATTTTTCATAAGATTAGTTTCACATGATGAAGCCCTGGTATAACTTAATTAGTATGTGAAAGAACTTATAGAAATTAAATATTGATAGACTCACATAAAAATTGAAAGTACATTTATTTGTGTAGCATCATCTTATCAGAATGTGAAAGAAATCCTAAAAGTTGCTACCAAACCTAAAAACTAAAACCTCTTGTTTATACAATTTATTCAAACAATCATAAAAGTGTGCAAATAAAAACTTGAACCAATGATAATAATTATGGTTTCCTTTTTGAGCTCTGAGGAAAAACATGAAATGAATAAACAGAGCAGTCTTAATAAACTTGAATTGGTAGTTGGAAATTTCAAAAAAAACAAAAAAAAAAACGTTTTCACCCTTTTGTTAGGCACCTAATAGTAATCGAGTAATTATTTTGCTAGACTGATTTTTATTTCTTAAGCCACACATTAGTCACATTATTGATACAAAAAAAAAGAATCGATCATTCTATTTTTTTAATGCATGTGTCCATATTTGTCTAAAAGGGACAAGAATGCAAAACCTCACAATAGCAGGCAGGTAAATTTTCCTGCTATTTTAACTGTTTCAATTCAAAATATTTTATTAAAAATATTGATAACTTATTTTGGGAGTTTTATTAAGTGGACAAAAGTGCAGTATAAGTTTTTTATTTATAAATAAATCTGAAAGACATGGGCTATAAATTTGATTAACACACACTTCTAAAGACCTGATTAAATTATTTTAGTATTTTATATGTTAATATGGACTATTTGACAATCTATAGCTGTCATCAGTCTTTTATCTATTGATTTTGTTCACTTTTTTTATGGTTTCAACTTTAATATTACTTGCATTTTTATTGACCCCCACTGGTTTTTACTTGAATACCATTTTCCAGGTATATACACATCTCGTAATAAAGGACTACAGGTTTTCTGTTGGATTCAGATATGCATATGCTGGGGTCTATTCTATTAAATTTGTAAATTTGAAACCATTTTTGGCAAAGTGGGAAGTAGTCAGATTTACATAATATTAATGAGCATGAATACTCTTTAGCTTAAAGTTTCTTGATTTGCAGCCACAAGAAGAAAAAAATAATCAAAGAACTTAAATTCTCTGCATTTGTCTTGATATAGTCATTAACTTTAATAATTTAACTGCTTACAATACCAGTTGAAAATATTACTCCATCACCACCGCATTGTCTTTGATTGTAAGCACTTCTTGTCCTACTAGGGAGTGCAGAGATCAAACTAAGTTGTTTTGGTTGACTATTTCAATGAAGGATCCAACCTTTAACTGAATCATGAGGTCCATGCAATATAGCTCTATAGTTATCACTGCCAATTACTGTTGAGATATCAGTTTACAAGATGTTTTTTTTTAATCATTTCACCCCAAGCAAGGCAATAAAGCTATTAAGATACAAGGGATTACTGAGTATGAAAGAATAAGAAAAAATAAAACATTAAGGAGAGAGAAAAAAAAAAAAAAAAAAACATTGCATTTAAATCTTTGAAGATCAAAGTTAACTAGAAAACAATTCCTTCGTCTAACTTGTTTCTCTCTCTGATGTTTCATTGCATTCATGCCTTTATCTAATGTTCTTAATATTCTGCATCTTTACATTTACATTCACAATACCAAATTCTTCAAATATTTTCCTGTTTCCATTTTTCTTGCTTAATTTTTTCTCTAATCTTCTTTGTGATTGATTTAATGTTTCTTATCTTGCCAACGTTTGCAATTTCCTTTTTGATCACTATTCAACTATTTTACAATTTCCAATGTTATGTTCTCATTACTCAATAAAATTGCAATATCTTATTTTTCTTTCTAAGTTATACTTTTCTTACAACCCATGACTATTTTATATATCTGAAATTAAATTAAAATTATATGTATGTATGTATATAACCAATACAATGATCAATCCTTGAATTGCATAATAAAATTTTATATCACTAAGTAATTTGTTGTAATTATTTATGATAAAAAATATTATAAGCTAAAATTCAGGTAGTATATTTATCATAAGTATATTCAAAAAAATTTACCAGTTTTATTATAAAAACAGTTTTAAAAGTATGACAGTGTAAAAATAAACCAAAGAAAAAAAAAAGACTTTAGTTTCAAAATAAGCATTTTTTGATTTTTGAGTTATTCTCAACACTGAAAAAAAAAAAAAAAAAAAAAAAAAAAAAAGTATTTCAATTATAATTTTTGACTACCTCCTACGGCACCATTTTCGGAGAAAATTAACATAACACTTTAAAAGGTGCAAATTCAAGTCTAATTTTAGCAAATTCACACAAACTGTGAGATGACTAACATTTAGTATCATACAGATTACAGTGAGTACTTGTTAACTATTGTGGTCCAAAGAGGATTGCAGTATCATCAGACATAGCTAACTACCCCAACAAAGATGGGTTTTTAGAGGATGGGATAGAGAAAAAAAACATTGACCTTTTGGTTTTTGTTATTGACTGTTTTTCAGAAATGCTTCTCTCTTTACTAAAAAAAAACTCCATTAAGAAGGTGCTCACACAAATTGTGGAATGCTACTGGTAAAATGCAAAGATAAAATTTATAAGTATGATGGGAGTTCATACAAATGTTGCAGAATCCCATCTTGCTTGAATTCCTGTGGTGAGAAAAATATAGGAAGACAGGTGAACACGGTTTTGAAAAAAAATACTTCATTTCATGATGTTAGAATTAAAAAAAATTAAATTAAAAAAAGAATTAAATTTTAAATATTCCTCTTATTTTCATTATTCGGACTATTGTCCTCATCTTTGTCGCCATATTTATTACAACGTTTCGGCTGTTGTACGCTCTGGCCTTGGTGGTTGGAATGTCGAACTGAACCCTTTATTTCGCTCACCGGGGTAGACTGTTCTAGTTCCACGTGCCATGTTTGATGGATGTCAGTTATCAGTTATCTCCTGTTAATTTCCCTCTGAAAGTTCTCCACTGCCTTAACCGGGTATTGAACTCACACTCTTTGGGTCCTGTCACTGGATCTAACCAACGCCTTTATCCACTGTGGACATCTGGGTATGAATTTCTGGGTATTATAAACCTAATGTCTTCAGCAACCATTTTTACCAGAGCTCATATTGCAACTTTGTTGTTATCATTGCTTTTCTCTGGCACTCCTTATTACCGGTTCCCATATTGTATTTATTTCTATGCTTGGTCGGCTCAGGAGATTTTTGTGGCCTAGCATATGTGCTGATTTCTTAAGTTTACGAATTTTCCAATGTAAATAATGTACATAATACCTCATCTCAGAAATATAGACGTCCTCTTATTTTATGCAAAAATTATCACAAAATTTGTAAAGTTTAAAAATTAAGGATTACAAGAATTAATAATACATTAGTACTCAATTTTCATATAAAACACTGAATTGCCTCCCACACATTTAATTTAGTAGCCTCTTATTCTGAACCTGCCTTTGGATTTCTGTAAATAAAAACTGACATCAGTTTGGCATTTGCAACCAATAAATCTCAGAAAACCAAAATTTATTGAAATTTAATCTCATCTGTGAAGAAAACTGGCAAACCAATGTAGAATTTAAATATATCAGTCCTTAGCTTCATGAGGAGTCCCCCACCCTAGCAGTATCACTCCCATTACAATAAGAGAAGTAGGATGACATTTTAGCATTCTGCTACCACTTTCTTTCAGCATCAATTTTTGTACAAACTAAACACCAAAGTGGATCACAGAGATTTGATATTTTTCTAACTCCTGATTGGTCAATTAATGCCAATATCAAGCTTTCATCTATGTCTACATGGTTAAAATTAATTTACTGCCAAAATCTGTCTATGTGTTTCAAACATATCACACGACATATAACATTATAAATACTTAGACACCTTTTTAACTCTTCCTCTTTTGACTTCTCTCACATACAAGATGTAGCTGTGGAGAAATCGTGTTTATTCCTTTAGGGGAAAATGCTATGACTGACACACACACACACACACACACACACACACACACATGAACATTGCCTATCTCTTAACTCAACTTATTCACTCCTTCAACTACAAGCAATTTTAACATCTACAATTTTTATTGAGACAACAAGAATTTTACTCAAAGAACATACAGTTTTCCAATGAAACATTTTATTCAAAAAGCAGCTTTGAACATAACCGAATGCAAACCTACTTCAAGTCATAGTCAACTATCTTACAGCCAAATAATTCTTAATAATGGACAATGTACTCAAAAGTTATAAGCTTAAAAATCTATCTTTTAAACTAAACACAAAATTCAACTCTTGATATCAACTAAAATTTCATTTACCAATTTCGATTATAACAAACTTTCCAGAAGAACACAACTTACTTTCTTCAAAAGACTTTTTGTTGAATCAACTTTATTCACGTAATATTTAAACTTCCAACAGGTAAAGGGAGACAACTCTTACATAATCTCCAATATCAAACTCTAACAGAAATTTACGATGTGAAATCTGAATTTAATTAAATTAGATTTAATCTGAACTGATTTAATTCTTTAAAAATCATTTTACTGACAGGAACACTGAACAAACTCTCTATCTGTCCTAAAGAACATTCTCATGTTGTATATGAATGATGCTTTATTCTTGTTTTTCTAAAAAAAAGAATATTGTTTGTTTTTTATTTTGTTGTTGATGACCTTGTGCCATACCCAAAGTTAAATGCTTGTAGAGAAGTTTATTTTCATGCAGCCAACACAAATAATACCTTCTGATATATACATATTTTTCCTAATAACCTACACCTTCACAACATAAATGCCTGCAGCAACACCCAAGAGAATCATTTCTTAAGTCTTTCCAATAGAAAGAAAGAAAAATGCTGGAAAATTACTGACATAACTATTTTGCAACAAACCGTTTCCAAATGCAACATGAATAAAATAATGAGAGAATTTCATCATTTTTATTTTATTAAACTAAATTTTTTTGTTTTTGTTTTTAATGTACAGACACTGAACAGAAAAACAAACTATGACTTATTTCATTCATGGCTTTCTGTAGTTCAATAATACAATTTAAAACTTCGTTTTAAAAATCTTTTTTAAAGCCACTTCATGGAAATTACTAGTCAGTTGTACAAGAATAATTTTTATTAATTTTTTTTAATTTTTTAAACAGAGTTTAAATACATTCATATTTTGCTTTGATAAAACTGTTCTGGAGCAAATTTTAGGTGTTTTATGCTAAATAAACAACCACAAAACGTTCAAACAATTTGTTGACATATCCTTTCTCATTTGTAAAAAAATAAAAAAAATTAAATATGTAATTCTCGTCTCTTTCTTAGTTTCTTGGTACTTTATTTCAGTCACCTTAAAAAAAAAATATATTTAAATACACACCTCGTTCGATTTTTGACAAAAGAGACCTTACCTTTAAGAAGGTAAAACTTTAAAAAGTAACGAACATTTTTCATCAAATCACATTATTTTTATTATTAAAAACTAAATTATAGCGGGGTCTCAATTTAAAAAACAGTAACAATAAAAAAGAAAAAATGTCATATCATTAAGAAAAAAAATATAAGTATTTACTACTGTTTACTTTAAGAACATTGTAAAACCAGCTTAAAACAATAATATGGAAATTAAAATATTTCAACTTCAACAAATAGAACTTCAAAGTTCACATCAACCCGCCACTAAGAAAAAGTTTCATAAAAATAAAATGTATTTATCAGGATTAATTTATTGCATAACAAATAAATAAGAGAATCAAAAATATTTTAATATTAAAAAAAAAAAGACAAAAAAAAAAAACTAGTTAAATCTAAATTTTAATTCTTTCTTAGAAGTTTCAGTTTATTATCTTCAGTCTGCCTTTTTCTTCCTCCTATCAAAACTTATTTTTTGGGGGTGTGTAGGAGAGCTTTATACATTTTACCTAGAACTTACGAAAAAATCTTAAATTATTGCAGTAATTTTTTTTATATTTGTTCTTCTGTGAAATGGGCGCTATTTTAGTTGATTTAATTAAAATTAATTAAACAATATGATTTTTCTAGCAGAGCAACACACACCTGCCGGTAATGCAAGCTTCAAGCATTTACTGTTGCAAAATAAGTTAAAGAAACAGCGAAATAAAATACCGCAGTTTTGGCTTTTGTTGGTTTAATCCGTGCAAATATCTGAATTGTTTGTTTCACCATTCTACTGTCTTTGTTGAGAAAGAAAAAAACTGTTTAAGTTTGTTTACATATTACACCGCCATCATCACCTGGGAGGCAGCCAAGAGCAGATAACTCTCGAGACAAAACTAGATTGTGAGCAATTTCTTTTATTTTTTATGCCTTTTTGGGATGTGCACGATCTTGGCTCACCACAACTTCCTGTCCTATGTAGTTCTTAGCAATATTTGTTGTTTTTTTTACTGTCCCTCCCACTCCCTGACCTGACATTCATTTAGACAAGCTTGTTAGGTAGGTTACTTGTTGTTTCCTTTTTTGCCATTCTTGCTTTCAAAATATCCTGTGACTGTGAGCGTCAAATTCTTCATGCCCTATGCACAAAAATTCAAATTTATCTATATATCAAATGCACAAATATTCATTCATCTCTATAATTATAAATTAGAAGGCAGTATATTTTATTTATATCAAATCATCAGGGGGGTTTTCTTCATATTTACACCCCCCCTAACACATACCAAGATACTTTTTTAAAAAAAAATATTTGCAACGTAACGTTGGAATAATAAATCTACAGATAAAAAAATCAAAACTGTTTAAATTTGTTCCTCTCATTTTTCGTCAATAATGGAGATTTTATGAGTGAATATACTGTTTTAAAAATATCTAAAAACTTTAACAGCATAAAATTATTTTTCATTAGGTTTTCCTTTATCTTTCAAATAAAAGTAAAACCAAAATTTAACTTCAAAGAAGACCTTTATTTAAAATGAAATGCGTTTTTTTAAAGTTTTTTTTTTTTACACCCTTAGTGATACCTACAAACTAAAAGATTAATTAATTTTAATTAGTAAAAAACATTGTATCTATTTCGTGTTGGAGTCTTGTTGGTCAGTTAATATAAAATAAATGTTGTTTTTTTATAGTAATAAAACATCTATTAAAAATCCAATATTTGTTTCAAGGTAAATTACTAAATTTAAGGATTAATCAAATGGATTTTGTAAAGATAAGACTTATTTTTTGCTTGAAATATAACAAACAAAATAAACTTTTAGTTACAGTAGCCACTGAGCTGTCATCAAGGTCATAGGTTAATTAACTGTAGCCTTATACTGTCACACCTATTTAAAAATGGCACATGAAACTGATTAACTACAAAAGACCAAAACCTACTAGAATCTAGAAACTGGTATTGTTTATGTTTAAAAATAAATTATAAATTAACTATATATAACCAAGTATTTATGAATATATTTTTTATTCCATAGTTTTTTATAAAATGAATAATTTTATTGTTTAGTTTATACTACAAGAGGAATGTAAGAAGAAAAAAAAGTAGTTAAATAATACATTTATGCCTTTCTTATTGCATTCTTTCTTATCTATTTGATGTCATAAAATATTTAATTCCATACATTGAGTTTTTTTTATTCTGATTTTAAAATTTATGAAACTAAAGGAAGTTCTATGACAAAAAAGGAGGGAATGGCAAATTGATAAAGATTTATTGAATTGATAATGTTAAATTAACAGTATCAATTCTGTAACAACAATCAATTAACACTGAGTGTTAATTGATTGCCATCACAGAATTATGGAATTATTTCCTTTTTGAACTTCCATACAAAAAATAATCTAACATTTGTAGAAATGAAAATAAACAAATATATTCTTTAAAAAATATCTACACTTGAAAACAACATTGAACTTTGCATTTTTCAATTCTTCAAACATGTCTTTATTTAATAAAAAAAAACAAACTTGTTATGATCAACAACTGGATGAATTTCAAAATTACACTGAAAAATTATAAGATTTTTTTTTTAAATAAATATTCCATGTAAACTTGTTTCTGCCAAATTTGAAAGGAAATATAGTGTTTTATTAAATTATACAAGCACCAAACCTCAATAAAAATATTTTTGGAGTTTTATTGAATTATTTTTTTAAGGTTCAGGATGAATTTTCAGTATGTTTCACAGTTGATATAACTAAAAAAAATTCATGAACACTCACCAAATTAAAGTGTTCACAATATTTTGAAGGAGGTGGGAATGAAACTAATCCCTCCTAAATATTTCCATAACATTCCTATTCAACATAAAATGAATTGATTTATGAATAAGTACTGAACATTTTATTTAAACAGAGAATTTTCTGATTTTAGGTAATTTTTTTAAAAACTAGCAGTAGTTTTTTTATTTTATTTTGTATATTTTTGTTTTCATTATCAAAAATGTGCACACATTTTAGTGATAACTAGCTTCAAACAGATTTTTTTATATCATTTTTTAAATTCTCCCTTTTATTTTAAATTTAGTTTATGATAAGCAAAAAAAAAAAAAAATAGCACAAATATTTGTTAATAGTTCATCCAAAGCTTTTAAGCAAAAATTGAGAAATGAATTTTCTTGTTTTGTTTTCTTAAATCAAAATGAGTTCTTACAATGAGATCCTAATATTTTTCACATTTTGAGATAAATAATAGAAATATCTAAATTTAAGTCTTTCAACCTTCATTTTTTATTTTTATTCACCAGTTTAAAAAGCACTTAAGTTTTGTTTAATTCTTTTCTGTTTGCATGTATGTGTATATGGTCTATTTATTAAAAACTCACAACTATTGGTGAATTTTTTTTTAAATATTTAAAAAATAAATCAGTTAGTTTCAGAACAAATATGCTAAAATTTTAATTAAAGATTTTGTATCATCCACCAAATTCTAATCAGTTTTCTCAAAGTAATGTTCTATTTTCACTGTGATGATGGTACATTAATTTTGAGCTCTGGTTGTGTGACACCAGTCAAAGTATAGGAATGAAATCATTATATTTTTCAACCAATCAGAAGTTTTGTTTGATAAACAATGATTACAAGGGCAAATACGCCAAAATACTTGGCAGATATGGTTGTAGATGTATTGTGTTATTTTTGGACCATTTAGAAAATAACAATAACTCCTTTCACCACTCCTGCAAATTCAAGAAATAGATTTCCTTGAGCCAGTGTGAAATTATTTTCTAACTAATGAAAACCTTGTATTCAAAAAGTTCACACCTCTATGTGAAATTAAATTTTGGATCCCCCTTATGAATATAAGAATAGAAGCCTACTGCTTCTTGGGATTCAAAATAATTTTGGAGGCCAGTTTTATCTACATGTGTGTACACACGCGCACACACACACACACACACGGGATGAAGAGATGACAGCCAGCAGCTGCCAATTAAGGCCTTGTCCATACACACAATAGAAGGAAATAACCAGCAGCTGCCACCTAAGCCCGTGTCTATGAACTCACACATTAGGCTGACCGTCAAAAAGTCTGTCTGTCCACACATTTTCCACTGCACTGAGAATACTTAATTACTTTATAAAACATTGCAAGACAAATTGAACATTTTATTGTTATTGTATATTTCTTAAAAAAATACATAAATGTTATTTTAACTGACATTTTGCTTCTACTTTTCCTTTAGAAAATAACTTTTTTATGTTTCATTTAAAAGATATGTTGTTGTTAAATGTTTGGAATCCCAACACTCAGATAGCAACAGAAACCGGAGTAAATGAATCTCAACAAAGGTGTTGAACCACTGATTCTCTGTAATGAAGATGTCATGGTCAGTTATTACCAGAAGAAATACTAGAAAGAATCTCATTCCCTTTATTCGACAACTTCTTTATTCTAATCCAGAAATATAGGAACAAGATATAACTCCTGTTCATTTTACAGTCAAATGTTTTTTCTATGATGAAGTTCAGATTTTGGTCTGGAAAGTCTCCAGACTACAGCCAGAGAAAACTTGTGGGAAATAAGCAAACCTCAAACTTGTTTTATTCTTATTGAGCTTCTTGCAAATAATCTTTATTTTGAGGTTTGCTTATTTCCCACAATTTTTGAAGAATCTTTCTTCTAAGATTAACAGAATCATAATTCTATAGATCTTTTTTTATGTGCCATGTCTCTTCAGAACATTGTTGTGTCCATTTAAAATTAATTATTCTGTCAAATAATAATTATAATAAAATAATTATAACAATCCTGTCTAAATCAATGAGAATCAACCTCCACTTCTCTACCACACAAAAACACGTGGCACCCTCACTATCAGACAGGCAGCCAACGTGAAGGTTGGCCAAAATTTCGGCTCCTTTACTTTTCAGGTCACAATGATAACATTTGTCCCTTAAGACTGATAATCAAAATTTGAGATAAGAAAAACTCCAGACTTCTTTTTCTTAACTAAATTATCTGGAGAACTTACTACGTACATTACATAAAAAAAAACATACAAGACTATATACAATTTACTTAGCATTACTCTTGTGTCTCTAACACCACTGTCAACCAGATAATAAATAATATTTGTTTTGTTGTTTCCATCTGTTGTTGTTTATCATTTTCTTCAAGTATTTTTGTATTTATAAATGTTAGGGAGTTTATAATTATTTGCACAAAATTATAAACTCCCCTACAACATAGCTTCTTGCCTTTAGATTTTATTGTTCCTTTAGAACCCTCCGTTGTGATATGTTCCATTATCCATTTGCATAAACTTGTAAAGTAGGTTTCTTGTTGTTTTCCTCAGCTTTTGATATGCCTTCTGAGTGTTAAGTTCTCCAAGCTTTCTTTGCTTATATTTATCTCCCAAAATTCACCTGTTTCTTTCAGATTGTTAGAAACAATTTCCTTATAGTCCCTATTCTTAAAACTTCCTTGTTTCTCATAATCTGTCCATAAAGAACTATGTTTGTCACTTTAAGTCTTTTATCTCTAACAAAATTGTTCAGCATTCACTAACATAAAGGAGATAAAAGATTACATGGCAATTCAGCACTTTTTGTGTCTAAGGACATTTTTTGATTGCTCAGTTTCTGAAAAGTGTCATTTTTTTATTTCTTTGTCACACTTTTGTCTGTTGTGATATTATTTTATTTTTTTACTTTAGTTCACCCAATATAAGGCACAAAGGCCAAACCAAGATACAAGGTTACTGAATGCGATTGCTAAGGGAGAAGAAGGTGGTAAGCAGTGCATATTATG